ATTGAAAGCCAAGAACCCACATGCTCATTGAAATCCAAGAACCCACATGCCAGTTGAAACGCAAGAATCCACATTCCCATTGAAACCCAAGAACCCACGTGCCCATTGAAACCCAAGAACCACATGCCAGTTGAAACCCAAGAACCCACATGCCAGTTGAAACCCAAGAACCCACATGCCAGTTGAAACCCAAGAACCACATGCCAGTTGAAACCTAAGAACCCACATGCCAGTTAAAACCCAAGATCCCACATGCTCATTGAAACCCAAGAACCCACATGCCCATTGAAACCCAAGAACTCACATGCCATTTGAAACCCAAGAACCCACGTGTCAGTTGAAATCCAAGAACCCACATACCAGTTGAAACCCAAGAACCACGTGCCCATTGAAACCCAAGAACCCACATGCCCATTGAAACCCAAGAACCCACATGCCCATTGAAACCCAAGAACCACATGCTGGTTGAAACCCAAGAACCCACATGCCCATTGAAACCCAAGAACCCACATGCCAGTTGAAACGCAAGAATCCACATTCCCATTGAAACCCAAGAACCCACGTGCCCATTGAAACCCAAGAACCACATGCCAGTTGAAACCCAAGAACCCACATGCCAGTTGAAACGCAAGAACCCACATGCCAGTTGAAACCTAAGAACCACATGCCAGTTGAAACCCAAGAACCCACATGCCAGTTGAAACCCAAGAACCCACATGACCATTGAAACCCAAGAACCCACATGCCAGTTGAAACCCAAGAACCCACATGCCCATTGAAACCCAAGAACCCACACGCCCATTGAAACCCAAGAACCCACATACCCTTTGAAACCCAAGAACCCACATGCTCATTGAAACCCAAGAACCCACATGCCCATTGATACCCAAGAACCCACATGCCCATTGAAACCCAAGAACTCACATGCCAATTGAAACCCAAGAACCCATATGCCAGTTGAAACCGAAGAATCTACATGCCCATTGAAACCAAAGAACCCACATGCCCATTGAAACCCAAGAACCTACATGCCAGTTGAAACCCAAGAACCCACGTGCCCATTGAAACCCAAGAACCCACATGCCTATTGAAACCCAAGAACCCACATGCCCATTGAAACCCAAGAACCCACATGCCCATTGAAACCCAAGAACCCACATGCCCATTGAAATCCAAGAACCCACATGCCCATTGAAACCCAAGAACCCACATTCTAATTGAAACCCAAGAACCACATGCCCATTGAAACCCAAGAACCCACATGGCAGTTGAAACCCAATAACCCACATGCCAGTTGAAACCCAAGAACCACGTGCCCATTGAAACCCAAGAACCCACATTCCCATTGAAACCCAAGAACCCACGTGCCCATTGAAACCCAAGAACCACATGCCAGTTGAAACCCAAGAACCCACATGCCAGTTGAAACCCAAGAACCCACATGCCAGTTGAAACCCAAGAACCACATGCCAGTTGAAACCTAAGAACCCACATGCCAGTTAAAACCCAAGATCCCACATGCTCATTGAAACCCAAGAACCCACATGCCCATTGAAACCCAAGAACTCACATGCCATTTGAAACCCAAGAACCCACGTGTCAGTTGAAATCCAAGAACCCACATACCAGTTGAAACCCAAGAACCACGTGCCCATTGAAACCCAAGAACCCACATGCCCATTGAAACCCAAGAACCCACATGCCCATTGAAACCCAAGAACCACATGCTGGTTGAAACCCAAGAACCCACATGCCCATTGAAACCCAAGAACCCACATGCCAGTTGAAACGCAAGAATCCACATTCCCATTGAAACCCAAGAACCCACGTGCCCATTGAAACCCAAGAACCACATGCCAGTTGAAACCCAAGAACCCACATGCCAGTTGAAACCCAAGAACCCACATGCCAGTTGAAACCTAAGAACCACATGCCAGTTGAAACCCAAGAACCCACATGCCAGTTGAAACCCAAGAACCCACATGACCATTGAAACCCAAGAACCCACATGCCAGTTGAAACCCAAGAACCCACATGCCCATTGAAACCCAAGAACCCACACGCCCATTGAAACCCAAGAACCCACATACCCTTTGAAACCCAAGAACCCACATGCTCATTGAAACCCAAGAACCCACATGCCCATTGATACCCAAGAACCCACATGCCCATTGAAACCCAAGAACTCACATGCCAATTGAAACCCAAGAACCCATATGCCAGTTGAAACCGAAGAATCTACATGCCCATTGAAACCAAAGAACCCACATGCCCATTGAAACCCAAGAACCTACATGCCAGTTGAAACCCAAGAACCCACGTGCCCATTGAAACTCAAGAACCCACATGCCTATTGAAACCCAAGAACCCACATGCCCATTGAAACCCAAGAACCCACATGCCCATTGAAACCCAAGAACCCACATGCCCATTGAAATCCAAGAACCCACATGCCCATTGAAACCCAAGAACCCACATTCTAATTGAAACCCAAGAACCACATGCCCATTGAAACCCAAGAACCCACATGGCAGTTGAAACCCAATAACCCACATGCCAGTTGAAACCCAAGAACCACGTGCCCATTGAAACCCAAGAACCCACATGCCCATTGAAACCCAAGAACCCACATGCCCATTGAAACCCAAGAACCACATGCTGGTTGAAACCCAAGAACCCACATGCCCATTGAAAGCCAAGAACCCACATGCTCATTGAAATCCAAGAACCCACATGCCAGTTGAAACGCAAGAATCCACATTCCCATTGAAACCCAAGAACCCACGTGCCCATTGAAACCCAAGAACCACATGCCAGTTGAAACCCAAGAACCCACATGCCAGTTGAAACCCAAGAACCCACATGCCAGGTGAAACCCAAGAACCACATGCCAGTTGAAACCTAAGAACCCACATGCCAGTTAAAACCCAAGAACCCACATGCTCATTGAAACCCAAGAACCCACATGCCCATTGAAACCCAAGAACCCACATGCCATTTGAAACCCAAGAACCCACATGTCAGTTGAAATCCAAGAAGCCACATGCCAGTTGAAACCCAAGAACCCACATGCCCATTGAAACCCAAGAACCCACATGCTCATTGAAACCCAATAACCCACATGCCCATTGAAAGCCAAAAACCCACATGCCCATTGAAACCCAAGAACCCACATACCCTTTGAAACCCAAGAAGCCACATGCTCATTGAAACCCAAGAACCCACATGCCCATTGAAACCCAAGAACCCACATGCCCATTGAAACCCAAGAACCCACATGCCCATTGAAACCCAAGAACCCACATGTTAATTGAAACCAAAGAACCCACATGCCCATTGAAACCCAAGAACCCACATGCCCATTGAAGCCCAAGATCCAACATGTCCATTGAAACCCAAGAACCCACATGCCCAGTGAAACCCAAGAACCCACATGCCCATTGAAACCCAAGAACCCACATGCCAGTTGAAACCCAAGAACCCACATGCCCATTGAAACCCAAGAACCCACATGCCCAATTGAAACCCAAGAACCCAAATGCCCATTGAAACCCAAGAACCCACATGCCCATTGAAACCCAAGAACCCACACGCCCATTGAAACACAAGAACCCACATGCCCATTGAAACCCAAGAACCCACATGCCCATTGAAACCCAAGAACCCACATGACAGTCGAAACCCAAGAACCCACATGCCCATTGAAACCCAAGAACCCACATGCCCATTGAAACCCAAGAACCCACATGCCAGTTGAAACCAAAGAACCCACATGCCCATTGAAACCCAAGAACCCACATGCCCATTGAAACCCAAGAACCCACATGCCCATTGAAACCCAAGAACCCACATGCCCATTGAAACCCAAGAACCCACATGCCCATTGAAACCCAAGAACCACATGCCCATTGAAACCCAAGAACCCACATGCCCATTGAAACCCAAGAACCACATGCCCATTGAAACCCAAGAACCCACATGCCAGTTGAAACCCAAGAACCACATGCCCATTGAAACCCAAGGACCACATGCCAGTTGAAACCCAAGAACCCACATATCCATTGAAACCCAAGAACCCACATGCCAGTTGAAACCCAAGAACCCACATGCCCATTGAAACCCAAGAACCACATGCCCATTGAAACCCAATAACCCACATGCCCATTGAAACCCAAGAACCACATGCCAGTTGAAAACCAAGAACCCACATGCCCATTGAAATCCAAGAACCCACATGCCCATTGAAACCCAAGAACCCACATGCCCATTCGAACCCAAGAACCCACATGCCCTTTGAAACCCAAGAACCCACATGCCCATTGAAACCCAAGAACCCACATGCCCATTGAAACCCAAGAACCCACATGCCCATTGAAACCCAAGAACCCACATGCCCATTGAAACCCAAGAACCCACATGCCCATTGAAACCCAAGAACCCACATGCCCATTGAAACCCAAGAACCCACATGCCCATTGAAACCCAAGAACCCACATGCCAGTTGAAACCCAAGAACCCACATGCCAGTTGAAACCTAAGAACCCACATGCCCATTGAAACCCAAGAACCCACATGCCCGTTGAAACCCAAGAACCCACATGCCAGTTGAAACCCAAGAACCCACATGCCCATTGAAACCCAAGAACCCACATGCCCGTTGAAACCCAAGAACCCACATGCCAGTTGAAACCCAAGAACCCACATGCCAGTTGAAACCCAAGAACCCACATGCCCGTTGAAACCCAAGAACCCACATGCCAGTTGAAACCCAAGAACCCACATGCCAGTTGAAACCCAAGAACCCACATGCCAGTTGAAACCCAAGAACCCACATGCCCGTTGAAACCCAAGAACCCACATGACAGTTGAAACCCAAGAACCCACGTGCCCATTGAAACCCAAGAACCCACGTGCCCATTGAAACCCAAGAACCCTGATCAAGCGCCCCCCCCCGCCCGCCTACCCCGCGCCACTTCACGAGGGCCCCCCCCGGCACGTGACGTCGCCCGTGGTGGTGACGTCACGGCGCGTCCGACATCTTCTCAGCGACGGCTCCTGTGACGGGCGAGTTGGGATCCGTTCCGTCGCTTTGGCCTCTTCCTTCCCCCTCGGCGGCGCGCGAGGACACACGACGACCATGTCGGACTTCGACAGTAACCCCTTCGCCGACCCAGAGGTCAACAGTCCTTTTCGGGTGCGTTCACGCGCAGTTTTGTTCGCGGTTGACTGGAGACTGCGGCTGGGGTGGTGGGTGAGGGGGGGGCGGTCAACGGTCTGGCCTAGTAGCCCTACCGGGTTTGAGACTTGTCAGCCGGCATGGATAACCAGGCCAGAGGACCCGTTTGCCCGGGTTAGTTACACAACGAGCGGCGAGCGAGATGACGCTTAATGGCTTAATTATTTAACTAATTAGGTACGCCGGAGATGATTACAGTACACGGGTAACCGCCTTGAGTGGTTTTAGTTGAGCTGTGAGGATCGTGAAATTCGGTACGCGCAGTGATGTGTGTGCGTGTATGCGCTGGGTACTGTGTCAGGCAGTCGGTGTTTGGTATTTATACCGGTACGCGTTAATGTGCTTCGCTTAATAGTCGTGGTGTTTATACATCAAGTGTGACTTACGCGCTGTATACTGATGCGGATGCTAAAGTAGTCTCTTTCAAGCTGTGTACCGCGGGGCCTGTGAATGTTTATATCCCACGCCATCACGGGTACACAACAACTACACAGTGGCTTTGTCGTTAACGGCCACGATACCAATGATGTTCGCGTTGGATTTATACCGTGAACTGTGCCACGGAATAAGTTGGTGTTTATATAGTAGATATACCGACACATTTACGTACTGAAGTCTCTTGTGAACTATTTGTGAACTGGTTGACATTTGAATTGAGTTGTCGCACCAGCATATATAATAGCTTCGTGTAAACCGGGCAATAGGAGTTTAGTTCAAGCCATGTACATCCCGTGGTCTCCTCTTGCGAATGATATCAGCGGAGTTATTTATTTTAACCTGGAATTTAAAGGGATGTAGGTGAACAACGACTGGTCGTTAAATCTTAGAACAGTGGAATGCAGGAAGTGATGTTCACCTCGATTCGCGCTCACGTTAGCAGAGCGATCTGCTGCTGTGCAAAATGTCATCGAGTCATCGATGTTTATGTAGAATCGTATTGACAGGCGCACAATTGTCTGATCTTCTCTTGTGAATGGTGTAACAGCCATCGATGTTTGACAGATGTCAATTTGACAGCGTATCGACCGACTCGAGCCCAATTGAGCCCTACACTTCTGTTTTAAGGGTGACGCAACCGGCAGGTAACAGTGGCTGCAAAATATCTGGGAATCTGTAGTGGCACTTGCAGAGAGGCCATGTCCTCTGTTGTGGACTAACATCACGGATGGTCTCCTGTGGCCGCTTGTTTAAATTATTTTCCTTCCCCGTCAGCTCAAGAGTGACAATAGGACAGGATGAACGCCTTGTATTCTTGTATTTTACTCGCTGGTACGACTTGAGTTCACCTCGCAACCTTTTGGTCATTAATATTTTAACTGACATTACTTCCTTATGCAGCTGACGATTGGGTATTACCCTCACCCTGGTACACACTGACATGCTTGCTCTTGTGACTCATTCACATCAACTTTAGAACAGGTGAAGCACTTTGATCATGTTGATTATTTCGTCACCTTGAATTAATACTGACATAGATGCACAGTGTTCAGTTCTTCTGAATTGTGTCACGGAAGTCATGAACGGCCTGGGAATTATGCATTGATAGTAATCTGGGTCTTCAGATTACAGGATGTGTGCTGAATAGCGCAGTCACTGGGAGTCGGAACTCAAGTGCCCAATTAAACTGGCCCAGTAGCTCTCAGCCGAGCCGTGTTGCTGTGCTTTTTCTATATATATAAAAGGGAAATTTGTGAATGTGTGTGTCTGTTCGAAATGTTTAGCATACTTCCCGACATGCTACAAACTTGAAATTTGCCATGTGGGTAGCTTCCAGACTGTACACACTGCAAAAAGTATAAAAATAGACGTTTGTGTTTTGGGGGGAGGGGTGCAATAATGCACATAATATATTTTGCACGGCAAGTGTGCGGTGACGTCACATCTGTGATGTCACCCGCATGCGGCAGCGTTACGCAGTGTGCCTGCTGACGTCACGCATCCCCCCCACCACCCTCCGCGTAGGCCGTGTATCCCGCACGAATGCGCGGCACAGCTGTCTCGATGTTCTAAGTCAACGCGACTATTTTAAGCTCGCTCTTAAATATAAAGCAGAAAATACATCTGTTTGTGTGAAGCAGCAAAAACTCTCGAACGCTGAGCTCTGACGTCATGAAATTTGCACAGCTTATTCTGTCTGGAATTTCTAAGGGAACGCGACAATTTTCAGCTCGCCACGTCATTCCTTTGCCTAAATCGACCTCACGTATAAGTGGGTTAAGGTTGCATTTCCTTCAGTGAAAAACATCCCAGTTAGTTAAATTGATTTGTTCGGCTTTTTTCTTTCTTGCAAGCATCAATTTTTTTCAGGGTTTTTCAGTGAAATATAAGGGAATATGAAATTAATCCGAGACAAGATTCCAAGTCCCGGGCGAAACCGGGTAGTGAATCTAGGAAAGTATAACGTTAACCGTTTTATTTTAGAGATGCTCATGACTTTGGAGAGGCTATCATCAAGCAGTAGTTCGATCATGTATAATAATTCCTGTATGTGTATTGTTTTAGTTGCTTATTGAATCACCGGGAATGCGTTTGATCTCACCAGATTTTGGAAGCAAAGCGGTATTTAGCCTGGTTAGTGCGTGTAACCATCAGTGTGTACTAGTTGTGGGAGAGCGGTAGTGTAGCAATTAGCGCTGCGCTACGAACCTGACGACCCGAGTACAATTCCCTCTCACAGCCAACAGTGACGATTATCTGAACCGGTCTTGGACCTTCCCTATGTCGACTAAGCCTCAAATGAGTACCTGATGCGGTGCGTAAAAACATCGCCACTCGGGAGACAAGGGCGTGCTGCTGGCCACCCACCCCCTCGTGTGCCGTTGGGACCTTCATAGGTGCTCGCTAACAGCACTTTTCCCAACAGTCTGTTAAGGCTATACAAGGGGTCTTTTTCAGTTCCAGTTGCTGTAGGATTGGCTCTAGTTTGTTGTAATCTTTCTGTGCGGAGTCTGGTGTGTTCGCCATATGCGTGGGTACTCCAGTTTACTCCCACATAACAATTGCTTATCAACATAATTTGCCGAAAGTCCCATTGCATAAACCTCGTGAAAAACTAAACTATAGAACTAAACTGCTTTATGAATATAAATACTTCATATTCACCACTGTGTTGGCACTCAAACCAGCAATGGGATGGTTGCCACCGATGTTGGCAGCCCTGATGAGCCAGTGGTGGAAATTACCCTTCCTCGAGGTTTTGAGGCAGCCTCTTAATAAACTGACCACTCTTGGCTTCCCACTAGTGGTGTCTGTTTTGTCGTCCCCCAGAGGGATGAATGATTATTACGATAATGTCGACCCCCCCAGCTGACATTTAATCTGGAAACCTTACATTTATTATCATACCAACATCAGTGAACCGACTATGTAGTTGAATTTCTGTAGGAATTGTGGAGACTGCAGAGGTATTTATTTATTGTTTATCTGCTGACATCTTTAAAATGCGTACCAGATGAGCCAATTGTTAATATTTTCGTGCATTGAAGCATGCTAATCGTTATCTTTTGGAACTTAAAAGTATGTACGTACATACATGAATATTATAACTTCATTACCAAAATTAATATTTTGGACAAACATTTCAGTGGAATAAAACAATACAATCTTAAAAAAAAACTCAATGAAACCTTAAAGGATTTTAAAGATAATTTCGTTTTCTTAATTAAATTGTCGAACCTCTTATTAGCAGTGTTTTCACAGATCAGTGGAGTTATCCTATTCGTGGTAGGAGATGCATCCAGAAGAGGTCGCCACTGGTGCTAAGTCGATTATATTGGTCACATTTAGTTTTGCCAATCAGTGGAGTCGTGTGACGAAATCAACCTGTTCCCATTTTCTACAATCTAAAGTAGTCTCTGCAGGCACTACAATTATCCTCTTATCTGCGGGGATCCCTGAAAGTGGTAGCAACATCCTTCCATTAGCGTTCATCTGCTGGTGACCAAGCAGAGTTATTTTTTTTTGGAAAAACCTGACTAAGAAGATCCACCTATCGCGTGCATCCACCCCTTACATGTGTACGTGTGTCATTTGACCCCAGGACCCCGCCGTGACACAGGTGACGAGGCAGACCCAGCCCGCCCTCAACGACTACAACCCGTTTGGCGATGGCTCGAAGCCGGTGCGTGAGCTCTTGACACCCTTTGAGATCACCAGCCTGCTGAGAAATCCGATACCAATACAATGTTAATGAAGCTGATGATGGCGGCGGTAGTAGAAGGAGCTGTGTTGAATGTTTGAGAGTTTAGTCATTGTTTAGATGGGTAAGTAAGCAGTGTTAAGAGTCATGTATGAGGGTGCGAATGAGCAGGTGAGGTTGTTATTGTTCATTGATATTGTAATGTTTTTTGTGTTATGTTTTCGCTGCCTGGCTATGCATATTGTAAAACTCTTATCAGACAATATATTGGGTTTATTACAGTCTTGGTTTTATATATATATATCATTTAATGTATGCATTTTGTAGCACTTATAAATTATTAGAATGTTCTTTGAATCACTGTATTAGGTTTATTATGATACTATTAAACTGCATTTCATGGTTGTATTGTTATTACTTTTATGCTGTAATATTAATATTTTATGTCAATAATGAACTAAAAATGCATATATTTGTATGCCAGTACAAAAAGGCCAGTCTCTGTGAGCGTACTCAACAGGGTGTTTAACTCCACTTTAAACAGACTGCATGCTTCACCAATTCATTAATCAACAACAACAACAACAGAATAACTTCGCGCAAGCTGCCCGTTTGAGCTGGGTTTTGCTGCGCCACCGTCTGTTCGAAACGTGATTGTGGCACGGTCCATTCGCAGGGCGCCTTGGTTGGAGCCACGCCTGCGGTGCTGCCCACCTCCCAACCGGCCGTCATGCAGCCCACGGAGGAGCCGCCCCCCTACACAGCCCAGGGCTCTGGAGGTTATGGCACACAGGTGTGACAACACTGTGTGACCTGGAATGTGAAATGATTCTGTAACTTTTGATTGAAAGCTTTCGTGACTGCAGGGATTCATAGTCTTGGTCCTTTCGGTAAAGTCACGTATTATTTTATTGTTTCCCTTCTACGTGACTTTAACGAAAGAACCAGGAATATGATTCTGTGTAACTGTTTCAGGCATGCGTTTCTCCTCGTAATTTGTGGATTGGTCCTCCCATCGTGCCTTGGACATCACTTAATCGTACTGCATCTATAATTGCACACAGCCTTGTTTTGGGCCACCAACTCAAAGAGGCAGTATTGTAGCCACATTGTTCAAATGCTTTTATTTGTCCGACAGGGTTAGCATTTACCTATTATGTAAGTGGGTCGTGAGATCGTATCTGGCGAACAATTGAGGCTGCTTTAATGAAAAAAAAAGAATCAAGAGTTGCAGTCATTATGAGACCTTAACAAGATATAGTAATAGGTTTTACACTTTTAACTGGCACAAAAACTGACACCTTTATTCAAGGCATCATGTTTGCAATAACCACAACACAAGCAGTCAAAATGCAAACAAAAGAGACAACTCTGATAATAATATGCACTGTCCTTGAATTTGATTGGTCCACACCCGAGACGGCTTTTCTTAGAGCCTAGTCTCCACTGGTGTTGGACCAGAAGACGCCAAAAGGCGTCACACAACTCAGTCATGGCAAGGGCTCGCCACTGTCATCGTTAACGTTACGCAGCTGCCCTGCGTAAACTTTAGTGCCCTGTGTAGTGGTGGTACATTTACAGGAAGCGATCGCCGTGGCCACAGAAAGCAAGGAGTGGAAGAAGTTTGTTCAGCCTCATCATCAGTCGACTTGTAATGACTGATTCATGATTTCGATTTAAAGCTTTCGTGACCGCAGGGATTCATATTCTTGGTTCTTTCGGCAAAGTCACGTAGAAGGGAAATGATAAAATAAGAAAAATGCAGCTTTATTTTATTATTTCCCTTCTACGTGACTCTACCGAAAGAACCAAGGAATATGATTAATGAGTAAGAGAAGAGTCGGTAGTGGTTCGGTGCGGTGACTGCGCCGGTACTTTGATGCCACAGGGACCTTCGGCATCGGCGGCGGCGGCACAGGCGGATCTGCTGCGGAGGCAGGAGGAGCTGGAGAAGAAGGCGGCGGAATTGGATCGACGCGAGCGTGAGATGCAGACACAGCCAGGAGCCGGTGAGCTGCTTGTCCCAGCAGCCCCCTTCCTGGCAGCTCGTGCAGCCAAACTAAAGGGGCGCCACGGTGGCGAGATGTTTACTACCTCGCTCGGTATATAGGAGGTCGTGGGTTCGATCCCGACCCCTGACGTCTGCTGTATATTTTGAGCTTGCCATGTTCACCTCGTGGTGGAGTGGATTTTTCTCTGGTTCCTCTGATTTTTCCCTCCACATTTAGGAACATGCATTTAGAGTATTTGGCTGCTGTACAGTTTCACATGATAATCCGCATTTATTGAGATATTGTTTGTGGCCAGGTCGCTTCTGTAAAAGAGCTGTATAGCTCGGTGGGCCTTACCTGGTAAAATAAAAAAAAATGTTTAAATAGTTTCGTTTAAATATAACTGCACTGGCACACAGCTGTACTCACACTTTTGCACGGATACAGTCGTACTTATACATTGGCATGCAGTGACACAGTCACTGAAAAAGAGTTCCCCTGACACTCACACTCCCATATTAACAGATCCCATTACTTTGACACCAATCTTAACCCTCTGATCTTGAAACCAAATTCATTCACCCATATACCCCTCACCAAATACGTTCTCACCCAGGGTTTCTCAAATTCCCGTCCATGAAATCTGCTACAGTACACATGTTTTACTAGTCCTCAATAAAAAATCATTATGTGCTCCATACAGTTAATGATTTCTAAATGTCCCTCGTGATGTAGACAACACCGAGTCAAATTCAGATATGCGTGTGTATATATATACCCCAATGTAGGAGGGTCCTGCATTGGGAAGTTTGCTGTGTTGAAAGAAATTAGAGTACCCGGTGAGAGTCGCACGTGCGAGGGGATAACACGGGTCGGCATTGTGCGGCTCCGGAGCTTCATGTGGCTATTTAAGGACTGGTTCGAGACCCTTTTTATTAAGGACCACCACCATCTCGTATCCACGTGCATTGCGGCTCTTGAAATATTGAGTTTTCTTTTTTTCATCGAATTCTAACACGATGGCTCTTCTTGTTATTTTGGTTGCCGACCCCCTGGGATAATGCAGCAGTACCATCTCCTGGCATTATGACACCTCCCCGCTCACCTCTGGCAATAACCCAGGTGCCTCAGCCTGCCCGTGAACCTTGAAGCGTTGTGAGCTGGCTGCCCCGCTGTGTGCCGTGTTCCACAGTGAAGAAGAACAACTGGCCCCCGCTGCCCACGCAGTGTCCTGTGGGGCCGTGCTTCTACCAGGACATTCCCGTCGAGATCCCGGTGGAGTTCCAGAAGACCGTGCGGATGCTCTACTACATGTGGATGTGTAGGTCTCCGCTCTGGCATTCACTTGCTCGCACCCTCCTTGAAAGAAGATCCGACCCAAAGAACACAGGGGTCTTACTTTATAGTGACGTGCACGGCTATGCATTGTTTTACTCTCCAGAAATTAAGTGATTTGTCCAGATTTTAGGGTCTCCTATGAAGAAGGGCCAATGCCTAAAACATTGGTTATTATATATTTTCCTTTTAAGGCCACAGTGTTATTGATTAATGTGTTGAGTTTTAGGGTCTCAAGATGGATTCAGGGAACAATAATTTGTTTAGTTTGTACTATGTCCTTGATATTGTCTTATTCTTTTTTTATCACATTCTGCCTTTTTGTTCTATTAACCGAAATGAACATTAGTATTTTTTTATCATATATAATGTATTCATACATGCACGAGTCAAATATTGTCTTGTGAGTGAAATAAACATTTTTTTTAATTGATATATTAATGCATTTCTATTCATTGCATGCCAACTTAGTCCAACTTTATCCTAAAACTTAATTAAAAGGTGATTGTTTTACGCAAATAGAACAATCAATGTAGGTCAAACGAGACTGACAGTACCATTGATTCAGGACAAATGATGCAAAATTTCTAAATTTTAAAATCAAATCTTAACAAGGTAGGGGGGGATGAATCATGACATGCTTACTTACCAGCCCTATTTTCCATTTAACAATGCGTCAGTTCCGCAATGAAAAGTGATTCTTACGATAACCCGAATTATGCATGTAAGAATCAGTAATTTTTGGTTCGTTCACTTGAACCCTGCAGTCACAACAGGCGCTACATTGATCGAATTGTTAAAAATAAAATTGATTCTTTAATCGGTGGCCCGCAGCCCCTCCCCCCATCCTGATAATTCATTAAATTGTGGGTCGGGGTGAGAGGTGAATTGTTACGCTTCTAATATTAATCCAAAGGAGATTACCATGCATGGGGAAATGTTGTCAAACTTGGACCGAAAGCCACAAAAGCTACACATGTAACATTTATTAAAACAAGACATTCGTCTGTAACACTGTGGCGTTAAAACGATAAAGGTGTATAATAGGTTACATTTCGGGCACATAGGCTCGTGAAGAAGGGCTATTGCCTGAAACGTCACCTATTATAGGTAACTGATTATATATTTTCTATTTTTAAGGCAGTGTTATGGACGGATGTGAGGGTTTTTTGTATATTTGTGCTTGTGCACCATTGCCAATGCAGTATCACCAAATCTTTTGTTTAAATTCCAAATGTCAGCATGTTTAGACCACAGCAGTGCGTGGATAGGCGTTTTGTGAACGACATGGTCATTGGACACACGGCTATTTTCTTTCGAGTCCATCACCCTGCAAGGGAGAACCAAATCCTACCTGCGCTCAATATTAATCAGTGAAGTGGAGCAAATAAACTCCATTTCAGGGATTTCTGTATCCTTAAAGTAATTGGCTGCCAGTATTCAGCTGCCTGAGCACCATTGGAGTAAGTAATCAGTGACAGTTTACCCAAAGTCCCGTTTTATTCTTTTAGTAATTGAATATTTAAGCTGCCGTGTAAGTAGTGGTTGGTCATTAGCAAATTGGGGTGAAGTGGAGGTGCAGTTGTTGGTGCACTGTACGATGAATCCGGTCACCCGAGTTTGATTCCCTGCCACAGCTGTCACCGCTGGCAAGTGATATCTAAATTTATTCTGGAATACCCCCTTCTTTGACACGCACTGGTCATTGTGGTGAAGTATGGTCAAACAACCCCCATAAGCAAGGAATCCTTCAAGAGTGAAATAGGCAAAAGGCTTATAAATGGAACTAAACGACAAACTATTTAAATATATACGAAATTTTTCAATCCGTTCATAATTATCGTCGTCATTACTCTGGGGTTGCTTAAAATGATTACCACTTTGTGAAGCTGTACTGCTCATTGGTATCATCAAGATTGATTGTCTTTATATAGAGAGTGTTCCCCGTCGTAGAAATGTGGAATAATCACTCGTGGTTCATGCTTACAATTGAGACCATTGTTATTTGATGACAGTTGTACTAGGCATGTCAGGATACCAATTATAGAATTGATTCGTGACTCAATCCGCAAATTGATTTCTGTCTGTTTGAAATTAGGTGTTGACAATTCATGAACATTTATTTTAAGCAATATTTTCTTAAATGTATAAACGAGAAGCAATTCCGTCGGAGATGGTCAATATGAGACAAAAAGGAATTGATTCTTGCAAATAATCACTGCCCCGAAGGGTGACAATTCATTAAATTGCTGGAGAGGCACGTTATTACGTGCCGAATACGCACGCTGCAGTGCGATTATCATCGCTAGCTCATGAGTTAATTGGGCTGTTTATAAAAGAACCCACAAACAACGCAAACGTACTGTGCGCACGCTTGCATATCGTTCTTACCCGCCCCTACTGAACATCTACGAAAAATAGCTGTATAGCTCATTGGATTCCTGCAGTTTGAATACATATTTTGATTCTGGTTCTGAAGTCCATGCAGTCACGCTGTTCCTGAACCTGCTGGGCTGCTTGGCGTGGTTCTGCGTGAACACGGCGCGTGGCATCGACTTTGGCATGGCCATCCTCTGGTTCCTGCTCTTCACGCCGTGCTCCTTTGTGTGCTGGTTCCGGCCGGTCTACAAGGCATTCAGGTCGGTACCCGCACCACGTTTTTGGGGGGTGGTAAGCCTTCCTTAAGAGTCTCCAGATTCCCAGTTTTTTTTTATAATTGTTTCGCTTAACTCAGAATTATTTTTGTTAGTGAAGTAACATGACTTATTATATTCTTAGCTCTTTCGGTAAAGTCACGTTGAAGGGAAACAATAACGTGACTTTACCGAAAGATAACAATAACGTGACTTTACCGAAAGAGCTAAGAATATGAATTGCTGCAGTCACGAAAGCTTTAAATCAAAATTTATTACTTATTATTTTACTATGTAAGGCTCACTGAGCTATACAGCTCTTTTTTAGAAGGGACCTGTCCACAAATGGTAGCTCAACGAAGTGGCTTATCACGTGGAACTTTATTGCAGCCAGATACTCTAAACGCGTGTTTATAAAACTGGTTGTTTCAGTGATGTTTCTAAATGTGATTATCTGACCTAATTTGTGTCTCAAGACCCTCTATCACCTGATATAACCAAATAAATGAAATTGTCACGTGTACAAGTGTTTAAACACGCCAATTACCAATTTTTCTTCAGCTCACCGTATGTTGAATAATAATCACAACCATTTTATCAACTAATATCTTTGGTTTTCTTGAAATTATGCCAAGCCACTTGAGCAGAAAATTAAGAAATTCAGAATAAAATCCAGCAAATCATAATAGCTACGACAAGCCAACGAGTTACATGAACCTAACTCTCATTCTTGCTGCTGGGCATTTGTTCCTTTGTGAACACATTCAAGTTTCGACAATTCACTTGGCAAAATGATTTGGCTTATGCTTCATGACCAGTAAGGAACACATTGTACGTGCTGAGACGTGTTTCCAGTCGACGATTTTAACAATGTTATGTTTGTTTTCACCTCCCCTTCCAGGAGTGACAGCTCCTTCAACTTCTTCCTCTTCTTCTTCATCTTCTTCTGCCAGTTTGTGGTGCACGTGATGCAGTCCATCGGCATCCCGGGCTGGGGAAACTGGTACGTGCCTGGGTGGCTTTCTCCCTGTTCCCGGCGCCTGGCAAATTGTGGTGTTGTGCCGCCTAACGCCGGATTATTGAACTTCCTGGTGAATCCCAAAGTTCGGCGTCTGCTGTTAAAATTAATACGAAAGGAGGGCGTACATTCCCAAAAAAACTGCTCCTGTTTTGCCATTGCAATGTAAGGCTCCGTTTCCCACATTGACTGACGCAGGCTTTCATCTTAATTCATGACAAAGAACGGTTGAGCGGTAACGCAGTTGTTTGCTTACTGCACTGTGAACTCAACGACCTGAGCTCAATCTCTGGCCACACCTAACATCAGTGGTGAGTGAATATCGGAACCGGTCCTGGGCCAGGCGACCGCCTTAACCAACCGGCGCGTGTTATCTATAAACATGGATTGTTTGGTGCAGCGGTTAGTACACGATGTGATGAACCCAGTAACCTGAATTAGATTTCTGGCCGCTACGAACATCAGTGGCGCATTATATATGAATCCATCCCTGAGCTGAACCCCTTTTACCAAGCCATGCTGACCAGCATGGTGAAGTATGGTCAAGCAACTTCCAATGGTGGCATCGGGTGGCCTTCATGCACCAGTGGATTTACAGGAGCTGTAAAAATGATAAAATACTTAAACGTGGTCATCGTGATTTTCCAAATGACGCACTTATGGACGAGTCTCTCACATGGCCCATGTGGTTTATATGCGGCTGCTCTGTTAACTCGTGCTGTGGTTGGAACTTAGAGGGTACCACGCACACTCCGTTGGGCTCACGCTCACACACTGTTGCACGTCGCCGTGTCATTCACAGCGGTTGGATCGCGTCTCTGGAGGCGCTGAACCACAGCATCGGTGTCGGCATCATCCTCATGTTGCTGGCCGCCTTCTTCACCGGGTCGGCTGTGCTCTCCGTGGTCATGCTCAAGAAGGTGGGCGCCCGTGCAGACAGCCCTATGGGCTTGGCTTGTTGGGATAATCATAAATTATAATTATTCTCTATATTTCCAGATGAAAGCTTCACCCAGTCAGAAGTCTTCCAGGAGAGTCATACATTTGGATATTTGACCAATTCCTTTACAAGATAGTACAACGTGTATTTATGTGTCGGCTCATTTCACCTGCATCTTAAGACGATGGTACAGACACTGGGCATATATAATTTTCAGGCTGTCAGGGTGATTTACTTTCAGGCTCATAATAATAAGAACTTAATATACATATTTGATGTTTGGTCTGCCAGCCTGTCCATCTGGTGGCTTGCGATTGGCTTTCATTGTTTGTCACACATTACTGTCTGCAGTGTCCAAAAAAGCTGAAGGCAGTGGCGATGAGCTCCCCTAAAATATTTTTGGAGAATATAGTCCCGAAAATGGATTACGTTTTGTGAATATTAACCAAATTATTCTCTTGTTTTAAATGAGCACTTTGGCAATCTAAGCTAAACGTTTAGTTCATAGCAGGACAGGATTATGATCTTGGCCCAGGTCCTGGCCCCAGTTGCGAAAGGCATGAATTGGCTGAGATTTAGCCCATATCTTGAGCGGTCATATGGATGGGACCCGCTATAAAAGCCAAACGTGAAATTGAGCATAAAGTGGTAATGGGGAAAGCTGTTGTGAGTGTAGAGCCCAACTCCTATGCTCATCAACTATCCATCTGGCACTAGCCTTACTCCTGACCATGACTCACCATGCATGTCCCCCAGCCTTTACCACTGTTCAATTTTCAACTCTTTTCCACTATGATCGAATGCATTTATGCTTTAGCTCTGGCCACCTGCCTGTCTGTATTGGGAGCAGGGGGAGGGGGTGCATGATGACTCTTGAAAAGATGATCTGGGAAACATAACTTTAGGATAAAAAGTGATATTGGTAATTGGGACCCAAAACTTATAAAACCAAATCCGTGGTCGTAGGGACCCACCTTGTTGTCCGGGGCCTGGCTGGCCAAAAATGCGTCAACCTCAGCAGAGCTGCTGTCCAATTCCCGGCGTCTCAACCATGGGCTTCTCTTTAATTTCTTAAAATATTTCACCTGTAAAATCCCCTGAAATGGAACATCTCGTTTGCCAAGGTGTTCGTGGTGTCGACTGACACATGCGTGGCAAACAAGTGATATTATACGCATGCTGCGCGCTTGCCCGCGAGCATTAACGTTATTCTCGCGAATGGTCCACGCGTCATTTTTTCTTCTTTTGGCTTTGGCATTTTGCCCTCTGACAGTGCCTGCGTGCCCTGCCCCTGTCGCCCGTGCCGTAGGTGCACTCGCTGTACCGACAGACGGGCGCCAGCTTCGAGAAGGCGCAGCAGGAATTCGCCACGGGCGTCATGTCCAACCGAACGGTGCAGAACGCGGCCGCGACGGCGGCTACCAGCGCTGCAAGGAACACGTTCACCCCTAACTGAACGGGCACCTTGCAGGCGCCTCTCAATGCCTGTCCATCTATCTGTCAGTTCGTCTGTCCACCCATCACACAGCCATGCAGCCCATGCCCCCCGCCTGCCTGCCCTGCGCTGTACTCCTTTACAACTACACACCCCCCCCCTCTCTTCCGACGCTTCGCAGTGGACAAGTTTTGCACCGGTTTATAATGCTGCGTCGTGCGGTTTTAGAGCGCGGGTGTAAATACCACCCAGTTATTTCCGAACGTGGTCATGCAGGGGATTGTGGGAGGATACCGGTGATGCAAGGAGCGTATTTAGCACGCTCGCAGATGCCACGTATTTTCCGATACTTGGTGCACGATTCCCTGCACATTCTTTGCCGATGCCCCCTGTATAGCGTCTTTCTTTGGCATAATGACTTGGTTTGAATGCCTTTATTGCCTCTTGGTAACAACCTGCAGCCACATTGAAGCCCTTTAAAATTCACTTAAATTCGATGCAGAGGTGGCATGGCACTTGCTGCGTCTTTTTATCCCAGGAATCCCAACTTGAATCCTATCCCACATTGATAGGACTTGAAATGATCAGTTTTGGACCCCTCCAATGTCTGTTCAGCCTCAAATAAGTACACAATGTTGAAAGCACTTCTGGGAAATGAATACACTTTTGAGTGTTACCAGACCACAGAGCAAATGCTATTGAGCAGCATTTGTAAGCATGGACGGGCTAAGGTACGATGAATATTGGTGTAAATTTACATTTACGGTGGTCACTCACAATTCTTGTTTTTGTCATTGTCTCTTAACCCTTTCCCATTTCGATGACGTACATGTACTGATGACGTACATGTACTGATGAACTACATGTACTGATGACGTACATCTACGACATGAGTTTTTTTTTGCGATTCCGTTCCGATGACGTTCGTGACGAGCACGTCATCGGAGCGGAATCGGAAGTAGAAGGCCAATGCGGGAGGGCTTGTGGCACAGTTTGGTGCCAGCTGTCAGTGCGGTTATGCCGCTACAGTTCTCTGCGGTGAGCGTGTTGTCTTTGAAAACAGCGGCGCTATGCCTTTCTAATTAAAATTAACGCTGACCGCTTGCACGTTCCGAGATTCAGCGGTGCGGACGTCTCGGGATGGGAAAGAGTTAATCCTGAGCAAGGTTGGACCGTCAGGTCACCCACATTCCAAAAATTGTCAGCTTTTAGTGACTTGCATCGCTCAGCTGTGCATCACTTAACAGCTCAAGAAAGCAGTGTGGGTGGCCCGTCAGCAGGTGGCAGCCAGGTCTTCTGAAGTCTGCTAAGGTAAAATGTTCCCTTTGTTTTTCAACAAAGGGAACATAAGGGCAAGCGTGTACGGTTGTTGTGCAAACTGCGTCCAGACTTGGGGTTGAGTTTAACAAGACGTGGCAATGCGATTTTTGTTTTCTGCATGTTGTGTTGGTTTTTTCTTCTTCTTGTCTTCGTCGTCTTCCTATTACGCCACCCATTCCCCCCCCACCCGTGAAGTTGGCCGCAGTAGCAGCCGATTCTGCGTTTTAATGTTTTGTGTCGATCTGTAAACACGTGCAATGGAGTGCGAGTGCCTGCGTCCTTGCGCGCGTAGCGTGATCCATACACAGCGCACGCGCGCTGCATTGGCGGAGTCACGTCGCATGGAGGCCGGCAACCTCAAGCCCTCTCGGTTTCTCCGTAAAACTTCCCGAGTCACAGCCCCGGCCTTCTGATTAGAAGCTGCTTACGTATTTTAGGGAATTATTCTGCGATTGCTTTCTCACTATTCGAAGTGCTTTTGTTTGTTTGTCGTTTCCTTCCCCTGTTTTGATTACATAAATATGTACGCGTATTTTAGAGGTTTTTAACATTCTCTTGTGTACGGGGACGCGTGTGTCCCAAAGAGTTTGTTTCGCGTGGTCACCCCGGCCAGAGCGGCGGTGCGAGTGATCAGCAAGGGGGGGTTGGGGTGGGGGGGGGAGAGGAAACGATGACGTTCGCGACGTCATAGAATGTAATCCGGAATGTAATTTGTGTACTGCAATTCACTACCTTGCTTATCTGCAGTAGAGTTAATTGATTGCGTAACAGATTACGATTAATGATTGGTGATGGACGCCCTAGTCTCCAGTGTATTTGGTCATCGTTTACTGGTTTCGGTGTCATTAGCATTCTGTAAGTGAGTTACAATTTAAAATAGACTCTCTTGACCTCTGTCTACCTGTACCCATCTCGCAGTGCACTGTCCACACTTGTTGGTATGATTACAGCGGTAGTTTGTTCCTTATTGCAATTATTTATACTGTTTTGAAGCTACTAAAAACTGTAAACACACTAAGGTTGATGTGGCTGTAGGAATTCATGGCGTCCCAAACTCGGAGCCATTCGTGATGAAGGCACGGAGACGAGAAAAGAAGCAAGACCTCGATGTCATTCCTCCTGCCTTGTTTCAGAAAAACCGTAGCGGTATTAATGAGTCTCGTGCAAAAACGAAACAAGGGAAGCCCCTTTTTTCTTTCAAAGGTCAGGACCCAATACAACGAATTAAAATGTAGAGCTGCTCACTCATATCTGAACCACAACCAATCCATGAAAGTAAATAGTGTTAAAGTCAAGTAATTGATTTTATGTATGTATAGGCACACACACACACACACATATACGTGTTTAAGGTTATTAAATATGTCGGTGAGAGAGTAAAAATTACTATTGTACTTTAGTGACTTTATATTTCACCCAGCCCGTGGCTACGAAAGTCCCCCATTCCATTGAGCCCAGGGTGGTGGGTGCTCACTCGTGTTGGTGCAGTGGTGGTGGGGGGGGAGGGTGCGGTGCGGTGCGCTGCCGGGTCTCTGGACACGACACCGCTGCCTCCTGTGCGCTTTAAACATCGCGGTAGCATGAAGCCACCCTGCAGGGCACGGTTCGCGTCGAAACATGTCATCGCGTCGCCAAGCCGCGTCCCCGACAGCCGCGTCGTGACCGGCGGACCGATTGCCCTGCATGCAAGAATAAAATGTCGTGTTGCCCGTTTGTCAAATGACCTCATTGCCGTCGGTGTAATATTTTGGCACCCCTCCTTGACTTCGTGGTTTTTCCAGTGAGTAGAGTGGGAGTGTGGGGGGGGGGGCGGCCCCGGATGATGTCACTTCCTCCTCTGTTCACAAGTGAATCCTGCACATGGGAAGCCATTCCAGAGAAGGTGGTCGTGTGGAAACGAGGTCTTATGGCGTGCGTACGTCTTTGGACAGCATGCTCCGTGTTTCATCTGACGTTGCTGTTCATGCTGCCGGTCCAGGGTGCTCTTGGTTTCTGCTCGAGAGTTTTTGCCCGATGCGTTTCCGTCGGACCCGTTGCCGGTGGGGGAAAGCAATTTTAGAATACCTAAGTTATTTTCCAAATTGTCGAGTGGGATGTAAATGGGTTGCAACTCTATCATTAGGTGTGTTTTTCTTTTTTGTTTTGTCTTTTTTTTCCCCATTAGGTCCATGGTCGTTTACATTGAGTGAGGCACTAGATAGAGTTACACGGTGGACCGTTATAATGCATGGGCGACTTGTAGCCATGAATGTCGCAACTTTGCAAAAATCTCGGCAGCGATCGAAGTGAGTGCAAATCTTAAATTTCAACAAAACGCGCGCCCAACCGTTTGGCGGGACAAGCCGTGCACGTTCCGACACTCGGCTGGGATACGGCGTCCACTGCACACGCCTTGTGGCCCAGAACCAACTGGTTTTTTTTGAAGGCCTAACCTGGTGCTGTTTTGCATGGGCTAACTTGCAATGTACGCAAGGGGGATGGAGTTGTCCGCATGAAAATTGAGCGACAATTTAGCATCGCTCAAGCATCCTGACGTGGCCAAAGGTTCGATTGTGCGGGGTTGGGGTGGATTCGGGTGGCCCATTCTCACCACTGCCTTTCCCCACGCGTTCCAACCTAGAGTGCCAGATTAGCCCCCCCACCTCCCACACCATATAGTTTTCACGCGTGCAAAGTTACGTTTTGATTTTGTTCACCTCCACAACGTCCTCCCTGTGGAATTTGGAAAGGCTGCGTGTTCAAGAATGCACTCTTAAATGTCTCATTGGAGGCGATGTCCTGTACTGTGATGTTTTGCAAAAGTGGGCGACATCATTGGATTAAAGCATAAAATTATTGATCCGAAGGCTGCGTGTGCCGCACGTGACCCTCTTTTCTGTGTTTCTCCGTTCGTGTCCTCGTGCCCAGTTCCTTTTGATCTTATCAAACTCGCGCCGCCACTCGGGGGCCGGTCTGCCCGTCTCCACCTAATCCACAGGATCGTGCTCCACCACAGCACGAGGAGTTCACAGTTTTGCCGTTCATCTGCGCTGTTTACGGCGGCGGTATCCGTCCTCTCCTGCGCATCTAGCCAGTTCGCGGCTCACATTGGAAAAAATACTTTGGCCGCGTTCAATGCACACTCATCTCTTGCACTGAGGCCACTTCAGCCTCAAAAAGGGCCCTCGTGCGTATTTTAAGAAAAGGATCAAGGGTAGCAGTGGCGTGACAACAATAATAATCATTGCACTGGGTGGGGTGGGGTGGTGGCGCAGTGGTTAGCGAACTAAAGTAATCCTTGGCACGGATGACATTACCGGCGGGTGATATCTGAACCGGTTCTGGGCCATCAACACGCACACTGGCCAGCTTGATAAAGTATGATCACACATCTTCTTTGGTTCTTTCGGTAAAGTCACGTAGAATGAGAATAAAATAATGAAATAAAACAATCAAATTCTCACGACGTTTCGGCCACAACACAAGTAGCCTTCTTCAGGTGAAGGAACAAAACTGTCGGGACGTCAGAGCTTTAAATCGAAATGTGTTGGAAATGACGTTGGAAGACCTTCATGCTGCAGTAGATTGATTATGCCGCTGTTGATTATTTAGTGTTGACTATTTTCAGTCTTGGGTCATGTTACAACAGCGAAGACGGAAACGTGGGGCAAGGGGAACCTAGGACCGCCGGGAGACGCGAGAAGCGTATTACGTGAATTACTGAGCGAGCCAAGACACGTGGTGGTGGTGGTGGGGGGGAGCGTTGCGTTGCACATCTCGAAAATAAATGAGGGAGCTGGGTGAGATTCTGCAGCATTGTGGAACAACCGAGTGACAATCGGTGACGGCCAAGACAACAAATCCCTCCTGATGGGGAAAGTCATGGGAAGACAGCTTGGGGTTTTATCGAAGTAAATAGTGTAACACGTAGGCTTTCGCGATCAATTCTGGCCGTCGCTTGATTATGCTGGTTGTAATTGCCGGCGAAACGTCGTGCTCAAAATGTTATTGTTGTGGGTTCATTCTCCAACACACCGGTGTGCTGAACTAATAACGAATTGCCATGTTTTGTTTACGTGACAACCCCCACTAATTTGTTGTGGCGGGTTTAACGACACTTTCACGTGTTCTCACCCAACAAAACATCTTATGGAGTAGCCAATAATTACGTCCAATCAACTCCTCGCTCCCTACATGTTGCTTCCACCTTGCTGTCCTATTGGGTACGGCGAAGAGGTTCTGCATCCTCCGCCTGGGTAGGGTTTTCCAAATGTATTTCAGCCTTGGTCGATATGAATATTTTCGAGACCTCTGTCAAGCCACCACTGGATGGAGGTATCGCCAAGCCTTGTTAGTTATCGATGTGGAGGGTGCTGTTCGACTATACTTCACCACACTGGTGAGTGCAAGTTGTTGAAAGGGGCAAGCCCCCAGGACTGGTGCAGACATCGCTCTCAACTGATCTTTGCCTGGAGTATAAAACCTCACCCCATGCGTGCTGCAGCTACGTTATCAATTACATAATAAAGTATGTTACATAAAACAATCATATTTAGGAATTGGCAACCCCATCACGGCTATCGATTCATTGAAACGGGAACGGCAGCCTATCACAGCGCAACGACTCGTGACTTCCCCTTTGTCATCGGCTACTTGCAATGCAAAAAAACAAACCCCTCGTGGTTACCAAGGCTCTCACAGTTCCCGGGTGTCCTCTCGAGCTGCCAGCATGATGCCAATGAGGTTCAAGGACTCTTTCTGGGTAAGTGTCGACACCGACCCCCTTCACTGACACTTGCCATCAGTTTGTCAAAGAGCAAAAAAAAATCTCTCGGGGCATTTCAAAATTTGTTACGGATAATAATATAGACATTTCTCGTGAACCCATGTAAAGATAATTTAAAGGTAAGTGTCTCTCAGCCCGCATCTTATCATAAGCGGTTGGCCTACATTAAACCCTTCGCTTATGTTTCATCATCAGTATCATCATCAGCCGGTTTCTGTCCACTGCTGGATGAAGGCCTCCCCGCGCCCATCGCCGCAGGTGCTCGACGGATTGTGAAATCGTAGGATCGTGAGAGATGGCGACGGCTTGGGAAGCTTTTCATTCAGCAGTGGATTGATCATGGCTGTTGCTATTTGTGGGTTTTGCCAGCATAATTTTTGGTTTTATCCATAAGAGAGGTTTTTTTGGGTTAGATCGCGTAAATATAAATGTGTCGTTAAACCCGCCACCACCCGACACAGCCAACTAGTAAGGTCTGTCACGTAACCAAAACGTGCCAATTAGTTACTAGATCAGCACACCGGAGTGTTGGAGATTAAACCCACAACAACATTTACAATTCGAGTACCGTGACATTTCACCGGTAATTACGACAACCAACATCATCAGGCGGCACCCAGAATTGTGGAGACGTCCTCCTTTTTTCGGTCTTATATTTACGCGATCTAACCCAAAAAAAACCCCTCTTATGGATAATATTGGTCGCGAAAGCCACCTCCTAACACTACGTGTTAAATATTGGCTTTAGTGACGGACATTTACAAAACGTTCCAGAAAAAATGGGTTGCTGAAATGACAGAATCAGAATGTGTATTTATACTGGAGGAACCCGATGAGCTATGAAGCTCTTTTTCACAGATGTTCAGTATTTTCACAGATGTCACGTTGGGATTCAGCGTGCTTTAAACTCTCTCGCTGCACACCTTGCTAGACGTTGGTTTAAAAACTAAAACAGACGTTTTCAAATGGTTTGTCCCCCATCAGGCCCTCAAAATGTTTTTTTCATTACCAGTTTTGTAAACCTAGACCTGCCTACATATGCAGATACATAAACCCTCACGGCTGGCTTCATGTATTTGAATCACCTAACTTATAGCGGAACTTATGGAGTTACAGCCCTGCTCTAATTTGCAGTTGTCAATCCCCTGCTAGATGAAGCTCCGACCTGCATTTATAGCTACATCGTTTTTAATCTCCATTTTTATACCGTCTGTGTTTTTAGGAATTTTGTTCAGGTGTATTTAAGATGAAATACTGCAATGTTATGCTGTCCAAGTCTTCATTAGTAATAACAGTACACTTTATATACCTCCTTTAAGTGAGACCCCAGTATTTACAGATATATAATGTAAACACAAGAGGAACTTAGCTTATCCACTTGACTCGTGTTACTAAAATACTGATGTGTTGTAGTGTAATTGCCGCACTTACTGCACTCACCGCTACGAACGTATGCATATTAGAGCAGTCTTAGAGAAAATATATGCAGCACGGCACTGGTTGTAATATTGGTGCCGGTGGTGATGGCAGGGTCGTGGTTCGCACGCTGCGCTACGAACCCGGCGACCCGAGTTCGATTCCCGCTCACGGCTAACACAAGTGACGATTATCTAAATCGGTCCTGGGCCTCCCCTAGGTCGACTCAGCTGCGAATGAGTACCTGGTGCGGTGTGTACACATCGCCACTGGGGAGACAAAGGCGGCCGGGCGTGGTTTTGGCCAGCCACCCCCTCGTGTGCCGTGCCGGCCTTCATAGGTGCTCGCTAACAGCACTTGCCCCAACAGTCTGTTACAGGCTATACGGGGGATCTTTGTCTTTTGGGTGGTTGCAGTGCTTGGTGCTGGCATCCGTAGTGCCGGTTGACCTTGAGGTTGTAAACCTGGTTCCGCTGTTGCTGGTAGTGCTCATTCTTTTGTAATGACGACTTGATACACTTTCCTGAGATGGTTTCTTTTATTGACGACACGTTCACTTGAACAGGCGGAGAGCCCCACTGCGACAGCTCCGAGTCTCCCGCGCATTTCCCTTATATACCGAGGCCACGCCCCCTTTCCTGAACCTTCTCGCTGGTTCGAGACGCTTGCTCCACCAGCAGACTCCACCGTCCTCTTCCGCCACCTGGCCACGCTCCTATTCTCGACCATTCCCGCAGCCACCAGTCCATTCGTACTGCAGGCTGACTCCCCTGACATTATCTCCCGTGGCCACTAGTCCACTCGCACCGTAGGGTGACTCCCCTGTCATTACCTCCCGTGGCCACTAGGCCACTCACACCATAGGTTTGACTCTACTGTCATTACACTATCGCTGCCTGTGCTGCTGCTGCTGATGATGATGATGGTGCATGACGCAGTGCGCCGACTTCACGAGCACCGTGGGTTACGATGTCCTCGTCGCCCGACTCACGGATGGACGCAAAATGTGCAAAGACGTGGAGGATCTCATCAAAAGCAGGTGACGCAGAGAGGTGGCCATGTGGACTCAGCGGGATGCACAGCGCTCGTCCAGGGCTTCCGAGTGCCACGGTTCAAATCGGTGGTGGGAAGTGTGGGCACTCGTGCAAGAAATTCAATTATTTGGCTGCTGTGAATGGCGAGATGTTAGCCACATCGCCTGGTATACATGAGATCGTGGTTTCGATCCAAACGCTGGCGCCTGTATATTTAAAGTGTGCATGTCTCTCTCACCGTGGTGGCGTGGATTTTGTTCCGGATCTTCCTTCTACATTTTTAATTGACATGAGTTCAGAGCATTTGGCTGCTATGAATTTCCACACGATGAGCCACTTCGTTGAGCTGTCATTTGTGGCCAGGTCTCTTCCGAAAGAGGATAGCTCAGTGGGCTTTGCCCGGTAAAATAAAACATAAGTTTACTCTTAATTTATTTTATTGTAGTGATTTGAATACCTTTCCTGTACCTCGCACCCCCTATAGTTTTGTTGCATTGTTGTGAGCAAAGTTGTCACGTTCTTACCCGCCCCTACTGGAACCCTGTGAAAAAGAGCTTCACAGCTCATCGGATCTCTCCATGATTAATAAAGATTCGGATTCTCAAAATAAATGTGGCCTCCTGTCCAATTTCCCCGTATTTCATAGACCAGAGCCGAGCTGCGCCTTTGTGGTCTCTGAATTCTGATGGAGTTGCACTGCCCACACACTCGATGGCTACATCACTGAGTGGAATGTGTGGGTTTTTAGCCTCCCGTGATTAAACTGCTCGGGTATAGCGAGCTAACGGTCTCAGCCCAGAATGTATGATCATCAAAATAAGGGAGAGTGCAGCATTCCCTTGGTGTTTTAAATAAGTGATTTAAAGGGATCTCAGTAGTAGTTCTGCGATGTCTTTCTCACGGGCCGTTCTCGGACCCAGGGCAATGCGCAGCTCTGCTAGCATTCCGCATTCCGAAAAGAACCCTTCATCGCATGACGTGATGTCGGGAGCACAATTCGAATTCATCTCGCGAAAAAAATGACAAAAATCTGGTAGTTAACTAACCGTTATTGCATATGTAGCCATCAAAACTTGTCATGCGGTTGCCTACGTTGGGAAACCCGTTTCCATCAATTTTGTAAACTTAAATTCCAATTCTTCTTTGGTTCTTTCGGTAAAGTCACGTAGAATGAGAATAAAATAATAAATTGATAAAATAAAATAACACAATAATATTCTCACAATATTCTACGTGACTTTACCGAAAGAGCCAAAGAAGATGAATCATTGCAGTCACGAAAGCTTTAAATCGAAATTTAAATTCCAATTCATTTGCATTCGGTAGCAAATACGGTTGCCAAAATAATCCATTAGGTCGAACTCATCACACAAAGTGCTTGCCACAATTGAACCACAACACCTTGTTCATCTCAAGGAGCATGAACCATCATCACGCGACGCTCCGATGATCCTCGCAGCGGCTTTTAGCGCAGCCATCGAACAAAGACGGTGGCCATCGCATCGCGCGCTTTCAGAGCCGCTTCTGCGGCCGTCTGGAACGCTCTTCCTTTCTGCATTAGGAAGCCACTGGAGCTATGCACTTTTTAATCGAGATTGAAAACTCATTTCTTTAGAACCGCTGGTGTTTAGTTTGTTGTCCTTCCCCCCCCCCCCCGCACCTCCGATTAGTGCGGTTGGCTACGTGCGGTGCGAAAGAAGTTCAACGTGCATTCGTACAAGTCAACAATTCTAAAATATTATTTAGCCCTATCATATTTGTGAGATTTTCACAACAGCAAAAACGTACGCGAATTACCCCTTTCTCCATTGGGCTTGCTTGCAGTCGTTTTTTTTATTAAAATCCAAAATGCATTTTCTAGTGGAAAACAAGAACCTCTCTGTACGCTGGGAAGGAGGCCTTGTTGAGAGGCCGGCTGATTGATTCATTGTCTCCCTTGTGTGTGCGCCCATCGACTGCCCGCCAGAGCAAACCTGGAGGATCGCTACGGAAAGGATCTGATTAATCTGGCTCGTAAAGCTGGAGGGAACACGGAGCTTAAGTGAGTGACCTCCGGCTCCCCAATACGCACGTTGCGTGCCGTTTTACTTTTTTTCGCTTTCATCAGAGCGTCGTGCGCGCAAAATTGCATCTCAGAATCGCCGAGGAGCAGCAGACTCGCCGGAAAGCAGCCAGGCAGCGAGCCGTGTGTCAGCGTTTGCCCAAGTTCTGCGGGCCTCTATACATTAAGATGTTTTCAGCCATTTAATGCGGGTTTTATATACTCATTTAGTAGACTGCTGTGTGTATGTGTGCGTCGTTATTGCAGCAGCAATGAATTTGGTGGGAAACTGAGTAGGCCGGCGATGTTATGGAAATGCTCGGGTGAGTTAATGCTGATTTTGTTTTGTGTGTTTGCCATATCTTTTCCGTATCACAGTGCTCTGCGAAAGTCCTTTGACACCATGAAACAACGTGAGTATGAGTGTAGTGTTGGGTGAGTATGTGAATGAGCAAGTGAGTGAATGAGTGTGAGAGCGACTTGACTGAGCATGTGGTTGAGTGATCAAGCGAACAGGCTGTTGATTAAGTGGTTCATCAAGTGAGTGATTATGCAGGTGAGTGCATGAGTGAATGATCAAGTGAGTGAGTGAGCAGGTCAGTGTGAGAATATTTGGCAAAGTGCGTAGATGAGTGTGATCGAGTAGGTGAATGAGTAAATCGTTGAGTAAGTGGGTGACTGAGCAAGCAAAATGGTTAAGTGTGAGTTGGTGAGTAAGTTAGTGAGTGAACAGCAAGTGAGTGGCTGAGTGATTGAGCAGCGAGTGGGCGCGCAAGTGGGTGAGTAAGTGTGAGTGGGTGAGTGAGTAAGTTAGTGAGTGAAAAGCAAGTGAGTGGCTGAGTGATTGAGTGATTGAGCGGCGAGTGAGCAAGTGCCGATATCAGGACGCCACTGGAGCTTTGCACTTTTAAATCTGGATTGAAAACTCGCTTCTTTAGAGCTGCTTGCTGTGTTTAGTTTGTTGTCCTTCCCCCCGCACCTCCGATTATCACGGTTGACTACGTACGGTGCGATAGAAGTCCAACATACATGCAAGCGCGTTTGGCGAGTCGAATTGAGCAAAACGTCACCCTTTGTGGTCAGCGCCCCTTGCCAATGGAATGCCGGCGGTCTTGAGTCAGCAAACCTCGTGGCCTGCCGCCGCTTCTTGTGAACAGAAAATTAAAAAAAGAAGTGCCGAACCAACACGACAGCCCCGACGAAGATTTGCAGAAGTGACCTTTTTCCTGTTGAGGAACCCGAGAGGACAGCTTGCGCACGCCTTGTTTGGCGAAATCAAGTTCCTGGTAGGGGTGGATGGCCGGGGTGGGTGGGTGGGGAGGGGAGATTGCGTTGCAAAAGCGCGTTCGCTCTCCGGCCACTATCCGCTGAACAGACGCCGTGGTCCTCTGCAGCACGGCACATTTGCTCCTCCCGTGTGTGTTGCCAATGCGGTGGTGTGCACGCTTTCGGGAAGTGGTTGCTCCGCAAGTTGGGTTCGAGATAACGCAGCAGCAAGCGTCCGAGCCACGCTGTAACGGGGCAAAGAGTTGAGGCTTTCGTACAAAATAAATAAATACATAGAACGGAACTACTGCTCGAAGGAAGTCGTCAGCACTTAGACTGCCGGTCGCGTGCGCAGATGATGGTAGGAGTTTTGTGGAACGATAGGGCAAGGGACTCGGGACTTCGTCGTAGAATATGGCAGGAACGCGCCACACACGTTATCTGGATGAGGAGGTTGCAGTGCCGGATTTATCCCAGTAGCAAAAGTGGCTACACACACACGTGTGGCCACACACACACACGTGTGGCCACACACACACACGTGTGGCCACACACACAACAACAACAACCGCCATTCGCCACTAAGTGGCGGTGACGTCACCACGACGCTTGTGCCAGGCTATGTGCACCCTGAGGCCACGTGAAGTGTCGAACGCCCGCTGGCAGGTGGTCACGGGGCAGACCCAGGTGCCACGGGTCGACTGACTGAGATGACTGGCTGATGCACCACCTGTGCCCCCTACTGTGCCAACCTGCTGTGCTTTAGCCACCCGGCGCTCCGCTCGCTGTTGTGAGCGTCGCTCCTCCGCCCTCCGTTGTTGTTGGAGGGCGACTGCCTCCAACTGCCCAGTAGCATCCTTCACGAGCCTCCTCCACAGAGGCCGATCTTGACACCGCTGGTACCAGTCATCGGCAAGTCCACTCAACTCCACGTCCTCCTGTACCACATCACTCCATCTCTTCTCTAGCCCGTGCCGCGCCCGCTTAGCCCCCTCAATCCGGCCAAACAAAAGCTGTTTCGGCATGCGGTGGCTGGGCATGCGGGCTACATGACCCAGCCATCGCAGCCTTGCCTGCCGGAGGAGCTCACCGATGGGACCCTGCCCAGATCTTTCAAGGATTTGTGAGCTCCTCACACAATCCAGTCTGGTTAAACCCAGGATGGATCGTAGGCAGGCCAGCCTAAATGTTTCTAACCGGCGAAGATGTTCCATTAGGGGGGTCCACGTTTCGCAAGCGTAGAGAAGGGAGGGAATGACCGTGGCCGAGAAGACCTGAAGCTTAGTGCGGAGCGACAGACCAGGTAGCTTCCACACAGCGTTACGCAACCGATGAAAAGATATTGCCGCTCGACTGATTCGGAGTGAGACCTCTGCTGTTAAACTGGAGCCACGAATTAAACTGGCCACACACACACGTGTGGCCACACACACACACGTGTGGCCACACACACACACGTGTGGCCACACACACACACGTGTGGCCACACACACACGTGTGGCCACACACACACACGTGTGGCCACACACACACACGTGTGGCCACACACACACACGTGTGGCCACACACACACGTGTGGCCACACACACACACGTGTGGCCACACACACACACGTGTGGTAGCTACGGGCCCCGCACTTTTAAGGGCCCCGCGCTGAATGCTTTCAAGCGATCAATTCCGGTTGAGTGATTCTGCACTTGCTCTATTACTAACTTTTATGAACGATTGGGTGTTTAAGGTTAGCGATTTGTGGTATTATCTGGCTGTATAGCAAGTGAAAAAATACAATTACTTTACTGTGCTTCTGCTGCTCAGCAAAGGTGTTAAATAAATAAATATCAACTTGCCCTCTTGCCCCCTTCTTGCCAAAATCTGTCGCCCTCACCATGACCTTCATCCCTCCCCACCACCACCCTCCCCACCTCCACCCTCCCCACCACCACCCTCCCCACCTCCACCCTCCCCACCACCACCCTCCCCACCTCCACCCTCCCCACCTCCACCCTCCCCACCACCACCGTCCCCACCACCACCCTCCCCACCTCCACCCTCCCCATCACCACCCTCCACAACTCAACCCTCCCCACCACCATCCTCCCCACCTCAACCCTCCCCACACCACCCTCCCCACCACCACCCTCCCCACCACCACCCTCCCCACCACCCACCACCCTCCCCACTACCACCCTCCCCACCACCACCCTCCCCACCACCACGTGTTTGGCAGAGCTGGAGTGGCTGGGCTCGGCGCACATGCAGCTGGCCTCCAGCCTGCGCGACGAGGCGCGCAAGCTGGAGGAGTTCCGCGAGAAGCAACGCGAACAGCGCAAGAAGGTAGCACCTGGGCACACGTGACGCACCTGGGCACAGGCGGTGACGCGCCTGGGCACAGGCGGTGACGCGCCTGGGCACAGGCGGTGACGCGCCTGGGCACACGTGGCGCGTGTGTGTGTGTAGTGGAGCGTAGTGGTTGGCGTTGCGTCGCGCTACGAACCCGGCGACCCGAAGTTCGATTCCCGCTCACGGCGAACAACCAGTGACGATTAGCTGAACCGGTGCTGGGCCTCCCCTAGGTCGACTCTGCCTCAAATGAGTACCCGGTGCGGTGTGTGTAAACATCGCCACTGGGGAGACAAAGGCGGCCGGGCGTGGTGCTGGCCACCCACCTCCTCGTGTGCCGTGCCGGTATTCATAGGTGCTCGCTAACAGCACTTGGCCCAATAGTCTGTCAAGGCAAAACGGGGGATCTTTGTCTTTGTATCTGAGTGTGTGTGTTAGAGTGAGAGTATCTGAGTGTGTGTGTGTTAGAGTGAGAGTATCTGAGTGTGTGTGTTAGAGTGAGAGTATCTGAGTGTGTGTGTTAGAGTTAGAGTATCTGAGTGTGTGTGTTAGAGTGAGAGTATCTGAGTGTGTGTGTTAGAGTGAGAGCATCTGAGTGCTTGTGTGTGTTAGAGTGAGAGTATCTGAGTGCGTGTGTGTGTTAGAGTGAGAGTATCTAAGTGTGTGTGTGTTAGAGTGAGAGCATCTGAGTGCGTGTGTGTGTTAGAGTGAGAGTTGAGTGCGTGTGTGTGTTAGAGTGAGAGTATCTGAGTGCGCGTGTGTGTTAGAGTGAGAGTATCTGAGTGTGTGTGTGTTGGAGTGAGAGTATCTGAGTGCGTGTGTGTGTTGGAGTGAGAGTATCTGAGTGCGTGTGTGTGTTGGAGTGAGAGTATCTGAGTGTGTGTGTTAGAGTGAGAGTATCTGAGTGTGTGTGTTGGAGTGAGAGTATCTGAGTGTGTGTGTTGGAGTGAGAGTATCTGAGTGCGTGTGTTGGAGTGAGAGTATCTGAGTGTGTGTGTTGGAGTGAGAGTATCTGAGTGTGTGTGTGTTGGAGTGAGAGAATCTGAGTGCGTGTGTGTTAGAGTGAGAGTATCTGAGTGTGTGTGTGTTAGAGTGAGAGTACCTGAGTGCGTGTGTGTTAGAGTGAGAGTATCTGAGTGTGTGTGTGTTGGAGTGAGAGTGAGGCTTTGTTGGCTGGGTCAACGTAGCCCGCATGCCCAGTCATCACATGTCCAAGCAGCTTCTGTTTGGCTGGATAGAGGGGGCTTAACGGGCGCTAAAGAGGAAACGGGTCAACGTCGTGCACGAGGATGTGCAGCTGATAACTGGTGCCAGCATTGTTGTGGCCTTCCACAACGACAAAAGAGGTCGGAGGAGCGAAGCTCACAACAACGAGCGGTGCACCGGGTGGCTAAAATACAGCACGTCGGCGCAGCGGGAAGCACAGGTAGTGGCATCTGCCAGTCGTCTCAATCAACCCGTAACACCTGGGGCCTGTCCTGCACAGACACTTGGTCACACAGAGTCACCGAGGAAACTCGGAAAGGGCTCCCCTTTGTGGACACTGAGCGCGTGGCGATGGACGACGATCTGTGCTCCCATTCCGAGCTGACGGTTCTCCTGCAGGTGGAGTCTGCGATGGATAAGCTGCACAAGCAGCGGGCCACGCTGCACAAGAAGACCCTGGATGTAAGGAGCGCCGATAATGAAATCACGCAGACGAACCCCAAAATAAAAATAAATATTCTGAGCGGGTTTTATTTTTTTCCTACTTCTCCAAATTGCTATTCCAGGTTGTGCTATCGGCGTCACGTCACGAGACGAATAATCCATTCGGGGGCCCTGGGCTCAACTGCGGAACTCTCCGTGGTTTAAGGAATGGCCCGAGAAACGTGGATAGCGTTCGTCAAAGGGCGAGGTCGCACCGATATTGAAATATCTCGACATGACGAAGCAGGCAATCCGCCTTCCCTCCCATAATCTGTCCCTCCGCATAGAAAACCGTCATTGTTTCACATGCAAACAGCCACCACCGCGTTCTGGGAGCGCATCATTTCAATCAGCATTGGTTTAACACCGGTTTTGACATTCAGTATCTCATCAGCACAGTCGCATGTATGCTGAACGTCTTTCGCACCGTACGTAGCCAACTGTGCTAATTGGAGGTGCGGGGCAAGGACAACAAACCAGACATTAGAAGCAGTTCTAAATCAATGGGTTATGAATCTAAATCTAATCGTACATAGCTCAAGTGGCTTCCTAATATCGGAAGAAAGAGCGTTCCAGATGGCCGCGGAAGCGGATCTGAAAGCGCGCGATGCGGTGACCTCTGTCTTTGTTCGATGGCTCGCAGCCAAAAGCCGCTGCTGCGATGATGACCGGAGTGTCGCGTGTGATCGTTCATGCTCCTAGACGAGATGAGCGAGGTGTTTGTGGTTCATTTGTGGCGAGCACTTGTCGAGTGCGACCTCACGGTGTTTCCGTTCGGCAACCGAGCTTGCTACCGAATGGAAATTAATCCGAATTCAAGTTGACGACATTTGTGTCAACAGGTTTCTCAAGTTCTTAAGACGTTTAAGGCTTTTCCTTGAGCCAATGCTTGCGAACCGCCTGACGTTTGTCGACGATGTTAGACGCGGGCCCTCCTTCCGACCCACAAAGACAAAGATCCCCCGTGTAGCATGAACAGACTGTAGGGGCAAGTGCTGTTAGCGAGCACCTATGAAGACCAGCACGGCACACGAGGGGGTTAGTGGCCAGCACCACGCCCGGCCGCCTTTGTCTCCCCAGTGACGATGTTTACGCACCGCACCAGGTACTCATTTTAGGCTGTGTCGACCTAGGGGAGGCCCAGGACCGGTTCAGATAATCGTCACCGGTCTTGGCCGTGAGCGGCAATCGAAGTCGGGTCGCCGGGTTCGTAACGCGGCGTAGCGCTAACCGCTGCACCACCGCTCCCCACACGTTTAGACCCACGCACACCACACCCCCCTCCCCCCCTCCGATTAGCGCAGTTGGTCACGCACGGTACGAGAGTACCACGACGTACAAAACCCACGCGGGCATCACAGCCTGCAGTGCCGGATTTATCCCAGTAGCACACATGTAGCTACACGTATAGCTACACATGTAGCTACACATGTAGTTACACAAGTAGCTACACGTGTAGCTATACATGTTGTAGCTACGGGTCCCACACTTTCAAGGGCCCCGCGCTAAATGATTTCAAGCTATCAATTCCGGTTCAGTGATTCTGCACTTGCTCTATTACTATAGTACTATACTGCCCTTCAACTTTTATGAACGACTGGGTGTTTAAGGTTAGCGATTTGTCATATTATCTGGCTGTATCGCAAGTGAAAAAATACTATTATTTTACTATGCCAGTTAACAAATGTGTGTTTTAATATTTATGTATTTATTTATTTAGGGCCCCGTTAAAACATATGCTAGAGGCCTGGCACTAGCTGAATCCGGCACTGATCACAGCACATCACGGCAACACATCACAGCACATCACAGCACATCACGGCAACACATCACAGCACATCACGGCAACACATCACGGCACTGATCACGGCACTAATCACGGCAACACATCACGGCATAACCGGACAACACATCACGGCAACACATCACGACATAACCGGACAACACATCACGACATAACCGGACAGCACATCACGGCAACACATCACGACATAACCGGACAACACATCACGGCAACACATCACGACATAACCGGACAACACATCACGGCATAACCGGACAACACATCACGGCATAACCGGACAACACATCACGGCATAACCGGACAACACATCACGACATAACCGGAGAGCACATCACGGCAACACATCACGACATAACCGGACAGCACATCACGGCAACACATCACGACATAACCGGACAACAGTTGTAAGTCGCGGTGGTGACCGTCGCTGGCCTCGTGTTGTCGCCGTCCCCCGCGGGGACCCCGCAGGCGAAGCGCGGCTACGATCAGCGGTGCCGCGACGCGGACGAGGCGGAGAGCGCCACGCACAGCAAGAGCGTCGCCTGCGCAACCCCACGACAGCAGGAGAAGGTGACACTCTCACTCACTCTCACTCACTCAGACACTCACACACTCTCACACTCACTCAGACACTCACTCACACTCAGACACTCACTCACACACACTCAGACACACTGACTCACACAACAACAACCGCCATTCGCCACTAAGTGGTGGTGACGTCACCACGACGCTTGTGCCAGGCTATGTGCACCCTGAGGCCACGTGAAGTGTCGAACGCCCGCTGGCAGGTCACGGGGCAGACCCAGGTGCCACGGGTCGACTGACTGAGATGACTGGCTGATGCACCACCTGTGCCCCCTACTGTGCCAACCTGCTGTGCTTTAGCCACCCGGCGCTCCTCTCGTTGTTCTGAGCGTCGCTCCTCCGCCCTTTGTTGTTGTTGGAGGGCGACTACCTCCAACTGCCCAGTAGCGTCCTTCACGAGCCTCCTCCACAGAGGCCGATCTTGACACCGCTGGTACCAGTCATCGGCCAGTCCACTCAGCTCCACGTCCTCCTGTACCACATCACTCCATCTCTTCTCTAGCCCGTGCCGCGCCCGTTTAGCCCCCTCAATCCGGCCGAACAAAAGCTGTTTCGGCATGCGTTGGCTGGGCATGTGGGCTACATGACCCAGCCATCGCAGCCTTCCCCGCCGGAGGAGCTCACCGATGGGACCTTGCCCAGATCTTTCAAGGATTTGTGAGCTTCTCACACAATCCAGTCTGGTTAAACCCAGGATGGATCGTAGGCAGGCCAGCCTAAATGTTTCTAACCGGCGAAGATGTTCCATTAGGGGGTCCACGTTTCGCAAGCGTAGAGAAGGGAGGGAATGACCGTGGCCGAGAAGACCTGAAGCTTAGTGCGGAGCGACAGACCAGGTAGCTTCCACACAGCGTTACGCAACCGATGAAAAGATATTGCCGCTCGACTGATTCGGAGTGAGACCTTTGCTGTTAAACTGGAGCCAGTCATCAGCACACTGCCCAGGTATGGGAAACTCTCCACTCTCTCCACAACTGCTCCATCACCGATTGGGAGTTGTGGGGGTGGAGTGTCCGATGGTACAAAATACCCAGGCAGGTGCTTAGTTTTGGTGGGGCTGATGGTAAGGCCCCACCTCTTTGTGGCACGCTCCAGTCTCAGCAGCAGCGTCTCCAACTCCTCCTCTGAATGAGCAGCTATTACCAAATCATCAGCATACATAACGTGGTTGAGCAATAGGGAGCCATCCCTTGACCGCACCCGGGCATCGATCAGCCTCCCATTATATCTGTACCATATGGAGATTCCCCCGGTACAGCTATTGAAGGCTTCACGAACTACGTGGTCAAAATAGATGTTAAATAATGTGGGAGCCAGAGTACATCCCTGTCGCACCCCAAGGTGTACAGGGAATGGCTCTGACTCCCGGCCACGTAGTTTTACCCGGGCCCGCTCACCATCATGAAGGTCCTTACACACACACACTCAGACACTCTCACACTCACTCTCACTCACACACTCACTCACACACTCACTCAGACACTCTCACACTCACTCAGACACTCTCACACTCACTCAGACACTCTCACACACACACTCAGACACTCTCACACTCTCACTCACATACACACTCAGACACTTTCACTCTCACTCACACACTCACTCAGACACTTTCACACTCACTCAGATACTCTCACACACTCACTCAGACACTCTCACACTCACTCTCACTCACACACTCACTCAGACACTCTCACACACACTCAGACACTCTCACACTCTCTCAGACACTCTCACACACACACTCACTCAGACATTCTCACACTCACTCAGACACTCTCACACACACTCAGACACTCTCACACTCTCTCAGACACTCTCACACACACACACTCAGACACGCTCACACTCTCACTCACACACACACTCAGACACTCTCACACACACTCAGACACTCTCACACACTCACTCAGACACTCTCACACTCTCACTCACACACACACAGACACTCTCACACTCACTCAGATACTCTCACACACACATTTTTACACATACTCAAACACTCTTACACTCACTCTCACACTCACTCAGACACTCACACACACTCACACACTCACTCAGACACTCTCACACATACTCAAACACTCACACTATAAGAGGTTGGTTCTGGGGACACCAGGCCAGGCGGAACTCCCAGTGCCACGGTGTCTGGCGGTATTGGGTGACCCGTGGTGGTGACCGTGGCTCCATAGGGCCCATTTGGGAAGAATGTCATCGTTTTGGCATCCTCCGCTCCTCCCCCGTCCTTTCAACTGCGCATTGTGAAGATCAGCCCCCCGAAACGTCGCCGATTGTATATTATTTCCTCGTCGGATTAGATCACGTAAATAATATTAACGTGTCGCTAACCCACCACCACCAGCCGACACAGCCAATTAGTTAAGTTTCCCACTTGAACAAAACGTGCCAATTATGTACCACTTCAGCAACGTCGGTGTGATGGCGAGTGGACCCCACAGCATTCACAATTTGAGTGCAACATTTCGCCGGTGATTACAACTGCCAGGATTGTTAAGAAGTCTCCCTGCTTCCGGTCTACTATTTGCTCTTCACGGATGTGGCGTCGTTAACGAGCGTGCCGGGTCGCTCTCCAATTGTGCGCCGCTGACAACGCAGCAGCAGCAGCGGTGGCAGTGGACGTGGCAGTGGACGTGGTAGCACCACCAATTGGTTCGTTTAAACCCCCACCCCCACCCCACCCCCCGGGGGGTACGAGATGCCCTATCTGGGGGTGCGAGACATGAGCAGATTCTTTATAGAAGGGAAATCATCTAAAAGCAGAATTAAGCACGGGTACAACTTTGAATCATCAAACCTCTGTAGTGATTAACATTATAGTTTTTTTTTTACGGATTGAGAAACGAAAGCGTGCAAGGCTGCTGTTAAGGTCAAGAACCACTGGATTAAAGGGTCGTCCATAAATGACGTCACGCGATTTTGGATGATTTTTGACCCCCCCCCTCGCGTCACACGGCGTCACAAAAAGTCAGACCCCCCCCCTCAAATATGACGTCACAAAGCTCTGCCCCCCCCCCCCCCCCAAAACCATATTTCCATTTTGAAAATAAAACATGCTTCAAATTGCTTCAAATCGCTTTAAACTATTGTCATTGTAGTGCGTATTTAATGTGGCGCTGCACTCTGATGTTGTAGGAGAAAACATTTATTACAAAGTCTATTTAATAAAGTAGAACGTGTTGTCTATATTTATTTAAAGTTGCGCATTTTGATGTGACGTCACATTTCTCAACCCCCCCCCCCCCTCATCGTCACACATCGTCACAAATGTCTGACCCCATCCCCCACCCCCTAGGTGCATGACGTCATTTATGCTGTTGTGTCGGCCAATGAGTGTCAACGTTGATCGTCACCGTTGTGCGTTTGCGCCGGGTGCCTTTGTGACTCTGCGTGGGATTTGTTGTTTCAGATGAAGGCGAAGGGTCTTCAGATGCGGGAGGCAGCGCTCGAGGCTGGTAATGCCCAGAGATCGCGCCCACGTGCTTGAACCCGCGAGCCGTCCGCTTTCGACTTCACACCAATCGAGTTGGCGTCCACCAAAACGAATTCCATAGTGAATGCATGTAGCGGCAGCGAGTCTCATCTGACACGGAACTTTTGCCTAATCCGATATGCAGAACTCTTGTCGCATCCAAAAACACAGCCGCTTGTGGAATTCAAGAGGTGACCGTTGACTCTTTTGACACGAAGCCCTCATCTTGTCCGATCACTGATCTCATCCGATACAAAGTTTTCATCTCATCTAATACGGAACCCTCGTCTCATCTGGAAAAGAAAAAAAAATACTTTATTTGCTTGATCCAAACCAGAACTATTGTCTTATCCATTACAGAAGCCTTTCTTCCAGTGCCGGATTATCCTAGCAGCAAAAGTAGCTACATATGTGGTAGCTATGGGCCCCGCACTTTCAAGGGCCCCGCGTTAAACGCTTTCAAGCTATCAATCCCGAATTCTTTGGTTTTATTCGGTAAGGTCACGTAAGGCCACTTGTGTTGTGGCCCAAACGTCGTGATTTTTGTTGTTATTTTATTTTTTTACCTACGTGACTTTACCGAATAAAACCAAAGAGTATGGATCCTTGCAGTCACGAAAGCTTCAAATCTACTATCAATTCCGGTTCAGTGATTCTGCACTTGCTCTATTACTATAGTACTATACTGCCCTTTAACTTTTATGAACGACTGGGTGTTTAAGGTTGGCGATTTGTCATATTATCTGGCTGTATCGCAAGTGAAAAATTGTGTTTTAATATGTATGTGTTGTGTTTTTTTTATTTAGGAACCCCTTTATAACAAATGCTACAGGTCCCGCACTAGCTGAATCCGGCACTGCTTGCTTCATGGACAATTGGTGTTGGCCCAAACATCCAGGACCCGCCTGACAGCGAGCCTTTGGCGTTTAACTTGCGCGGATAAATAATGTATGATTATTATTTGATCACAGGATCCTTGACCCGTCCAAATGCAAATGCAGAACCCTCATCGCATCTGATTGCGTTTGTAGATGACCATGATAATGTTGTTGTACCACAGACAGGCAGTACCAGCAGCTTGTAGACAGCCTGGAGGCCTTACGGAGAGACTGGGAGAGTGAGCACGTGAACGCATGCGAGGTGAGTTTGGCAGGACCGCTACTCAAGGGGCAAACGTCGTTCACCACAGCCTCTGTGGCAGTGTTCTTCAATGCGCCCCCCCCCCCCCCGATAATACACAACAGATGTGAAAACACTCCCCCATCATCATCATCGTGCTGCTGTCAAACCCCCATTGCTTTCAAATGGCGTGGCAGCCCTCGCACCGACGATGTCTTATCGGCAAAAGTCCCTCCCCCCACCCACCGCCTCTGAAAATGAGTTGAAGAACACTGAAACACTGATCTACGATCACTCATACCAATCGCTCGCTGTAACCACTCACACGGGAACTCCCGTCTCTCGCGCCACTCACTCTCAAGGACAATTCCGCCTCTCCAGCTATTCACTCCATTCACTCAACCAGTCACTCCAGTCACCACAGCGTCTCATACAGAAGCTACAGTCGTTCGCCCAGACACGCCAGTCACTTCGGCCACGCACACAGTCACTCCAGTCACCACAGCGTCTCATACAGAAGCTACAGTCGCTCGCACAGACACTCTAGTCACTTCGGCCACTCACACAGTCACTCTGGTCACCCCAGCGTCTCATACAGAAGCTACAGTCGCTCGCACAGACACTCCAGTCACTTCGGCCACTCACACAGTCACTCCAGTCACCCCAGCGTCTCATACAGAAGCTGCAGTCGCTCGCACAGACGCGCCGGTCACTCGCATCACTCACACAGTCACTCCAGCCATTCACAGTCATTCCAGTCACTCACTGCAGTCGTTTACAGTTGCGCACACAGCCACTCACATCGACTGCTACCGCTGCGTCCGCAGAGCTTTGAGCAGCAGGAGTTTCAGAGGGTCAATGTCCTGCGCAACTCCCTGTGGATCCACACCAACCAGCTGTCCCGGCAGTGCGTGCAGGACGACGAGGTGAGTGGCGCGGCGCGGTTGGCATGAGCCCTCGTCAGTGGCGTAGTAGCTGCGTCGTCAGTGGCGTAGCAGCTGCGTCATCAGTGGCGTAGTAGCTGCGTCGTCAGTGGCGTAGTAGCTGCGTCGTCAGTGGCGTAGTAGCTGCGTCGTCAGTGGGGTAGTAGCTGCGTCATCAGTGGCGTGGTAGCTGCGTTACTAGTGGCGTAGTAGCTGCATCATCAGTGGCGTGGTAGCTGCGTCATCAGTGGCGTAGTAGCTGCGTCATCAGTGGCGTGGTAGCTGCGTTATTAGTGGCGTAGTAGCTGCGTCATCAGTGGCGTAGTCGCTACATCGTCAGTGGCGTAGTAGCTGCGTCATCAGTGGCGTAGTAGCTGCGTCATCAGTGGCGTAGTAGCTGCGTCATCAGTGGCGTAGTAGCTGCGTCATCAGTGGCGTAGTAGCTGCGTTATTAGTGGCGTAGTAGCTGCGTCATCAGTGGCGTAATAGCTGCGTTATTAGTGGCGTAGTAGCTGCGTCATCAGTGGCGTAGTAGCTGCGTCATCAGTGGCGTAGTAGCTGCGTCATCAGTGGCGTAGTAGCTGCATCATCAGTGGCGTAGTAGCTGCGTCATCAGTGGCGTAGTAGCTGCGTCATCAGTGGCGTAGTAGCTGCGTCATCAGTGGCGTAGTAGCTGCGTCATCAGTGGCGTAGTAGCTGCGTCATCAGTGGCGTAGTAGCTGCGTTATTAGTGGCGTAGTAGCTGCGTTATTAGTGGCGTAGTAGCTGTGTTATTAGTGGCGTAGTAGCTGCGTCATCAGTGGCGGAGCAGCTGCATCATCAGTGGCGTAGTAGCTGCGTTATTAGTGGCGTAATAGCTGCGTTATTAGTGGCGTAGTAGCTGCGTTATTAGTGGCGTAGTAGCTGCGTTATTAGTGGCGTAGTAGCTGCGTTATTAGTGGCGTAATAGCTGCGTTATTAGTGGCGTAGTAGCTGCGTTATTAGTGGCGTAGTAGCTGCGTCATCAGTGGCGGAGCAGCTGCGTTATTAGTGGCGTAGTAGCTGCGTTATTAGTGGCGTAGTAGCTGCGTCATCAGTGGCGTGGTAGCTGCGTTATTAGTGGCGTAGTAGCTGCGTCATCAGTGGCGTAGTAGCTGCGTCATCAGTGGCGGAGCAGCTGCGTTATTAGTGGCGTAGTAGCTGCGTTATTAGTGGCGTAGTAGCTGTGTTATTAGTGGCGTAATAGCTGTGTTATTAGTGGCGTAGTAGCTGCGTCATCAGTGGCGTAGTAGCTGCATTATTAGTGGCGTAATAGCTGCGTTATTAGTGGCGTAGTAGCTGTGTTATTAGTGGCGTAGTAGCTGTGTTATTAGTGGCGTAGTAGCTGCGTTATTAGTGGCGTAGTAGCTGCGTCATCAGTGGCGTAGTAGCTGCGTCATCAGTGGCGGAGCAGCTGCGTTATTAGTGGCGTAGTAGCTGCGTTATTAGTGGCGTAGTAGCTGTGTTATTAGTAGCGTAGTAGCTGTGTTATTAGTGGCGTAGTAGCTGCGTTATTAGTGGCGTAGTAGCTGCGTCATCAGTGGCGTGGTAGCTGTGTTATTAGTGGCGTAGTAGCTGCGTCATCAGTGGCGTAGTAGCTGCGTCATCAGTGGCGGAGCAGCTGCATCATCAGTGGCGTAGTAGCTGCGTTATTAGTGGCGTAATAGCTGTGTTATTAGTGGCGTAGTAGCTGCGTTATTAGTGGCGGAGCAGCTGCGTTATTAGTGGCGTAGTAGCTGTATTATTAGTGGCGTAGTAGCTGCGTTATTAGTGGCGTAGTAGCTGTGTTATTAGTAGCGTAGTAGCTGCGTCATCAGTGGCGTAGTAGCTCCATTGTCAGTGGTGTAGTAGCTGCGTCATCAGTGGCGTAGTAGCTGCGTTATTAGTTGCGTAGTAGCTGCGTCATCAGTGGCGTAGTAGCTGCGTCATCAGTGGCGTAGTAGCTGCGTCATCAGTGGCGTAATAGCTGCGCCATCAGTGGCGTAGTAGCTGCGTCATCAGTGGCGTAGTAGCTGCATTATTAGTGGCGTAATAGCTGCGTTATTAGTGGCGTAGTAGCTGTGTTATTAGTGGCGTAGTAGCTGTGTTATTAGTGGCGTAGTAGCTGCGTCATCAGTGGCGGAGCAGCTGCATCATCAGTGGCGTAGTAGCTGCGTTATTAGTGGCGTAGTAGCTGCGTCATCAGTGGCGTAGTAGCTGCGTCATCAGTGGCGTAATAGCTGCGTTATTAGTGGCGTAATAGCTGCGTCATCAGTGGCGTAATAGCTGCGTTATTAGTGGCGTAATAGCTGCGTTATTAGTGGCGTAGTAGCTGTGTTATTAGTGGCGTAGTAGCTGCGTTATTAGTGGCGTAATAGCTGCGTTATTAGTGGCGTAGTAGCTGCGTCATCAGTGGCGTAGTAGCTGCGTCATCAGTGGCGGAGCAGCTGCGTTATTAGTGGCGTAGTAGCTGCGTTATTAGTGGCGTAGTAGCTGTGTTATTAGTAGCGTAGTAGCTGCGTCATCAGTGGCGTAGTAGCTGCGTCATCAGTGGCGTAGTAGCTGCGTCATCAGTGGCGTGGTAGCTGCGTTATTAGTGGCGTAGTAGCTGTGTTATTAGTGGCGTAGTAGCTGCGTCATCAGTGGCGTAGTAGCTGCATTATTAGTGGCGTAATAGCTGTGTTATTAGTGGCGTAGTAGCTGTGTTATTAGTGGCGTAGTAGCTGTGTTATTAGTGGCGTAGTAGCTGCGTTATTAGTGGCGTAGTAGCTGCGTCATCAGTGGCGTAGTAGCTGCGTTATTAGTGGCGTAGTAGCTGCGTCATCAGTGGCGGAGCAGCTGCATCATCAGTGGCGTAGTAGCTGCGTCATCAGTGGCGGAGCAGCTGCGTTATTAGTGGCGTAGTAGCTGTGTTATTAGTGGCGTAGTAGCTGCGTTATTAGTGGCGTAGTAGCTGCGTCATCAGTGGCGTAGTAGCTGCGTCATCAGTGGCGGAGCAGCTGCGTTATTAGTGGCGTAGTAGCTGCGTTATTAGTGGCGTAGTAGCTGTGTTATTAGTAGCGTAGTAGCTGTGTTATTAGTGGCGTAGTAGCTGCGTTATTAGTGGCGTAGTAGCTGTGTCATCAGTGGCGTGGTAGCTGCGTTATTAGTGGCGTAGTAGCTGTGTTATTAGTGGCGTAGTAGCTGCGTCATCAGTGGCGTAGTAGCTGCGTCATCAGTGGCGTAGTAGCTGCGTCATCAGTGGCGGAGCAGCTGCATCATCAGTGGCGTAGTAGCTGCGTCATCAGTGGCGTAGTAGCTGCGTCATCAGTGGCGGAGCAGCTGCGTTATTAGTGGCGTAGTAGCTGCGTTATTAGTAGCGTAGTAGCTGTGTTATTAGTGGCGTAGTAGCTGCGTTATTAGTGGCGTAGTAGCTGTGTTATTAGTGGCGTAGTAGCTGCGTTATTAGTGGCGGAGCAGCTGCATCATCAGTGGCGTAGTAGCTGCGTCATCAGTGGCGTAGTAGCTGCGTCATCAGTGGCGTAATAGCTGCGCCATCAGTGGCGTAGTAGCTGCGTCATCAGTGGCGTAGTAGCTGCGTCATCAGTGGCGTAATAGCTGCGCCATCAGTGGCGTAGTAGCTGCGTCATCAGTGGCGTAGTAGCTGCATTATTAGTGGCGTAATAGCTGCGTTATTAGTGGCGTAGTAGCTGTGTTATTAGTGGCGTAGTAGCTGCGTTATTAGTGGCGTAGTAGCTGCGTCATCAGTGGCGGAGCAGCTGCATCATCAGTGGCGTAGTAGCTGCGTTATTAGTGGCGTAGTAGCTGCGTCATCAGTGGCGTAGTAGCTGCGTCATCAGTGGCGTAGTAGCTGCGTCATCAGTGGCGTAATAGCTGCGTTATTAGTGGCGTAGTAGCTGCGTGATGAATGGCGTAGTAGCTGCGTCATCAGTGGCGTAGTAGCTGCGTTATTAGTGGCGTAATAGCTGCGTTATTAGTGGCGTAGTAGCTGCGTCATCAGTGGCGGAGCAGCTGCGTTATTAGTGGCGTAGTAGCTGTGTTATTAGTAGCGTAGTAGCTGCGTCATCAGTGGCGTAGTAGCTGCGTCATCAGTGGCGTAGTAGCTGCGTCATCAGTGGCGTGGTAGCTGCGTTATTAGTGGCGTAGTAGCTGTGTTATTAGTGGCGTAGTAGCTGCGTCATCAGTGGCGTAGTAGCTGCATTATTAGTGGCGTAATAGCTGTGTTATTAGTGGCGTAGTAGCTGTGTTATTAGTGGCGTAGTAGCTGCGTTATTAGTGGCGTAGTAGCTGCGTCATCAGTGGCGTAGTAGCTGCGTTATTAGTGGCGTAGTAGCTGCGTCATCAGTGGCGGAGCAGCTGCGTTATTAGTGGCGTAGTAGCTGCGTCATCAGTGGCGGAGCAGCTGCATCATCAGTGGCGTAGTAGCTGCGTCATCAGTGGCGGAGCAGCTGCATCATCAGTGGCGTAGTAGCTGCGTTATTAGTGGCGTAGTAGCTGCGTCATCAGTGGCGTAGTAGCTGCGTTATTAGTGGCGTAATAGCTGCGTTATTAGTGGCGTAGTAGCTGCGTTATTAGTGGCGTAGTAGCTCCATTGTCAGTGGTGTAGTAGCTGCGTCATCAGTGGCGTAGTAGCTGCGTTATTAGTTGCGTAGTAGCTGCGTCATCAGTGGCGTAGTAGCTGCGTCATCAGTGGCGTAATAGCTGCGTCATCAGTGGCGTAGTAGCTGCGTCATCAGTGGCGTAATAGCTGCGTTATTAGTGGCGTAGTAGCTGCGTGATGAATGGCGTAGTAGCTGCATTATTAGTGGCGTAGTAGCTGCGTTATTAGTGGCGTAGTAGCTGCGTTATTAGTGGCGTAGTAGCTGCGTCATCAGTGGCGTAGTAGCTGCGTCTATTACGTGGCGTAGTAGCTGTGTTTATTAGTAGCCGTAGGTAGCTGCGGCATCAGTGGCGTAGTAGCTGCTGCGGTCATCCAGTGGCGTAGTAGCTGCGTCATCAGTGGCGTGGTAGCTGCGTTTATTAGTGGCGTAGTAGCTGTGTTTATTAGTGGCGTAGTAGCTGCGTCATCAGTGGCGTAGTAGCTGCATTATTAGTGGCGTAATAGCTGTGTATTAGTGGCGTAGTAGCCTGTGTTATTTAGGTGGAGTAGTGCTGCGTTATTAGTGGCGTAGTAGCTGCGGTCATCAGTGGCGTAGTAGCTGCGTTATAGTGTGCGTAGTAGCTGCCGTCATCAGTGGCGGAGCAGCTGAGTTATTAGTGGCGTAGTAGCTGCTGTCATCAGTGGCGGAGCAGCTGCATCATCAGTGGCGTAGTAGCTGCGTCATCAGTGGCGGAGCAGCTGCATCATCAGTGGCGTAGTAGCTCTGCGTATTAGTGGCGTAGATAGCTGCGTCATCAGTGGCGTAGTAGACTGCGTTATTAGTGGCGTAATAGCTGCGTTATTAGTGGCGTAGTAGCTGCGTCATCAGTGGCGTAGTAGCTGCGTCATCAGTGGCGGAGCAGCTGCGTTATTAGTGGCGTAGTAGCTGTGTTATTAGTAGCGTAGTAGCTGCGTCATCAGTGGCGTAGTAGCTGCGTCATCAGTGGCGTAGTAGCTGCGTCATCAGTGGCGTAGTAGCTGCGTCATCAGTGGCGTGGTAGCTGCGTCATCAGTGGCGTAGTAGCTGTGTTATTAGTGGCGTAGTAGCTGCGTCATCAGTGGCGTAGTAGCTGCATTATTAGTGGCGTAATAGCTGTGTTATTAGTGGCGTAGTAGCTGTGTTATTAGTGGCGTAGTAGCTGTGTTATTAGTGGCGTAGTAGCTGCGTCATCAGTGGCGTAGTAGCTGCGTCATCAGTGGCGTAGTAGCTGCGTTATTAGTGGCGTAATAGCTGCGTTATTAGTGGCGTAGTAGCTGTGTTATTAGTGGCGTAGTAGCTGCGTTATTAGTGGCGTAGTAGCTGCGTTATTAGTGGCGTAGTAGCTGCGTCATCAGTGGCGTAGTAGCTGCGTCATCAGTGGCGGAGCAGCTGCGTTATTAGTGGCGTAGTAGCTGTGTTATTAGTGGCGTAGTAGCTGCGTTATTAGTGGCGTAGTAGCTGTGTTATTAGTAGCGTAGTAGCTGCGTCATCAGTGGCGTAGTAGCTCCATTGTCAGTGGCGTAGTAGCTGCGTCATCAGTGGCGTAGTAGCTGCGTTATTAGTTGCGTAGTAGCTGCGTCATCAGTGGCGTAGTAGCTGCGTCATCAGTGGCGTAGTAGCTGCGTCATCAGTGGCGTAATAGCTGCGCCATCAGTGGCGTAGTAGCTGCGTCATCAGTGGCGTAGTAGCTGCGTCATCAGTGGCGTAGTAGCTGCATTATTAGTGGCGTAATAGCTGCGTTATTAGTGGCGTAGTAGCTGTGTTATTAGTGGCGTAGTAGCTGTGTTATTAGTGGCGTAGTAGCTGCGTTATTAGTGGCGTAGTAGCTGCGTCATCAGTGGCGTAGTAGCTGCGTCATCAGTGGCGTAATAGCTGCGTTATTAGTGGCGTAGTAGCTGCGTGATCAATGGCGTAGTAGCTGCGTCATCAGTGGCGTAGTAGCTGCGTTATTAGTGGCGTAATAGCTGCGTTATTAGTGGCGTAGTAGCTGTGTTATTAGTGGCGTAGTAGCTGCGTTATTAGTGGCGTGGTAGCTGCGTTATTAGTGGCGTGGTAGCTGCGTTATCAGTGGCGTAGTAGCTGCGTCATCAGTGGCGTAGTAGCTGCGTTATTAGTTGCGTAGTAGCTGCATCATCAGTGGCGTAGTAGCTGCGTCATCAGTGGCGTAGTAGCTGCGTCATCAGTGGCATAATAGCTGCATCATCAGTGGCGTAGTAGCTGCGTCATCAGTGGCGTAGTAGCTGCGTCATCAGTGGCTTAGTAGCTGCATTATTAGTGGCGTAGTAGCTGCGTCATCAGTGGCGTAGTAGCTGCGTCATCAGTGGCTTAGTAGCTGCATTATTAGTGGCGTAGTAGCTGCGTCATCAGTGGCGTAGTAGCTGCGTCATCAGTGGCGTAGTAGCTGCGTCATCAGTGGCGTAGTAGCTGCATTATTAGTGGCGTAGTAGCTGCGTCATCAGTGGCGTAGCAGCTGCGTCGTCAGTGGGAGAGCAGCACCATTATCAGTGGCGCATACCTGTCAAACCATACGGTTTACCCGTAGTTTTTGTACATGGAAACTGAGTTTTCATATCCACACGGCGTACAGCCGTTTAAAAACGGGCAAAACATGTCTTTGCCTGTTTATGTTTCTCCCTGGTGATGGGACTTTGTAGGCTGAACGTTGATATTTATAAAGACACGGGGTGAATCTTGACTTCAAGCTTTCGTGACTGCGGGGTGATCAATAAGGTCTGAATTGCCACTGATAAGGGGTTGACAGCTATGGTGGCGTGGTAATCGGTCAGGCGGGCACCCCAATATTTGATTTGTCTCGCACGGTCGCACCCAGGCTCTTGTATATGTGGCGGCTCCTCTTGTCCAATCACATCGTCGTTCTGCTCACGGTCTCGAACATTTAATGCTGTAGGGGGCGTTCCGTCTTCGCAAAATGCAGCCACTGCAGCAGTGGTTGAAGAATAGAGGTGGATCGTCTGGCGTCTGACTAATTATCGCAGTGGCAATAGCTCTCAAATAGTTGTTTCTCTCTCTCTCTCTCTCGCAGATTTACGAAGGCGTGAGAAACGTCCTGGAGCAGTGTGACCTCCAGGCTGAGATCGACTACTTTGTCCAGCTCAAGCAGACGGGCTCCGATCGCCCGGGTAGCCCCACAATGCTCCCACACATGCACACACCGGAGCACGCGAGCAGCCTGTAACAGACCGTTGGGGCAAGTGCTGTTAGGGGGCGAGTGGCCAACACCACGCCCGGCCGCCTTTGTTTCCCCAATGGTGATGTTTACATATTGCACCAGGGAGGCCCAGGACCGGTTCAGATAACCGGTCCTGGGTTATCCGAATCGTCACTGGGTGTTTGCCGTGAGCGGGAATTGAACCCGGGTCGCCAGGTTCCCCACACCACACACACACACATGTACACACACACACATGTACACACACACACACACATGTACACACACACACACATGTACACACACACACACACATGTACACACACACACATGTACACACACACACACACATGTACACACACACACACATGTACACACACACACACATGTACACACACACACACACATGTACACACACACACATGTACACACACACACACATGTACACACACACACATGTACACACACACACACACATGTACACACACACACACATGTACACACACACACACACATGTACACACACACACATGTACACACACACACACATGTACACACACACACACATGTACACACACACACATGTACACACACACACACACATGTACACACACACACACATGTACACACACACACACACATGTACACACACACACATGTACACACACACACACATGTACACACACACACACATGTACACACACACACACACATGTACACGCACACACACGTGTGCATGCACACACATACACGTGGCCGGGAGCACTGCCCTGTTTTCCCGCACCCTTCACAGCTGACTATAGACACCCTCGGTTGACCTGGTGGACTCGACCCTCCGTCGACTTGAGGGAGTGGGGGGGGAGGGGCCTTTGTTAGGTCACAGGCATAATGGGTGATGTCACAGTTTGACAAGGATGGGATTTGTGGGTGTGGGGGTTGGTGGAGGCTGGGTGGGGGCAAAATGAAGATGAGGCGGTTCACTTTTCTCAGCGGGTTTTAACAAAGAAATACACGCAAGGGAGCCGCGGAGGATGTTACTTGTGAAAGTTTCTCCCTCTAAATTTTGACTTAAAGCTTTCGTGACTGCAGGAATTCATATTCTTTGATTCTTTCGGTAAAGTCACGTAGATAGAAAAAAATAGAATAAAAATAAAATAATAAAAAACACTAATGTCGACCTTCGCGCCTGGTTCTTAATCGGAGTGAGTGTACTGGCAGTCCATAATGTAGACTGTAGCCTGGTTATTAAGTTTGGTGAGTGTACTGGCAGTCTATGATGTAGACAGTAGCCTGGTTATTAAGTTTGGTGAGTGTACTGGCAGTCTATAATGTAGACTGTAGCCTGGTTATTAAGTTTGGTGAGTGTACTGGCAGTCTATAATGTAGACTGTAGCCTGGTTATTAAGTTTGGTGAGTGTACTGGCAGTCTATAATGTAGACTGTAGCCTGGTTATTCAGTTTGGTGAGTGTACTGGCAGTCTATAATGTAGACTGTAGCCTGGTTATGAAGTTTGGTGAGTGTACTGGCAGTCTATGATGTAGACAGTAGCCTGGTTATTAAGTTTGGTGAGTGTACTGGCAGTCTATAATGTAGACTGTAGCCTGGTTATTAAGTTTGGTGAGTGTACTGGCAGTCTATAATGTAGACTGTAGCCTGGTTATTAAGTTTGGTGAGTGTACTGGCAGTCTATAATGTAGACTGTAGCCTGGTTATTAAGTTTGGTGAGTGTACTGGCAGTCTATAATGTAGACTGTAGCCTGGTTATTAAGTTTGGTGAGTGTACTGGCAGTCTATAATGTAGACTGTAGCCTGGTTATTAAGTTTGGTGAGTGTACTGGCAGTCTATAATGTAGACTGTAGCCTGGTTATTAAGCTGGGTGAGTATACTGACAGTCTATAATGTAGACTGTAGCCTGGTTCTTAATCGGAGTGAGCGTACTGGCAGTCTATAATCTAGACTGTAGCCTGGTTCTTGACCTCGGTGAGCATACTGGCAGTCTATAATGTAGACTGTAGCCCGGTTCTTAACCTCGATGAGCGTACTGGCAGTCTATAATGTAGACTGTAGCCTGGTTATTAACCTCGATGAGCATACTGGCAGTCTATAATGTAGACTGTAGCCTGGTTCTTAACCTCGATGAGCGTACTGGCAGTCTATAATGTAGACTGTAGCCTGGTTCTTAACCTTGGTGAGCGTACTGGCAGTCTATAATGTAGACTGTAGCCTGGTTATTAAGCTGGGTGAGCGTACTGGCAGTCTATAATGTAGACTGTAGCCTGGTTCTTGACCTCGGTGAGCGTACTGGCAGTCTATAATGTAGACTGTAGCCTGGTTATTAAGTTTGGTGAGTGTACTGGCAGTCTATAATGTAGACTGTAGCCTGGTTATTAAGTTTGGTGAGTGTACTGGCAGTCTATAATGTAGACTGTAGCCTGGTTATTAAGTTTGGTGAGTGTACTGGCAGTCTATAATGTAGACTGTAGCCTGGTTATTAAGTTTGGTGAGTGTACTGGCAGTCTATAATGTAGACTGTAGCCTGGTTATTAAGTTTGGTGAGCGTACTGGCAGTCTATAATCTAGACTGTAGCCTGGTTCTTGACCTCGGTGAGCATACTGGCAGTCTATAATGTAGACTGTAGCCCGGTTCTTAACCTCGATGAGCGTACTGGCAGTCTATAATGTAGACTGTAGCCTGGTTATTAACCTCGATGAGCATACTGGCAGTCTATAATGTAGACTGTAGCCTGGTTCTTAACCTCGATGAGCGTACTGGCAGTCTATAATGTAGACTGTAGCCTGGTTCTTAACCTTGGTGAGCGTACTGGCAGTCTATAATGTAGACTGTAGCCTGGTTATTAAGCTGGGTGAGCGTACTGGCAGTCTATAATGTAGACTGTAGCCTGGTTCTTGACCTCGGTGAGCGTACTGGCAGTCTATAATGTAGACTGTAGCCTGGTTCTTAACCTCGATGAGCGTACTGGCAGTCTATAATGTAGACTGTAGCCTGGTTCTTAACCTCGATGAGCGTACTGGCAGTCTATAATGTAGACTGTAGCCTGGTGCTTAACCTCGGTGAGCGTACTGGCAGTCTATAATGTAGACTGTAGCCTGGTTCTTGATCTCGGTGAGCGTACTGGCAGTCTATAATGTAGACTGTAGCCTGGTTCTTGATCTCGGTGAGCGTACTGGCAGTCTATAATGTAGACTGTAGCCTGGTTCTTAACCTCGGTGAGCTTATAATGTAGACTGTAGCCTGGTTAACCAGGCTACAGTCTACATTATAGACTGCCAGTACACTCACTCCGATTAAGAACCAGGCTGCAGTCTACATAAGTGGATTTTTTGAGTTTTTATTATTTTTATTCACTTTATTTTTTGTTATTATTTTCTATCTACCTGACTTTACCAAAAGAACCAAAGAATATTTCTCCCTTTACTCTTAGGGATAATCGCTGAGTTCCTTTTTCTCGGCTGTTGGAACCTTTGGTGTTTACACTGAATAGTGAGGCTCTTAAAACGTGGTCCGGTGCGATGTGGGTCCCTTGCCTTGACCACAGTTCTTCTATTTATTCAGTCCGCTGGTTTTGAAAGTAAAAAAACAACCAGTAAATGGAAAGTAAAATTGTAAAATAAAAATAGTAAATGGAGATTAAACATTGAAAGTAAAAAAATAGTAAATAAAGGCTACACATTTTTTAAAATAAAAAAAATAATAAATGAAAATTAAGCATTGAAAGTGAAAAATAGTAAATTAAGAGTTAAACATGATCCCGAGTGTTCCCAGCTCCTCGGCTCCACCTCTAAGATTGTCCACCATGAAACAAGTTTAACACACCGCTGTGTGTATACTTTAACAGCACGAGTGCGTATTAATAAGACGTCAGAAACACCAAAATCAAGTAGAAACCAAAAATACAATTTGGGGCTCAAATATAACTAGGTACAGTTACTGCAGTTTGGATCTCTACAAAGTTCAGATATGCTGCTGTGAATAATTATAGCGACCCCCGCTGAGTTTTCTCAAAAAGGCCACGTGTACATGAGTTAAAAGAGGTTTTTGACTCTCACCTCCGATTAGCACGGTTAGCTACAGACGGTGCGCAATAAGTTCAACGTAAATAAGTTCTTTGTGTTATGAGACCTCCTTTGCCAGTAACAAGATAGAGTAATAGGTTTTACCCTTTTAACTGGCACAAACATGATGCCTTGAATAAAGGCGTCATTTTTTGTGCCAGTTAAAAGGGTAAAACCTATTGCTATAAGTTCTTTGTGCTCTATGAATGTTAATATACGGACTGGATCATTCACTTTTATGCTCACATTTTTCCTCCGTGTACAATTGGATTTGCATAGTGTCTCAATGCAAGCACGTGTTAAGACGCTGCAACGGAAATGTGTTGGCTCGCCAACCTTTCCCACTGAAAACCAAACTCGGACGCATTCCTCAGTCAGCGCTGGGTCCATCAAAACTGTGCAGTACAATGAAGCTCAACACAATACCGTACGAAAAATCTATTCCTGCCAACCCCCAACCACGGATGCCAATTCCCGCACTCTCCAGACCAAGCCCCGAAAGGTTGCAACCCTTGACGAATACATTGACGCTAGAGGTATATATATATACATCATTGTGCCATTCCTTGGCTACCCATTTCGACCAGAATGACCTTCAAGATCGCTTGCCACTGCTACCGCGCCCTAAAATCCGGCTACCCACCGTAGCGAAGTTCCCTGCTTTGACGCCTTACAAACACTTCAGTTGACCGTAGACACATTCATGCAGTGCGTCGCAGGATCTCCTTGAAACCCCCAGGACAAGGGCTTTCGTTTGCTTCTCCTCGCTTTCTCCGTTCAAAGACCATCTTAGGAGGCGCTTCTCTTCATTCAGCTCGACATTTCAACCACCGAGTCTCCCTGGAACCGAGCGACGCGATCTGATACAGAGCGCCGCTCCATGCTTCAGAAATGCGTCTTCGGTACGCAATATTGCGCGCGTTATAAATTGTATTATTATTATCGGCAGACCGGTGTGTACATAGTGTGTGGTAGTACAGGGATGTCACTGACATTCCTGAGCGGACCATTGCTACATGATCGACATCAGTTGTTGTGTGTGTGTGTGCGCGCATATATATGTGTGTGTGTGGGGGGAGCCGTAGCTTTTAGCAGTTAGTGCACTTCGCTACGAATTCAGGGACCCCAGTTCGATTCCAGATCACGGCCAACCTCAGTGACTATTGTCTGAACCCCGGTCCTGGGCCTCCTCCTAGGTCTACCCAGCCTCAAATTAGTACCGAGTGCGGTGCGTAAACATCGCCACGGAGGAGATAAAAAGACGGCCGGGCGTGGTGCTGGCCACCCACCCACCCCGTCGTGTGCCGTGCTTGCTTCCGTTGGTGCTCGCTAATAAACAACTTGCCCCAACAGTCTGTTAAGCCTGTACAGGGGAAATCTTTGTCTCGTGTGTGCGCAGCTCCCATCGTGTATGAGAACTATTATATGAAGATCAGGGATAACAGCATATTGGCTCTGGACACGTGCGGTCAAGGCACCCCCAATGCCAAACGCAGGTCAGCTTCACCGCCAGCAATTCGTGTCACAAGCATCGCCGGCAGACCGTTTGTGCTTTGTGCGGGTCCAAGGAGCAGCTGCTGTTTTTACACTGTTTTCATTTAACTCACTTTGTCTGTTGTTGTTGTTGTTGTTGTCGTTGTTGTTGTCGTTGTTGTTGTCGCTGTTGCATCCTCAAATCTTGTAACTCACAATTTTAACCCACTTCCCAATGTGGTATCGACTGCAAACTTGGTATACTTATGTCATACTGATGACAATACTATATCCTATCATTAAAAAATAAAATAATATATTTTGTATTCGTTATGTTTCGGCTTGGGTCTAATTGTCCACGGTCAACTGACGTTGGCTGTAAATCACCACGGGTCCCCTTACGTTGTGGCAAGCTTCGGGGCCACTTCCTGGAGTCGTGGAGTTCTTCTATTACTAGTAAATTTCATAAAAGCGTGTTTTTTTTAAAAAAGTTTAAAAAAAATATTACTTATTTCAAAGACTCTACTCGTCCTTGTCTAACCCCGCCTTCTCTCCTCACTCTGCCCCCCTGCCACGCGCTCGCATTACCGCTCCCTTCTCATCTTCAGAATCAGAATCCTTATTTATCCTGGAGAAATCTTATGAGCTATGAAGCTCTTTTCACAGATGTCTCGTAGTTCTTATTCAATACTCTTTGGTTCTTTCGGTAAAGTCACGTAGGTATAAAATGAAATAAATCACGACGTTTCTGGCGCAACACAAGCGTCCGTCATCAGGTGTGTTGAGCCCGAAACGTCGTGATTTATTTTATTTTATACCTACCACGTGACTTTACCGAAAGACCCAAACAGTGTGGATTCCTGCAGTCACGAACGTTTCAAATCAGTTCTTATTCTACTCCCGTCCACGCAATCTGCTGCCTCTCTACCCTCGTGCCAAAAGTGTTATCCTGGCTTCGTAGAGTGATCGCTTTCAATCCACGTATGGCGTGTAGTTATTGGAATAATGCGACAGAGGCACTGACTGAGCTTTTGTAATATGAGCGCTCAGTGTCATTGTGACATTTGCACGAGTGACACGTGGTGAACAGATTGGGAACTACGCCTGCACTGTGGACGTAGGCCAGTACGGCATGCGACCAAATCACTGTGCCCGGTGACGGACCTTAGGGCCCGTCCATAAATGACGTCACGCGCCTGGGGGGGGGGGGGGAAGGTCAGACATTTGTGACGATGTGTTTGAGAAATGTGACGTCACATAAAAATGCGCAACTTTAAATAAATATAGAATTGTTATAACAACACTCCTACAACATCAGAGTGCAGCGCCACAATGACAATAGTTTAAAGCGATTTGAAGAATGTTTTATTTTCAAAATGGAAATATGATTTTGGGGGGAGGGGGGGGCAGAGCTTTGTGACGTTATATTTGAGGGGGGTCTGACTTATTGTGACGCCGTGTGACGAGGGAGGGGGGGTCAAAAATCATCCAAAATCGCGTGACGTCATTTATGGACGGCCCCTTAGAAGCTAAGCAGATTGAGCTCTGTTGGCACTTCGATGGGAGACTGCCCAGGAATACCAGGTGTTGGAAGCTTAGGCTCCAAAGTGGTCAGGTGACCGTCGTTCGGATCCATGAAACGATTATGCGTGGCTTTGGGTGCGACTCCATCATACGCTTGGGGTTTCTCTGGTCACTGTGGTTTCCTCCTAGATGCGAAACACTCAGCAATGCCATCAGTTCAACTTCCCTATGCAGGACTCTGCTGAAAATGGTTCTGAGAAACGCTGCGTAAGTTCTGTTGTATAGCTCCCCGTTGTGTTTCCCGTTAGTAGTCACCCTTCTGAACTGAGCTCATTTCAACTTCTTGAGGGGCTTCTTCTGAAGAGGCTCCCCGCACGTGCAAAACGAAGGACCGAACACCCTGCGGTACAACCCGGAAACACCATCAGAGAGTTCACGAATTCTGAGACTCGGGCAATTCCTGGGTAAATGAAGGACAATATTGTTATTGTTACATTACCCCAGTAAGTGCCACTGCTGCTGCTGCCGATTGACGCTGATGTGTTTTGTGTGCTGCTATGTTTCCGCCACTGTTTGACGGAGTTGCCAGGAACTCTCCTATTGCCATGAACTCTCCGAAAGAAAAGCACAAGAGTGCGCTCCATAAAGGTAGCGACTGACCTCACCTCTCTCTCTCTCCCTTCGCTTAAAACGATGAAGCGTAAACAGGAAATGAAGTACAACTTCGAAAATTTAATCACCTACCCGCCCTAACCAATTAACCGCCTACACCAAGTGCAGTATTTGTGCGTGGAGTAACTTTTGTTTTCTGCACGTGTTCACAATTTTGACGTTGTCACGGAAGGTATATTAATCTTGCGTACATTAATTTGCTGCTAAAGCGCAGTCTCGCACCTTCCCATGTTTAAAGCAGCTTGCACTCTGGTGTTGTCCAGTGACATATTTGCGCATGATGGTTGAAACTGGCATTACCTATAGACATTCACTTATTCTAACTTTTCACATATCCGGCTATACCTTTGGGCGCCATTTAGTGAAATTTCGCACGAATCATTTATACCGGCTTGGTGGATAATGACAAAAAAACCTGTGAATTGACGCAATGTTTTCTTGATTCAACAAATTTTGCTAGAAAACATTGCTTGAAGGCCCATTGGCAGACACATGATAATGAATTATCATTGTGATATTGTAATGTATTTATCAACTCAGATCTGTGATTGCCACATGACAATCAAACACGACGCGTTTAATTTCCCAAGCAGGAATTTAGCCAAATTGAATTGGCACGCCGAGTTTGAAGGCTCGGCTCTGGCTTGAGTCGCTCAGTTTCTTCCAAAGACATGCGAGCGGCTCAGCCACGGCTTGGTTGAGGCTCAGCTGATGGAAATAATCAAACATGGCTGGGACCATGCTCAGATCCGGCTGAGCATGGCTAACTTGAGTCAGAGCTAAGCCTGAGCCAAGTCGTGACTAAGATATGGGCCCAATTGTGCAGACCTAGCCTGTGTGCTTCAGGCTGTACACCATGGTATATATATATAAGCATCGCCTGCCCTTGCCTCTGAGGGTGTACTTATATCGAGCCAGCTTCTACTGTGTCCCGTGATGGTGGAGAGCAGTACTTCTCCCACCACGTGACCGATCGGTAATGCCAGTGACGCCGGTTTTTGTGACTTCACACACAGAGCACGTGGTGTACAGCTCCATAACTGACATATCCGGGAGATGCGAGCCGGATGTCCAAGCCCACCGTGTTCTCTACACATTCGCGGGGCAGGTGAATGCGCTCGTGATCTACTCGCACGAGGAGTCGATGGTGGCGAACACTTGTGCAGAAGATTTCGGGAGAAGGGTATTCTGGGCATTGTGGGTAACCTGCTGCTCCAGAGCAGCATCCGGCTGTTTGGCTTCCCCCTTGCAGCTCTTTGGCTGCCCCCTTACGGGCAACCGTTTTTTGGAAGAAAAAAATAATAATACCAAAAGCTTCAATGTTAAACGTAATTTAACGCATGATAATAAGCAATTTATTAAATATGACAGGGAACGGGTCACTATGGTATGTCTTTGTGACAACAAAATGTACGGTATTGTTAAAGGATAACTAAAGAGGACACATTTCGATTTGAAGCTTTAGTGACTGCAAGGAGTCATCTTCTTTGGTTCTTTCGGTAAAGTCACGTAGAATGAGAATAAAATAATAAATTTATAAAATAAAATAACACAATAAAATTCTCACGACGTTTCGGCCACAAGATAAGCGGCCTTCATCAGGTGAAGGGACGAGACTGTCTGGAGGACAGCGCTGGAGCGAACAAAGCCAAGCTCAGATCGCGACCTTTAAGCTGTGTGAGAAGAAACAGAGCGCCTTGACAAAGGAATTAGCATATAATTTAGCATTGAAATAGCTGAGTGATTAGCTTGTGACTGGTCATAGAAATGGCTATGTTAAAGTCAAAGCATACACATCCACAGAGGCACCCCTTGACAAAGGAATTAGCATAGAATGTAGCATTGCAATAGCTGAGTGATTAGCTTGTGACTGGTCACAGAAATGGCTATGTTAAAGTCAAAGCATACACAATCACAGAGGCACCTAGTACAAATCAAACAGGAGAATTTAGTATTGAAATAACTAGGAGAATTTAGCATTGAAATAACTGAGTGATTAGCTTGTGACTGGTCACAGAAATGGCTATGTTAAAGTCAAAGCCTACACATCTGAGCTATTAACAGTAACTGGGTATACATTACACTATATAATGAATACTATATAGTAAACCAATAAAAAACTAAAATATAAATTACCTCAATGTTATCAATAAACTCTATATATTCTCCAATCAGCTAATCTACCAACAATAAGTCGTTATATATCACAATGCTATATGGCGAAAAAATAGGTGGATTCCTACCCTCAACTTTAGCACCACGGATAGCTACGAGTCCCGTTCAGACGGACGAGTTCATCCATGGTCGGAACGGAGGAGGGGGAGAGAGACAGCTGCGAGGCACTGTTATACTCCATGTTGCAAACCATACCATTAACCGTGGTGTAGGAGGTATTAAGAGTCAATGCCAGCGAAAGAGCTGCGGTCTGAAGGTCATCGTAAAATACAATTAATTAAGAACGGAAATGGTTTAAAACATCTTTCCAATGTCCCGGTACCTGACACCATCGCTATCATTGAAGACCTGGTTCATCAAGGACTGCATACTGATGTACCCCCCCCTGGTGAGACATTGCTTAACCAACACATACTTCACCTGGAATGGAACTTTCTACAAACAAACTGAGGGCACCCCAATGGGCTCCCCCCTATCTCCGGTTGTAGCCAACGTATTCATGGAAAAATTTGAAACTGACGCCATCCAGACTGCCACTCTACGCCCAACCTTATGGAAGAGGTACGTGGATGACACTTTTGTCATCTGGCCACATGGCCAGCTTGCTCTCGACCAATTCCGCGACCACATCAATTCCATACACCCAGCCATCAGATTTACCATGGAGGTCGAAAAAGATGGCAAACTACCCTTTTTGGATGTCTTAATTAAAAGGAGACATGATGGTTCAATGAGCCACTCTGTCTACAGGAAAGCTACCCATACAGATGCTTACTTGAAACCGGATTCCCACCACCATCCATCCCAGAAGAACTCCCTCATCAAGACTCTATACCATAGAGCCCAATGCATTTCCGACCAGGAACACATTACCAGTGAACTCAAGCACGTACACCAGGCTCTCAGGGCTAATGGTTACTCCGACTACACAATCCGCAAAGCCATCACTCCAGTCATGAAGAAGGATCCTCTTGTGGAGCCACTCAAAACCATCACCTTACCCTACATTGCAGGGGTCACAAATAGATCTCCAAAATCCTGAATAAACACAAGATCCAGGTCTGATTCAACACAGTACATAAAATCCGTGATCTGGTTCCATCTGTAAAAGATGCTGTTCCAGACATACTGTACCCGGGCGTTTACAAACTAAAGTGCCTCTGCGGTAGTAGCTACATTGGAGAAACCAAACGACATATCTCGGACCGCATCCGCGAACATAAAGCAGACTTGAAACACGGTAGAACGAACGCCTCTGCCGTGGCAGATCACTGTTATAATTCAGTGGGCTCACATGACATTGACTTCTCCAAGACGGAGGTTCTTTGCAAACCAACCGGCTACCATGAGAGATTCGTTCATGAGCCCATTCACATATACAAGCACAGAGACAATATCAACCGAGAAGATGGATTCTGGCTTAGTAACCATTGGAAAGATGTTTTAAACCATTTCCGTTCTTAATTAATTGTATTTTACGATGACCTTCAGACCGCAGCTCTTTCGCTGGCATTGACTCTTAATACCTCTCACACCACGGTTAATGGTATGGTTTGCAACATGGAGTATAACAGCGCCTCGCAGCTGTCTCTCTCCCCCTCCTCCGTTCCGACCATGGATGAACTCGTCCGTCTGAACGGGGCCCATAGCTATCCGTGGTGCTAAAGTTGAGGGTAAGAATCCACCCATTTTTTCGCCATATAGCATTGTGATATATAACGACTTATTGTTGGTAGCTTAGCTGATTGGAGAATATATAGAGTTTATTGATAACATTGAGGTAATTTATATTTTAGTTTTTTATTGGTTTACTATATAGTATTCATTATATAGTGTAGTGTATACCCAGTTACTGTTAATAGCTCAGATGTGTAGGCTTTGACTTTAACATAGCCATTTCTGTGACCAGTCACAAGCTAATCACACAGTTATTTCAATGCTAAATTCTCCTAGTTATTTCAATGCTAAATTCTCCTGTTTGATTTGTACTAGGTGCCTCTGTGAATGTGTATGCTTTGACTTTAACATAGCCATTTCTGTGACCAGTCACAAGCTAATCACTCAGCTATTGCAATGCTAAATTCTATGCTAATTCCTTTGTCAAGGGGTGCCTCTGTGGATGTGTATGCTTTGACTTTAACATAGCCATTTCTATGACCAGTCACAAGCTAATCACTCAGCTATTTCAATGCTAAATTCTATGCTAATTCCTTTGTCAAGGCGCTCTGTTTCTTCTCACACAGCTTAAAGGTCGCGATCTGAGCTTGGCTTTGTTCGCGCCAGCGCTGTCCTCCAGACAGTCTCGTCCCTTCACCTGATGAAGGCCGCTTGTGTTGTGGCCGAAACGTCGTGAGAATTTAATTGTGTTATTTTATTTTATAAATTTATTATTTTATTCTCATTCTACGTGACTTTACCGAAAGAACCAAAGAAGATAAAGAGGACAAAATACTAAATAGACGCAGTTTATTCCATCACCTATTTTGTTTATTTAAGTCAGAATGTGTTCATCATCTGCTGTATACCTGCTGCTGTGTTTGTGTACAGGTAGCTCTGCGTGTGATGCGGCTCGCAAACTATTTTGGTCAAAGGCAAAAAAAAACCCAAAAATGGCTCCCCTTCTTTGAAAGGTTTCCAAGCCCCTGGTCTTGAAAAGGACATCATTGCGCAGTTAGCGACGATCTCTGCAGTGATGCTAGGTGTGTGTTTCACGAACCATGCTACCCTTGATCTCGGCTCATAAGGCAACCTTGGGTATTGGCTCAACAGCCGGCAGTGAGGTTGTTTTTGTTGTCGTCGTGATTCATTGATCAGTGGCCGAACGAAGATGGACCTCGTGCTTTCGCACAATGAGCACAGTAGGCTATGTAACGGTGCGAACGAAGGTTCAACATACGTACAGGACCGCGAGAAAGTTGTCATCTTTTTCCCCATGGCACAGGCGCACGAGAATAACACCACCACCACCTACAATTATGATAAAATGATCATTAATTATTATTGTTGATTTTCCTACGATCAAATCACCCCGCGTGTACCTGGATAGTGCTTGGTTGGGTGACTATCACTCGTAAAGCAGGTTGTGTTGCCAATGTTGTGGGCATCAGTGTTATATTTCTATGCTATCGCACATATGCTCACCTCTTTCACCAATCCATATTGACCAGCATGGTGAAATATGTTCAAATAATCCCCATGACACGCAGAGCATTGGGAGGCCCTCATCCAGCAGTGTATTGACAAAAGGGATGGACATGTGCATGCACATTGTTACGATTTCATTGCTTTTAAAGACTAAATCCGAAGTTGAATAATAATTATAATAATCATCAAATTGATTAGTCTTACAAAATTATCACCATGTCTGCAATCCACGGGTCACCTCGCAGCTCAGAGGTAGGTCTGTGATATCTGCTTCAGTGGGCCATTCTTCAACAGCGAGAGCTGCACTGCTGTGCGTGAAATCTGAATGGACACTTTGTCTCATGATGCTGAACGCACAATCGAGATAATACTGGGGGGGTGGGGGAAATGACAAAACAATGGCCAAATGAACTGCACCACCCATTCTCATTGACCAAAGGGGCAACACTGTTCCATGGTCTGTGTTTGTTTCCTACTGGGGACCATGAGCCCAGAGTAATAACGTAGACATGCCCACGCCCTCTCTCTTGAATGCAGGAACCAGGGACATTGAGTGTGGTGGAGGGCGATCAGGTCCTGGTGCTGAGCGGTGGCGCCGATGCCGGGTGGGTGATGGCGGAAAAGTGCGGCCAAAGAGGGCACGTTCCCGCTTCCTACCTGCAGGCCATCTGACCAGGCATTCATCATCATCACGATCCATAGGCAGATAGCTCCGTAGGTGTCCATTTGTTTCCACTTTCCTTTTCGTCTTGTGGCAATCTGCTCAAGTGGTGCACATATTTCTTGTTGCCGTCAAGCCATTCTCTGTTAGGTTTTCCTCTCTTTCCGGTTCCTTCCATTTTTCCGACGCTTTAAAAATATTATTTTTAATATATATTTTATCCAAACAACACACTTTCAGTCTTCCTGTTGTCCATCCTACACGTGTCCAAATAGTGGCAGTTTCCTTCTTATCATTGCCTGCATCAGGTCTTCTCCTGTGCAACCTTTTTCTTACTTCTACGTTGGTCACCCTTTGGGTCCAGTTTAGATGCAGTATACATCTAGAGCAATACATTTTGTATTGGATTCCTTTCGTCTTTTTTCTTCACGGCCGAAGTATCGGCACCATTTTGCCCAACCCTCCTCCTTTTGATCCAGTTGTGGAACTGGCTCAGATATCCACTGGATTGTAAACTCCCGAGGTGGATTCTAGATTTGAAGCTTCCGTGACTGCAAGGATTCATACCATTTGTTTTTTTCGGTAAAGTCACGTGGGTAAAATAAAATAAATGAACCCAGGAGACGACGCTCGGCATCGCGCTGAACTCGGCGAGCAGGTCGTTGCTTTTGACTTCTTGTCTCGTTGTCTGTTAAAAAACTACGAAAGCTTCAAATCTAGAATTAATGCCCTCTACGGGGAGGAATTTCACTTATCTGTTAGAGTTTTTAACAGACGAGTCAAGAAGTCACAGCAACGACCTGCTCGCCGAGTTCAGCGCGACGCTGAGCGCCGTCTCTTGGGTTCATTTATTTTATTTTACCTACGTGACTTTACCGAAAAAACCAAAGAGTATGAATCCCGAGGTGGAGTTGACCTGGCATTACTCGAGACGTATACTTCATTTGCGCAACACCTACATTTGCTGCGTTGATATCCTGTAATTTATTTCCCGATGTTTTTATATGCTTTTTATTTGCTTGGCTGCTATGGTGCAACTTTCCAAAATTTTAAAGGTTAACCAGCAAATTACTCAATTGGGAGTATGTATACATAATAATAATTATTATTATTTGCTCACTACTCTGAAACTCGGCAGGACTCTCTTGAAAAAGAACACTGAGATGCAGCGGGGCTATCCTCGGTAAACCAGTGTAATAATCACAAAACTCTCTCGTTGCTTTTTAAACCTTCGTATGTGCCAGTCATTACACCTATATCAGCTCGCCCTCAATTGATCGAATGGCAGTGTCAAAGCAAATACAATTGAAAAGTCGGTGTTTATTAACGTCACAGAGAGCCATTTCATCTACCAACGTATCAAGAATGACCCCGTGCAGGAAGAGAGAAGGGGGATTAATCGAGAATAAAACATAAAATATGACCATGCAGAAATCAGTGGTGGATTCTAGCCATAAATCAGTGATGGATCATTGCCAGAGAAAATAAATACGTTATTTTCTTTATATTCTTAGCTCTTTCGGTAAAGTCACGTTGAAGGGAAACAATAAAATAATAAAATATATATAAAACAATAAAAATTCTCACGACGTTTCGACCATAACGCAAACGGTCATCATCAGGTGTGAAAAACCACTTCTTTCAAATGTTTCTTGCCGTTGGGTTTTCACACCTGATGATGACCGTTTGCGTTATGGTCGAAACGTCGTGAGAATTTGTATTGTTTTATATATATTTTATTATTTTATTGTTTCCCTTCAACGTGACTTTACCGAAAGAGCTAAGAATATGAATTACTGCAGTCACGAGCTTTAAATCAAAATCGTTATTTTATTATATTCATTTATTGTCAAGAATGTCAATAATGTAGGGCCCATTTTTAAATGCTTGAAATTGTGTGCCCTTCCACCCCGCTTGGGATTTTTTTAGATCTGCCTCTTCCAGTAATATGCCTGCTGCTTCTGTAACCTGTCCATGGCTTCAGACAAACACGCACACACACAGTTTCGGGGACCAAGAGATACACTCCTAAGATTCCAGGGCAGCAGAATGGTTGGTCAAGCCAAGGACACTGTCAGCAGCTGAAATTTGCAGGCTGACGGAAACTGGGCCACGTTCGAAAAATGAACAATATCATTAGACTTCCATTTGTTAAATTCGTGAAATGTACTTTTGTATGATTTTGCATGCACGAAAGCCATCGCAGTAGCTTATCTTTTATTGCCTTGTTGCAACGTCTTGGATTCTGTAAAAAAAATGTATGTACAGCACTTTACAACTACAGTTCAATAAATGTTTTGCTTCATTTTTTGGATTTGTACTTTACAACTGCAGTACACTTTCATAGGTTACACCGCTTGTAGAAATACAAAGTTAAACGGAGTTTTAACCTGTATTTGGTGGAAACTTCAACTCTTCATCGCCAAAAATCACGTTGAAAATTAATCCCATGAATTAGAATAACAAACGACAATACCCGACAAACTATTGACATATATTTAGAAAATATACACTCATGTGAAACAACAAAATAAAATATTTACATAGCAGACAAGATAACTAATAAATTGCACTCATGGACATATTCCCAGAGACAGTGGCAACGTGATCAGACACATACAAATATATTGAGGGGGGAAATACAGCACATCTATCGACAAATATTTTACACATTTTCCCATAACATTCAACCAAAAGCAAACTATTGATTGTAAAGGTAAAACGTGTCCCCTCTTAGCCCCCACCTCCCCTATTTCATAGTTTTGCTTCCTTTCATTAACACTTTCTTACCATGTTAATCTTAAACTGTTACAATTCTGGTCACCAGCATCAAAATTATGACACGGAACAATTTTTTGGATACAATTTTTTTTTATTTTACGAGGTAAGGCCCACTGAGCTACATAGCTCTGGCCACAAATGATAGCTCAACGAAGTAGCTTATCATTTGGGAATTTATAGCAAATACTCGAAACGCGTGATTTTGATACTGAATGTGGAGGGAATATCAGAGGATGTGCAGAACAATCCATTCTATCACGGGGGGAGAGACACGGGACACTCCAATTATACAGGCGTAAGTATCGAGATTGAACCCACGACCTCCTGCATGCCGGGCGATGTAGTTAACATCTCACCATGGAGAGAGACACCGCACATTATACAGCAGGCGTGAGGGTCGCGATCGAACCCACGACCTCCTGCATACCAGGCGAGGTAGTTAACATCTCACCATGGGGAGAGACACCGCACATTATACAGCAGGCGTGAGGGTCGCGATCGAACCCACGACCTCCTGCATACCAGGCGAGGTAGTTAACATCTCACCATGGGGAGAGATACCGCACATTAAACAGCAGGCGTCAGGGTCGCGATCGAACCCACGACCTCCTGCATACCAGGCGAGGTAGTTAACATCTCACCATGGGGAGAGACACCGCACATTAAATTATACAGCAGGCGTCAGGGTCGAGATCGAACCCACGACCTCCTGCATACCAGGCGATGTAGTTAACATCTCACCATGGGGAGAGATACCGCACATTAAACAGCACGCGTCAGGGTCGCGATCGAACCCACGATCTCCTGCATACCAGGCGAGGTAGTTAACATCTCGCCATGGGGAGAGACACCGCACATTAAATTATACAGCAGGCGTCAGGGTCGCGATCGAACCACCCACGATCTCCTGCATACCAGGCGAGGTAGTTAACATCTCGCCACCATAGAGGTGCAGGGAGCATGATCTCTGGTGTCGGCAAGATTGGTGTCTGGAAGAGGAGTCCGGGGGGTGGGTTTAGACGGCCGAGAATGATCAATAATTAATGGGAGTCAGAAAATAATCGAACCAGCGCGCTTAAAGAGCGACGTTTTCAAATAAATTCGGTTTGGCAGCTATAACGAAAGTAACACTCGGGAAGAGTGTACTTACAGTCCGCAAAGAACCCGACGTTGCATGTTGACTGGGGGAAGCAAGGCATTTTGGAATTGCACCTCGACAATAATAATAATCACAAACATTTGAGAACATAAGGCACGCAAAGAAGAAACGCAGGGCACGTTACAAAAATGGATGGTGTTCCCGGGAGGCCGAGAGTTATGGGTTAATATTCTTTGGGTCTTTCGGTAAAGTCACGTAGATATAGGTTCAAATAAAATAACAAAAAAAAATATACAATGATGGGGGGGAGTGGAGGTGGGGGGGCGGGGTTGGGGGGGATGGTGGTGGGCGGGGTTGGGGGGGGGATGGTGGTGGGCGGGGTTGGGGGGGGGATGGTGGTGGGCGGGGTTGGGGGGGGGATGGTGGTGGGCGGGGTTGGGGGGGGGGATGGTGGTGGGCGGGGTTGGGGGGGGGATGGTGGTGGGCGGGGTTGGGGGGGATGGTGGTGGGCGGGGTTGGGGTGAGGGGAGGGATTGGAGGGAGTAGAGGTTAGAGGCGGGGTTGGGGGGGTAGAGGTTGGGGGGCGGAGTTAGGGGGGGTGGGGTTAGGGGGGAGGCGGGGTTAGGGGGCGGGGTTAGGGGGCGGGGTTAGGGGCGGGGTTAGGGGGAGGCGGGGTTAGTGGGAGGCGGGGTTAGGGGGGGCGGGGTTCAGGTATAAAACGGAGGTACCGAGGCCGCGAAGAGTAATGGGGGGGGTGGGGGCTGGGTATTTTTGGTTATAATTATTGATTATTAATCGCTAAAGACCTACGTCTTTATTAAATAATGTGTCGGGCTCGGAGAGAACAAGATGAGGCAACGCTGTGGTAAGAATAGCGCGTTTTGTTAGATTATATTTGCAAGGTAGCATTGGTTATGAATAAGGACCATTGCTCAAAACGTCGCCTATTATTTTCTTAAGTAAAGCCTTTGTTAAGGCCCATTCTCAGGTGATTTGTTTTCCACAATACGGGGGATTTTTTTGGGAGGTTAGATCGCGTAAATATATAAATGCGTCGTTAAGCCCGCCACCATCAAACAGGAGAGCTTCTCCACAAAATCTGGCTTTCGCCTGATGAAGCTAGTTGTAATCACTGGCGAAACGTCGTACTCGAATTGTAAATGTTGTGGCTTCGCACCGACACACCGGTGTAGTGCTGTACTAGTGACGAATTGGCATGTTCTGTTTACGTGACAAACCTTACAAGTTGGCTGTGGTGGGTTTAACGACACTTATGAATGGTATTTGTCGCGAAAGCCTACGTGTTTTTAAGTGATTTGTTTTGTTTGCGCTCGTGCACCACTTCCAACGCAGCAGAAGCATCGCCATGTAAAGATTGTAATTCTGAAGTAAATCCTGGGTAATAAATGTTAATTCGTTAAATTAATAAAATGGTCATTCAAGGCTGAGGGGGGGGCGTGGCTGTTGCTTAAAAACGGGGCGTACCTTTAATTTGGCGCCAAAACTGCCCTTCGTCCTGATTGGCTGGGGTCGTGACGTCACCGCGGGGTTTTATTCGACCCGCCCATCTTCGTTTCCAGCAGTGGCAAACGGTGTTCGGAGCTTCAACACACACACAAGAAATTGTGTAAACATTCTTTTTTATTTGTTTTTTTTATAAACCGTGCGCCCCTTCTGCGAAGAGAAGAGCGAGTTTATCCTGCGGGCTGCCGAACGCGAGGGACGCGGCGCCCGTCTGGCGCGGGTGAGCGCAGTGTTGAGTGTGGCTAGGCGTGAGCTGCTCTTGTTTTGGGTTCGCCATGATAAAGCCTGTCCGCGTAGGCCGCGCTCCTCCGCGGCTGCTTATTCATTCCACGTCCGTCATGTAGATTGCTGTTTTAAAGTTTGATTTAATATCCCACGTCGGGTTTGGTCCGCGTCGGGATTAAAAGCTCTCGGGGCTCGCTTCGGCGTCCTGTTAGCAAAGGAGAAAAACTAGTACGTGAGCGTCGCGATGTGTACCCAAGAGCGAGCCGTGGGAGCGCGGAAGCTGCTGCGGTTTATAGTTAAACCCGACTTTGTTCACGTCCTCGTCCTTGCTGACTAAATCTAATGGTCACATTTACTAAACGCGTCAAAAACCTCGCGTGCCGTCGAGCGCTGCAAATTGTGAGCGAGCTTTACATCGAGGCTCGCGACCTAAAAAGGTCGGTGCCGTCGACGGGAGCGTTGTAGTTTTTTTAAGTTCGAAAATGTATGTAAATTAAATAAAGGACTGGGTTTCAGGATTCGATCTCTCGTTCTATAACTTGCTGTTTACAGCCGCCTTGCCGTTTACAGCCGCCTTGCCTTCCAGGGGGAGTTAGGCTTTGCTGTATGATCGCAGCCTCCTTTAAAGGGGTGGAGGGGGCGGAATAGACTAGTTTATTTGCCTGCAATGGACGGGGGTGGTTACAATTCACTTTGGCTGTAGTTCGGGTGAAGTGCTCTCGCGTCTTTGCATCTCTCCGGGGTTAAGCAAGCTACACCGATCGGTGTGGACGAGTTGTAAAACCGAGCGGCGTGCGGAGAGGGCCTTCGTCCAGCAGTGCATTGACAAAATGTTTGTATTATGTCGAACTTATTTCGCACGGTACGTAGACAACCGTGCTAATCGGAGGTGCGGGGGGAAGGACAAACTAAACGCAAGATGATGTTCCGAACTGTAAAGTTTCTTATTTAAGGCACGGGTACATGTACGTACGAGGGCAGTTTATTTTTGTTTTATGAAACAGTGACGTTAATTCAGTGTTCATGAAATCCACTTTTCAGCAGGATCCCGCATTGCGATATTTGACCGATTGAGTGCCATGTATAGTAGGTACAGTATAGCCATTTTGTCTGGATTCTTAGATACGGGGCAAGCAAAGGCTGGCTCAGGTTCACTTCCTATACCTGACCCCTAAACATAACCTTGCACGAAAATAAGTAATATTTAAAAATACCTTTTTAAAAACACGCTTTAATAAGATGCACCGTACTCCTAATGGCAGGACTCTCGGAAGTGGCCGCAAAGCTTGCCATAACGTAAGGGGCCGTGGTGATTTACAGCCAACGTCAGTTGAGCGTGGACAATTAGACCCAAGCCGAAACATAACATAAAAAATGTTTACAGATATGTATTTTAATGATAGAATATAGTATTGTCATCAGTATGACATAAGTATGCCCGGTTTGCAGTCGATACCACATTGGAAAGTGGGTTAAAATTGAGTTTACAAGATTTGAGGATACGACAAAAACAACAACGGAGTGAGTTAATAGAAAGCGTGGAAAAATAAAAGCGGCTTGAGTATTTTTTTAAAAGCTCATGAATGTATGTGGTGATGAAATGTGCTCTATGGATACAAATCTGCTTGGACAGTAGTTGCCAGACTACCTCTGCTTATTTCTGCCTATTTGCGGGGACAATAGTCATGTGCATTTCCAAACGTTAGTGTCGGCTGGTAATTTCCCATTGCTTTCGTCGGGAAACTGCACTTTTGATTGGTTTTGGTTTTAAAAGGTTGGCTCTTCCATCTATAAGCCAGTCATTCTAACCATCTACTTTGCATTGCCGTTACCCCCGAAACCTCGACTTGTGTGGCCGACGTGAGTTAACAATTTAATGCATCCACTCTCCGCGTTAAACTGCGCAATTGGTACGCACGATTAATAGCTGCAGCTGTGACTGATTAAAAATAGAGCACTGTATACTAGTTAAATCTCGCCATAGACGTGTAAACCTCCAAACTGACCGGTTCCAAGACATTTATTTAGTTGCTTGCCTTTCCGTCTGTTCTTACAATTACTTGGTAAGGCATTCTGTATATGTTTTCTTGTAGTACACCCCCACCACTACAGTTACACTTTCCCCAGTGCTCCGTTGAGGACCGACTATAAATAGGACTGAAGAGTAACGCGCAGGGTGTTGTTATACTTGTGCCGAACATAAGCAAGTTTACAGTTTGTAAAAAATCTAAAGGCGAACTAGTTTGGGGCATCGACATACTTTTGAATAACATTAATGTACATTTAAATGATGAATTTTAAATTAACACCAATCTGCACATCGGTCTAACACCGCTGTATTAAATTATTTTCTAGAGTTTATGCATTGCCCTGAAATGAATAGCTGACATTGTTCTATCTATGTGAGCGTTTGATAAATATGTATGTTGAACTTCTTTCCCACCGTACGTAGCCCACCGTGCTAATCGGAGGTGCGGGGGAAGGACAATAAACTAAATACAAATAATTACACACATCCATCAAGTCTGAATTTATAGGCTAAGTAAGACAGCATCTTCAAATGTACAAATATGGAGGTTTGCACGTAGGTCTTAACGGGGAAAGGGTTCATCAATGAAGTTTGTTTGCATTTAGCAAGCCATTTATCGCAGAATTATAGTCATTGCTGTAAAGATGAATGCCCCCGTTCCTACTAAGGAATGCTTGATGGGCAGTAATGAATCTCGTCATTTTATATTCTCTGCTAATGCGATGACCGACTGCTATGAGTTGTTGCTTGCACTATTGTATCGACAGAGTGAACCTTTTTTATCCATCGGGACCAACGTTTTGGCTATAGCTCTTGATTTGCTGCAAGAGGTGTTGTTTTGCAGTGTAGAATTGAAGCTGCTGTTTAGTGTATTTTATTGGATTATGATTTAGTGTCATGCAGATTAGATATCTAGGCGCTTGCTTGGAAGCAAGCTTTAGTGAAAATGACGAATGTCCTCAAACTTTGCTCTCTTACCCTTATTGCTCTCATGTCTTTTTGCAGAGAAAGATGGGTGTATATATGTTGAACTTCTTTCGCACTACGTAGCCAAGCGTGCTAATCGGAGGTGTGGGGCACGGTCAACATTGCAACAACATTACATTCCACAGTATACGAATTTGTCTCGAGGTACTTGTTAAAAGTGGCCCGTCAATAATGTATTTGGATATGGGTACACCAAAACCTCGTCTGTCATGGGTTTGACCATTAGCGCCAAATGTATTGAGGTACAGTTAGCCGATCACGCCCCTGTGGCTCGACCGTTTAAGATTGACCACGAGTATGCATCGTAAAGACCTCTACTTACGATGGAGATTTGCGTTACGACGACCCCATCGTAAGTCGAAAATATCGTAAGTCGGACCATCGTAACTCGGGGACTACCTGTACTGTACAGGTCGTGTAACTGCACTGCTCGCGATGATGCAGCCATGGAAGAGTACGCAGGCCGGCTTGTCTCCTTCGTCTCACACTCGCCCCATCGCGTGTCCCAGGTCACGTGTTGTTCCCAGCGTCCAGTGAGGTTAGGTGGTCCGCGATTTTTCTTACTACATTATATATTTCTCCCATTCCATACATTTGTTTTGAAAGTTCTACTGTATTTAACCAATGTAGTAAATATTAATATTTTACGTGAAAAATGCTTGTTTTATGTTTGGCTTAATGTAGGGTAACCAAGGAGGGGGGTGTCGTGTTACAAACCGTGAACCAAACTCTATGTTCATTTGCATTTCAGTTTACGGATGGCGGATTTGTCGGTTGCGGCTGTTTTCAAGAACGTAACCACGATGGGTAAGGGTTTGGTGTAGTGTAACCTTCGTTAGAACGTCTGAAGGGATTATGATGCAGTGAGTGAAAAGTGCGAATACTGAACTCGGCTCATGAGCAGGTGATGTAAGACCTGATGTTTTTATTTTATGTCAAGGTTATCCTTCACTTGAGTGCAGTAAAATAGAGGCTTCGACTTGCCTTGTTATTACTCCCAGTGATGCTTTTCGTTTAAAGATATATCATAAAATAATTCTTCTTTCTGATTATTTATCGTCCTTCTAGTCCTGAAAAAAAATATTCCGTTATTTTTCACACTAACCGTTCACCTCCCCTCTGTACTTGTTTATTATGCATCTTTCCAAGTCTGCAAATTGCCGGCACAGTTGCAAGGAGTAAAACGCAGCTTGAAAGCACACAGTGGGGGGGGGTGGTCATTCGCCTGCAGGGCGGCTGAACATGGTTCGGTGCAGGCGAGTGCTCGATTGAATTGGAGTAAAGACACCTCACATGGCCGCACACTTCCATTCAAACAATGACGGCACGGTGATCCCTGGCTAAGCTTCCGCTGCCTGTGGAAAGGGCATGCTTTTCGACGTTAATAATTAGATTGCTCCTGCCAGCTCCCCATCTATACTTTTTTTTTACTCCCTTGGGTGCTTCCATGCTGATAGCTGGTGGAGATCGGGATGATAACAGTCTGATTTCTCAAACATGGCTTTGCATTTAAAATCTCATTTCCAGAAATCCCATTCAGGGGGAAAAATAATATTTCCCAGTGTTACATTTATTGCGATTATGAAGGCATTATTTAACTATCTAACGATAGAATAAATCATACTCTCTGCCATATTTTTATTCTCTTTTGGGTGAAGCTATGTTATAATTGTATAATCATCTGTACTACTCATTATGGCATTTGAATTCTTGGCAAAAAACATTTATTTCAAATCATTAGTTTACCGTATAATCATATTGATGTCTTGCTATGCATTGGTGATGTGTAATAGAACCGTAAACTGTCCACTTATATTCTGCTGTCCTTGGAAAGTTCACCAGGAAGCCGAATTAATGAATAGCATCAGTGTTATTTTCTTAGCCTGAGTGGCATTTGCCAGGGTAATGTTATTTCTTGCCATAGTGATAGCTTGCATGTAAATTCTAGTTCTCAACATTTTTAAGTGACATATATCCAACCATTTATTTACAATCTAGTGTCGTGATATTGTGTCTACATCATTGCATAGTTATACTTCAAAAGGTATTTTAACAAACTTCCAAGAGGTACCTTAAGCTTCAAAGGTTTTTAAGATTGTCGTTTGATACATTTGTATTCTTTCGGTAAAGCCACGTAGATAGAAAAAAATAATAAAGAACAATATCACGATGTTTCGATCGCAACACAATTATGACGATTGCTGTGTTGCGATCGAAGCGTTGTGATATTATATATTCTTAGCTCTTTCGGTAAAGTCACGTTGAAGGGAAACAATTAAATAATAAAATATATATTAAACAATAAAAATTCTCACGACGTTTGTGTTATGGTCGAAACGTCGTGAGAATTTTTATTGTTTTATATATTTTATTGTTTCATATATTTTATTGTTTCCCTTCAACGTGACTTTACCGAAAGAGCTAAGAATATGAATTACTGCAGTCACGAAAGCTTTAAATCAAAATTTCGTCGTGATATTGTTATTTTTTTCTATCTACGTGGCTTTACCGAAAGACCCAAAAAATATGAATTCCTGCAGTCACGAAAGCTCTAAGTCTAGATACATTTTGTTGATATATTTTCATGCTGGTGTTCTTACATGTGTTAATATACTTGATGATAATATAATTATTATATTTTGCATTAAGTGGCATAGGACCATGAATTTCTCCAGTGATAATATAACATCTGCAGCAGAATTCTGTTTTAAACCTGGAAGTGATTTCTTGATGCTCTGGAATTAAATTTAAGTGCATCTTTTTTTAACTAGAAATGCATCCCAAAATTTTGGGCTATTCCAGTTTTTACTGGATGTTTGTGGGGTTTTTTTTCTCATGCGTTTTCCAATTTTGCTTTGACCCCATGAGTCCTCAAGGTAGTATTATTCTGTGTTAGAGAAGGGGCCTTCCTTGCAGGGTGATGTAATGGAACGTTTAAATTTACTCTCCGTCCACACTGGTGCACTTTTCACGTGCTCTGTTTTAGAGATGTCCTTTGCATGGAAATCCTCGGAGCTGGGATGAGCCACATTTTAAGTGAGAAACAACTTGATGGTTCGTGATGAGATCATTTCGCTACACTTGAACCTGGTTTTAATCAGGGGAAAGTGAAAACCAGGTTAGAACCCATGAGGATCTCTCAGCGGTGTCGGCTCGGTGCTCTCACACCATTAGCCTTATGAACCAATCGGCAGTGTCCTTCGCAGCGGATTGGTCTTGGGCTTAGGCATTGCTGATGCGTGCTCATCTGCTTCCAGGTTGGTAGAATGAAGCGGCGCTTGGATGAACAAGAGAATGTGCCAGGTGCTGGTGGTGGGCAGCAGCAGCAGCACCAGCATCAGCAGCAGCCACAGCAGCAGCAGGGACCGCTGACACCACGCATTGGAGCTGGGGGAGAGGGTGTCTACCCTCGCCCTCAGCACCGGGCGCTTGCGCCTGCCCCGTCTGTGTACGATCAGATTTCGGAGAACATCCCACCAGCAAGCAACATCCACTATTCAACGACGCCGACATACCAGGTACCCACATGTGCACACTGTTATGCCTTAGATGCTGATGCCAACTGCTTTGGTGCGATTATTAATGAGTTAAATGTCATTGTCCCCATACTGGACACATAGGGCATTAAGCATTTAACGATTTAAGATAGTTACTGTGCTAATGATCACGTATAAGAATCGATTACTTTAAATTCATGTAAATGTGCTCCTGTTATGTTGGGCATAATGGTTGAAAGAAAACGACAAATTACACATGATAATCCATGAAAATAGGGTTTGCGTTAAGGGGGAAAATATAATAGATCCTTGAAATTAATAGGTATCCCAAATGACCACTGCCAAATAGGCAGTACTCAACTGCGTTGTTGCCTGATGACTGTTTGAGGTCGTGCCTAATATGAGGCAGTACAGCAAGCAGGTTGCTGATTTGTGTGAAGTTTGAATGTTATATTTTATTTAATCTATCCCATGTATGGACTAAATGAATAGTCCATATATCCCACACAGGTCCCAGTCTGTAAGGGTCTTAAGACTCAGTCTTGTCTAAAGGTTTAATATTAAAGCAATTATATAGCAAGTGGAATGGCCACTGGCTTTGACCATTAGTTTGCCTTTTCAACCTTCACATTGTTACACTGAACATGCCATACCCCAAAACTATTAATTCGCTTCATATTTGGGAGTATTTCAAATTTTATTAACTGGCTCAAGTTTTGTGAGATTAAATAATTGTGCTGTTTTTTGCCAAAAATAATGTTTATGGTAAAATGTCATTATCTTGCCTTGAGCCTAAAAACACAGTTTTATGGCATATTTGGTCTGTAAAAAGTTTTTGAGACGTGAAAAAAATACATTGTCATGGTCATGTTTGTTTTAAAATGTCAAGTATTGAAATGGCATCAGTCTAAAACCCCTTGCCACTTTTAAGCAATGCTACATCATAACAGAAAACAATATGTGAAGTAAAATAAAATAGTGTCAATCATTCAGGCCTGTAAAATATATTTAACTACATAATTTATACCTCTTTGGCAATCCACTGCTGTGTATGTAAGCCTCCCCATGTAATTTCTGTCCTGGTGGTACTTTAACTTCTTAACCATGCTGGTCAGTGCTGACTAGTAAGGAGCCCAGGAATGGTTTGTTGCCACTCGTGTTAGCTATGGGCAGGAACCAAACTGGTTGCCCCATGTTCATGGCAAAGTGCAACAATCACTGCCAGCCTCTATTATTAGATAAGAGCAATATTAAAACTACATTTCTATGTTAGGTTTAATGCTCTTTATGCACTTACAAAAGCTGAGTGTCAAACTTGTTCCTGGAGCACACTACGTTGCTATGTTTGGCCATTTTCATGAATCGGTGTTGGCATGTGGGGAGAAACTGGAGTACCCTGAGAGCGTAATCGGATTGCACTGCACTCAAAGCGCCACACAAATAGATTCAAGAGTATTGTTGTACTGCCACCTCCTGGTCACAATTCAGTGCTCTTTACCCTCTGAGATCCTATGTGTGCTTATTGGAGTCAAACCGTGGAAGCTAAAAATGTCTTATGTAAAAAAAATCATCATTGTTTACTCGCTACTTTGTTTATTGTAACTTTTCATATTTCTATGATTATTATCTGCATGCCGTCTGGTTGTGGAGTAAATAATATTACGGTAATATATTCATGCATTGTTCTTAATACCGCTGGTGGTGTTGAGCAGCAATACGCCATGATGTTAATGCTATTCTTTGACTGCCAACAGGTTCCAACTGTGCCGCAGGGTTCACTGGGGCAATCCCCGGGTGTCCACGGGACACATCATCACTCCACCTCGCTACCCACCGCTCACCCCCAGCCCATCCCGCACACCTCTCATCCCCACACGCAGCCGCAGCCACAGGGACAACAGTTCCAGCGACTCAAGGTAGATGCACCACTGCCCACTTAGTTAGAGCTGGTCTTGTGTTAGTGGGTTGAAGTCGTCAAATGTGATTAGTTGTGTGTAGGTAGTGCACTATAGCTTAAATTGGCAAACCTATTAGCAGGGCTAAAAATCTACTTCACATTTCACTTTTCCTTTTTGAAAGGGAGTTCTGTTCTCAACGTGTCATTGGTTTAAAGGATTAAGCATTTTATGTAAATGTATTATTTCAGAAAAATTACTTAGACTGTGATAGTCAAATAATACAAATATTCATGAACTGAGTTGTGACATTTAATTTAATCCTGCTTAATAAGGGTGCACTAAATATATACGTATTCGATATTTAGTGCACCCTTATGTAATTCCTCTATAGTCTCCGTGTTAAACAGCAGATTTATAAAATGTGCATACCGATTGTTATTTAATTGACTACAAGTTAATTCCATACACTTAGTCCAATGTATATATATACTTCTCAGCTGCATTATATGCATGCATACTATTTTTAATCAACATCTTGTTACTGCCAGGTGGAGGATGCTCTGTCCTACTTGGACCAGGTGAAGCTACAGTTTGGCAACCAGCCCCAAGTGTACAACGATTTCCTGGACATCATGAAGGAGTTCAAGTCCCAGAGGTGAGTCTTTACTCATGAGTGTCTCTCTCAGACGCTTAAGCGAAAGATGCTGCACACCCAGATCCACAATCGCATAGGAAACCTGGATTCACACTCATGGATTGTTTTCTGTTGAATGCCAAGACTTTGGTAGAGATGTAATGATTTGTTGATCCTAATATATTCTTATGCATTATTTTAAATGGTTTCTGATTACTTAATGTGGTGTTAGTTAATGTAAACCCAGCTGTGTTGTGGCAACACTAGATTCTGCATACCTGGTTTTAGAAAAAAGTATTTCAGAATTGTGGCATTTTATTGCAAACCCACTTTCTATTCGGCACAACAGTAACAACATTGAAAATAACTTCTAATGCTCATGGTGCATGCATCGAATATTTCAGTGACAATGGATTATTCATGATTTATGAATTTCATGAAAATGTCACCTTTAAGCTCATGTAATAAATTAGTGTGGATAAATTAAAACTAATAGTAAAAATATATCATGTGTAGATTGGATCGTAATAGATGACCATATCACCACAAAGGGTGATTCCTTAAGTCTAGCATTTACATCCTTCCTATTTTGAGCAAATTAACAAATGGGTTCCCTGTGCATTGTGTGCTTATGCATGTATCACATTTTTGTTATTTCCACAGCATCGACACACCCGGCGTCATCAGCCGGGTCTCCAACCTCTTCAAGGGCCACCCGGACCTCATCATGGGCTTCAACACCTTCTTGCCACCGGGCTACAAGATTGAGGTGCAGACGAACGACCTGATCAGTGTGACGACGCCCACGCAGTCTGCCCAGCCTGTGCAGCAGCCGCCACCGCCACCACAACAGCAGCAACAGCAACACAGCAACGTGCAGCCTCACCCACTGAGCAGCATCCCTCACCCGCAGCTCTCGCCAACTCAACCACCCACACCAAAACTTGGCAAGGTAATTCTGCAGCTGTAAAGTCTGGTGGACTAAGGGCTTGGAAGCAAAAGGTTTTGGGCCCAGTCTGTTCTTGGATGGCTGTCCACATTTGGGCAAGATCACATCGCTGTGTAACACATTTGGCGAATAGGGGGTCAACCAATGTCCCATAATGTTTGTTTCAATTTTTTTTGAAGTGGGAAGTGGTATGGAACATGTTTGTTAACGAGGGCTGTGTAGGATATTCAATTTTTTTGGTGGGCCACATTATAGTCTGAAGAATTTTCCAATTTACTGTTCCATGTTCTATTATAAAACAACTTCCTTTGTGACCGCATCGCCCCCATACAGTTTAACATCCAGATTTTTCCCCATGTGCACATTCTCTCACCAGGCCGTGCCCAGCTCACCGGTTACGCCGTCAGGCCCCGCAGCTGCTGCGCTCGTCAGCTTCCCTACGCAGCATGCAGCCACAAGCCAAGCAAGCCAGGGCTCTGGTCCTGGCACTGGAGGTGGTGGTGGCAGCGGCGGCGGTGGCGGAGGTGGCGGAGGTGGTGGTGCCGCTGGAGGACTGCACGGGACGCCACAGCCGCAGCTTCACAGCACCCAGCCCGTGGAGTTCAACCATGCCATCAACTACGTAAACAAGATCAAGAATCGCTTCCAGGGCCAACCCGACATCTACAAGGCCTTCCTGGAGATCCTGCACACGTATCAGGTGTTTGGCAGTGGCAGCGGATGACTTTGGGGCTGACCATACGTGCTAACTCGCACGTCTAGTGTGTGCTTAATGGGTATGGAGATATTAATAAGAAGGCTAATTTACTCAGTCAAATTCGGGTTTCCTTAGTTTTTTTTACTTTTATACACTTAACATTTCTCGTAGTTCTGTGCGTAAATCCCCTTTAGGACTTTCTGGGTTGGTCTGCCTTTGCAATAGGGGAGGGAGTGGGGATTGGGCCTCCCAGCACCTACTTTATCAATGATGAAAGCAAGGGCTTTGAGTTTAATGGCTTAGTAATGTGTTACTGTTGCAAAATAATGTATTTTTAGCCCTGATGTGTTTTCGGGTTGTATTGCATTTTGTTTGGCACTGACATGTCGCTGCTCATGCTGGAACCTCCTTCGGGAACTGAACCCAAAAACACATTGGGGAGCTATAGAGCACAACCGTGAAAACCTTTGGTAAAAATAAAATGGCTCTCTTGTGCAGTATTTGTAGAATTACAATTTGTATTTGTACGTGCAGGAAATTTCTACTTGATCATTATCAGCAATGATCATTCCACTGCTGCACTCCATAACTCCTGCTTGACACACCCTGCCCGTTGCAGAAGGAGCAGCGTAATATGAAGGAGTCTGGTGGGAATTACCTGCCGAAGCTGACAGAGCAGGAGGTGTATGCGGAGGTTGCGCGGCTCTTCAAGAATCAGGAGGACCTGCTGGCTGAGTTCGGCCAGTTCCTCCCAGATGCCAACGGCTCTCACGTAAGCCCTTTAGTGGTTGCTACGAACCAAATGCATTTGTTCCCCTGTCTGACCACCTACATACATGCCAATTTGTTTTGCTCACGAGTACATCTACTGTTTTACTGTAGTGGTTTATTTGTATGCTGGGGTCTGACCATGCAGGTGTGAGGCTGTTGTTGGTTATTGATTTAAGTTGGCGTTGAATTTTGTAAATTGCCATGTTAAATCGTGGGTTTGCATCACGGTTTAAATTGCTCATGACCCATTGTATTAATACAGCCAAGGCTATGAGAAGCCTGAGGCAATAATGTACAGAGGGTCAAAAGCAATTTTAGGATTCTTTGGGTTCATTGTTGTTTCCTGATGCTGAGCCAGACTAAAAGGTGACTTTGTGATTTTTCAGCTTAATTGTTAATCAGACATGTAATGATGTACCCTATTCACAATTCAATAAATTGTCAATCTGATCATGAATCAATTCAAGGTTTTGTTATAACGACGCTGGTGAAGGTAGTGACTTCTAATATAAACTAATATAATCTAGGAGCATTGGAATTTATGAAATTCATAAATTTACAGAATATTGATGCCTGAAACTTAAAGCCAGTGTCAACAGAAGCGTAGCCATAGGAAACCGCACCAAATATATACCTCCTTATCCTGAGCTTTCGTGTGGCCTGCCACAGGATTTTATGTGTCAATGGTGCGTGTGCATCCACATTCACAGCTGCTAACGAAGACCTGCGAGAAGGTGGACTCGGTGCACAATGACCATGGCGCCACGGTCAAGAAGCCACTGCTCAGCATGGGCAGCAGCACCAAGCGGCTGAGCCAGAACGGCAGCCAGATCCGGCGGCTTAGCGGGCCTGGCACCACACCGCCTGCCAAGGTGAGTAGGTGGAGGACACCGGCCACTGGCCATGCGCTCTGACACTGTTTCCCACCCATGTCATCTTTGAGTCTGTCCGGTGATCGATGTTGGTTTTGTGCATCTTCAGTCTGCGAGCCTTGAGCGTACTTATGCATGTGAAAAAATGCAAGAAGGTTTTCCACGCCTGATTGTGGGGTTATTTGTCAGGGGTAGTTATTGTTTTGGCTTGGATATGTGTGTAGGACTACGGTCTGATTGTGAGTAACGTTGGGGATAGGCCTAGGTCTAGTTGGATAGTGTGGTTAGGGTTGTTTCCTGGAGGGGTTAGAATTGGTGTTTGGACTTACATCTGGATATTGATGATTGGGCTGTCGGTCGTTGGAATCGTATCTGCAATATTGAATATGCAAGCTCTTGACAAAAAAACTCACGCTGCGATTTATTCTGTTTTCATACTGCAATTTATTTAACCCCTAGGCTTTCACGACCAATATTATACGTAACGGAGGATTTTGGGTTAGATCGTGTAAAAATTGAAATGTCCTTTTAAATGTTGTCCATTTACACTCTAACACACCGGTGTGCTGGATTAGTAACAAATTGCCACATTCTGTTTACGTGGCACCTTACTAATTTGCTGTCAGGTGATGACGGGTTTAAAGACACATTTTTTACACCATATAATTTAAAAAAACCTGTGCTATTTTATTTGTTTGCTGCTTGATAATTTTAATTTTTTTGTTTTTTTTCTGTCCACTCAAGGCCTCAAAAACAAGCCCCTCGCCACGTTTTACATTGCAGAAGAAACTGAAGCCCAGCAGCTTTAAGGACACGTCCAGTGCTGACTCGAGCAAACACGGCAGCCTTGGAGAGTTTGCTTTCTTCGATAAGGTAGAGCCGTGCAATATGCGTACATTTTTTTTCTCCAGGTGTGCAAAGGCAGGCAAGGTTTACATTTTTTTTATTTCCCTTCATTTTCTATGATTTTTCAAAGTGAAATAATTAGTGTTATGTGGCTTAATTGGGTGCAAACCTCATGTTGCAACGTACACATCTGTTCGACCTCAGTTGCACCCGCTTAACAGTGTGCATAGCGTATCTCTCCTCTACACTACTATGGAGTTAGTAGTTACTACTATAGTCAGGGGATACTACTATTGAGTCAATATGTACTACTGTTGTATATGGGGGTTATGAAAATTTGAAAATAATAATAAATTAAATGGAATTTTTGATTTGGATATTTTTTCCTGAAATTATGTTAATGTGTAATTATGCTAATTCGAGAGATAATCGTATTAATTTATGCAAGTGGGTGTGGTTATGTTAATGACACCCTTTATGATAATCAGACCCCGCCTCATTGACGAGGGTAGGTTATCAATCGGGATAATACAATTATTCTCGTACGCCGTTATGCAGTTGCTGTGAGCATGTCAGATTAAACTCGGCTTCGCTGTTAACTTCGTATTATCGAACAGTGTAATACAATTATTCTCGCTTTGACATTTATTGAGTGGATTAGTATGTTTATGTAAGGTCACCAAGTTCAGATCTCAACGCAGAATCAGTTCTTATGCATAATTCAGGAAAGAAACACACAACACTTCTGCGTTAACCATTTTTATTTCTAACTAAACTTTTAACTCTAAAAGATGCAACTCTCGGCTCGGAATTCCAACAGTATCATCACGACTGCGATTTTTCACTTTGATAACAGCACATTGATTCATTCCCCACGTAACGCGAGCAGTTGGTGAGAGAGTCGTTAAAACATCTGAACAAAAAAAAAACACCTTGATACTCTTATTATGAAAGATTATACTGGAATTTGCACACAGTACCGCGTTCATTCATAGATCCATGAGCAACCCTTATCACGTTGTTAGCACATTGGGTCACGGAACAGTTGGGTATTCTGTAGAGTACGCGAGTACGTGCGGCGATCAGTAACGAAGGTACTTAAAGGTTATATGACGATATTCATACGAAAAGGCGATCAAAACAGTTGTTATTCCCAAAGGCACAAATATATCAACAGATCCATCGGAGAGAATGTATGATTACCAAAATGCCTTAGAGTGAGGGTGTGCGGTGGGGTGCGCTCTCTCCCCTGATATCCTTATCTTGGGCCAACGTTTAATTAATTGTGGACCAGATCGCCTGATAAGGAAGCCGGTTGGATTCGCTATTCCCCCATGTGAGCGTAGCTCTGTGGCGAAGGTGTCAAGGATTAATTCGCATTGATGGATCGGTTGGTAATTTATGCGATTAGAAGTACAGCCCAAAACAAAATATTAAGGAGGAAAATTATGAATATACTTATAAACGACGGACTGTTATCACCCGATCTGTAGCGATGCTTCCACGGCCACAGATGGTTCACGTTTTGAGGATTGGCTTTTGTTCCTGACTCGTGTATGGGTGAGGGATATAAATTGTCAGTTTAACATGTAGGCTTTCGCGACCAATATTATTCATAATAAAGGTTTTTGGGTTAGATCACGTTTATTTATAAATCTGTCGTAACCCACCACCACCCGACACGGCCAATCAGCAAAAAAAGTGTCACGTTGACAAAAAGACAAATAATTCACTACTTTAGCCCACCGGTGTGTTGAAGAGTGAATCCACATTTACAGTTTGAGTACGACGTTTCGCTGGTAAATACATCAAGCATCATCGGGCAATTCGCCAGAATGGTAAAGCCCTCGCTTGCTCCCGGTTTTATATAGAGCAGCAGGGTGATGTCATCACTTAACTCATATCAGGTGCAGTGATTAGAGGCGGAGGGGGGGGTATTGCAATTATATAATCGATTAGTAATCAGTCATTGGTTATGATTAGTAATGAGTTGTAGATTAGTAATTCTTTAATCAAAATGTAATGTGTATTATTTAATAATACGCTTCCAGGCCGCACTAAGCCTGTAGCTGTCAGAGCGATTAAAGTTATTCTTGTTCCTCTCAATTTCAATGGATTCTCTAATTAGTCTTTGCCAGTAATAATTAGTTTTACACACCACTGCAACATTGTCAAAATCAATTGAGTGTCCTTGTTGACAAGCATGTTCTGCCACTGCCGACAGTTGTGTTTGAGAATTTAATATTTCTCTGTTGCTACATTGGGCAGACGGGACGTAACATTAGCGTAAGACTAAAAGAACATCAGAGAAATATTAAATGATCTCAAACACAACTGTTGGCAGTGGCAGAACATGCTTGTCAACAAGGACACTCAATTGATTTTGACAATGTTGCAGTGGTGTGTAAAACTAATTATTACTGGCAAATACTAATTAGAGAATCCATTGAAATTGAGAGGAACAAGAATAACTTTTAATCGCTCTGACAGCTACAGGCTTAGTGCGGCCTGGAAGCGTATTATTAAATAATACACATTACATTTTGATTTAAAGAATTACTAATCTACAACTCATTACTAATCATAACCAATGACTGATTACTAATCGATTATATAATTACAATACCCCCCCTCCGCCTCTAATCACTGCACCTGATATGAGTTAAGTGATGACGTCACCCTGCTGCTCTATATAAAACCGGGAGCAAGCGAAGGCTTTACCATTCTGGCGAATTGTCCGATGATGCTGGATGTATTTACCAGCGAAACGTCGTACTCAAACTGTAAATGTGGATTCACTCTTCAACACACCGGTGGGCTATAGTAGTGAATTATTTGTCTTTTTGTCAACGTGACACTTTTTTTGCTGATTGGCCGTGTCGGGTGGTGGTGGGTTACGACACATTTATAAATAAACGCGATCTAACCCAAAAACCTTTATTATGGATATAAATTGTGTTGAATAGTCAGTGTTCGGAGTTGATTCTTTGCGTCAAACAGACGCCTGGTTTGTTTCGTCACTAGCTGCGGTGGGGGAGTGTTATCTACGGATTCCCAGCCTTCCCGCGAGCGCAGGTGGTTGCAATAATGACTTGGCTTCTGTCTGCTCTCTCGCGCTGCGGGAAGACAAAGGCGTCTCTCCTTCTCTCCGTTGCCCTTGGTTTACATCACTCAATTATTATTTGTTTTATGTTTAACAAGGTTGTGAACTTAATCTGTTTGCTGACGCCTTCGTTAGCAAGGAATTCCCCCCCCCCCTCTCTCTTGCACGTGTGGTGTGTTATTCGTCCAGCTGTGGTGGGGGAGTGCTGTTAACGGAGTCCTAGCCTTCCCGTGAGCCTATTATTTTTAATTTCAATTCAACGGCTCTTCCATGACCTCCACATGCTGTTTGCTTATGCTTGTCGTTTTCATTCATTATTTCGAAAGAAAAAAATATATATCGGCAAATATTTTATTGATATTAATGATGGAAAAAGGGCCGTATACAACACTACTATAGTCAGTAGATACCACTATTGAGTCAATATGTACTACTATAGTCATTAGATACTACTACAGAGTCTGTGCTACTGCCAATGGCAGAGCCAGGATTTTCAGGTAGGGGGAAACCCCTCCTGCAATGAAAAATGATAGGAGTTCGTAAGTAAGGACTTGTTCCTTGCTTTTTAATCGACGCGTGTGCGGCAATGGCGCAGCCATCGATCGAAGGTTGAATTCGAACCGCGTGTGATCGGCATCGCGCTCGCTAAAGGTGAATGCCTTCAGAGAAGTTGTGTACTGTATACGCAACTGCGCACAATTCTGAGTCACTTATAACTGCTTTGCCGTTACTTATTGCCAATTATGGACTCAGACTATTGTCCTATCATCTCAGAGTCCCTGGCACATAATAATATGCTGCACAGTGGCAGTGGGGGTCGCGAAATGCCCATTTATTACTAATAAAACCCAATGATCCGATCGAAATTGGGGATTTCGATCGGATCATTGGGGGGGGGACACGTGCCACCCCCCCACTGGCTCCGCCAGTGGTTACTGCTATAGTCTAGGTACTACCATAGGGTCTGTAGGTACTACTACAGAGTCGGCAGATAGTACTATCGACTAAATAGATACTACTCTATTTTATGTAGGGTCTGTAGGTATATATGCCTATGCGGTGGGTAAAAAAAAAATGTTGAAGGGGGGGGGGGGCATCGACAAATTTCGGAAACCTTTTTAGATCAACCATTTACCCCCCACTCTATTACTTTTTGGACTTATAATTTTGTTGATGGAAAAACCGCACGCCGGGCTTTCACAATAGCGTAGTGTTTGTGTATGTATATGTTATGTTTTTAAGAGAAGACAAGTTTGTAAATATATTTTTCCCCCGGGAAACGCTGGGTACTTCCTGCTTGTCTGCCATAAAATCATGGCAGCTAAATTTAACTTGAGTACCACAACACCAGCTTCCATATTTATATAATTCAATGGACAGGTTAATATAATTATAAGATCAAAACAACTTTTATGCATTATTTTTTTTTACCACAAACATAACAGTGAATATTCTTGGTTCTTTCGGTAAAGTCACGTCGAAGGGAAACAAAATAATAAAAATGTAAAACAATAAAATTCTCACGACGTTTTGACTGCAACACAAGCAATCATCATCAGGTGTGAAAACCTCAGCAGGAAAATTTGAAAAAAAAAACCCGCCACTTTTTTCAAATTTTCTTGCTGTGGTTTTCACACCTGATGATGATTGCTTGTGTTGCAGTCGAAACGTCGTGATAATTTTATTGTTTTATATTTTTATTATTTTATTGTTTCCCTTCTACGTGACTTTACCGAAAGAACCAAGAATATGAATCCCTGCAGTCACGAAAGCTTTAAATCAAAATATAACAGTGAATGTGACCATAACCCAATTCTCAGGTTCCCTCCCTTTTCAATCCTGCATCAGCAAGATTGCCCTTGCTGTCATCAAGAGCCTCCATGGACTCGCCCTTGCCTGTCTGTCTATTCTCATCTCATCTTCATTTAATTTGCCTTTCCTCTCTAGTAACCAAGGCTTCTTTCAAAACCCAAGTTAACCTCTGCTCAATGGGTGGTCGGTCACTCCTACTCTGCTGATGTCTGGAACAATCTCCCCCTAGCTCTCTGCACTGCTAGACCATTGCCCCTTTTCAAGCCATCACTTGCTGAGGTGCCTTTCTGTCTCCTTGAAGAGCCTCTTACCCTTTTCTCCACCTTTCACCTTAATAACCTAAGAGAAGCCTTTCTCTTGCTCCCAAAAATTAAGCATGCCCCCCCCAGTTTTACAACATCTTTAGATGCAGCTATATTTCATTGCTATGGAAATCCAAATGCCGCTCATTTAATATTTTTATTTAAGTTTTCCTGTGTCGTGTGTGTGTGCCTATTATGTAGGTGCGGAAAGCACTGAAGAGCCACGAGGTATACGAGAATTTTCTGCGGTGCCTTGTGCTCTTCAACCAGGAGGTGGTGTCGCGCTCAGAGCTGGTGCAGCTGGTGTTTCCCTTCCTAGGGTACGCATATGCTAGGACTGTAAGGACACATTCATTAATTGGTGAATATAGATTAGTAAGGCTCGCGATGCATTCCTCATGGCTTGAGGATTGATGGTGTCAAGTGTATGCAGACTATACTAATGTTACATAGGCCAATGGAGAACCGAAAATGTGTAAATTAGTCGAGAACATGAGAAACCATACAAGTAATATGGATACTTTTTAGGACACAAGAATGGATTTTTAATTTTAACCGTGGGTATGAATTGGGATAATTGAAACAAGGAGGGCGAGTCTTCACCTGTGATCTGCATCTCATACCATTGTTACATTATAATTAGGAGTAAGGAGATGCCCCTTTTTGCTGTTAACACTGTCATGAGCAAGCCTTTTGTCTGGGAATTGGACAAGGCACAATACCAATGGGTTGCTTTTGTAACTTAAAATAAAGCAGTGCCTAGCTTTCTTTTGAGGTGAAGATTAACATGGTAGGCAGTAATCGCTAAATATGTTCGTGATATTTATTGATGGCATTGGTTATCCTACAAAGTAGGAAAAGGAATTCCCACTACTGTCTCAGCATTGCCAGTCAAATGAGCGCTCCCCAATTCTTCTTCATGTGTGAAGATATTTGAGGCTTGTTCAATTAAAAATAAGTTTATTGGTATATGCAAAGTTATTTAGAGCTCCTGTTCAATAAATATGCCCACTGTTCTGTGTAGCGTCTTGAAATGTGGTTACATTTTAGATGTTGCATACATCCCATTTGGATTGCTAGTCCTGGGTCTGGTGTATGTTCTACATTCCTTTGGCAGGGAAAAGTATTTGCACGTAGACAATTTTATTTCTGACCAAGTACTAATTTTACTTACCCCAGAGTGATGATCAGCTGAGTTGATAATGACCTTAATGTGAACCATGCAATACCACGTGTCTGCACACAACCCCCCCCCCCAACCCAACAGCAAGTTCCCAGAGCTCTTCAGCTGGTTCAAGACATTTGTTGGCTACAAGGAGTTTTCCCACCCCGAGGCGTTGCCCAAGGACCGCTCGGCTGAGGGCATTGCCATGGAGATCGACTACGCCTCCTGCAAGCGTCTGGGCCCAAGCTACCGCGCTCTGCCCAAGAGCTATCAGCAGCCCAAGTGTAGTGGGCGTACGCCGCTGTGCCGCGAGGCGAGTGAAGCAGTGGGGGACGTGGATGTGAGACGGGGGTGGGATTTCTTGCCAGGACTCTTGCTGTGTTTGTTTTGGATATTTTTACTCCAGAGAGACTAAGGAGGCTGGGTTTTACCTCTTGGGATATTTACCATTGTTTCATTCGGTCTAAATGAAGACGGTCGGCCGTAGTTTGCGGTGGTTAGGGCCATGACAATACAGGAAATTGATTTTTCTTGAATTATCAACTCGTATGGTTGGGGTTTCTTGGGGTATTCCAGCTTTCTCCTACGTGCACAAGGTTCCTTTTAAAAATGGAAACCTCTCAATACAGGGCTGCAAAATTAATCCAGATTCTTATAAGGATTTCCTGGGGTAAATATGACAAATAAGTTCCCTCAATTACTGGAGCCCTCACTGCCTGCACAATTTGACTGGTTAAAAACCAAGATCCCCTGTGATTAGTTCATATAATTTATAGCCAGTAAGCCCCCTTCAGAAAATAATTATATGCGTTCTACACCAAGCATAATTCAAGGGCTAAGAAACTTTGGGAAATTATAGAAAGGAAGACGTTTGCAAATTCTTAGCATGGAAAAGTGTAATGTTATATACAGGGCAGGAAAAATACTTGATTACATTTAAAACTGCAACTTAGAATACGAGGCTGAAAAAGATAGCGTGACATGAAACAATATTCTTAATATTAAAAAAATGGAAAGGCAAAACTATAGTTATATTTGCGTTATTAAATTTGACTCCTAAAAGCATTCATTTCAATTATAATAATTGTAATGACTAGTCTAACATAGCTTAATGGAGTTGCTCTATGGTATAGAAGTTAAAGCTAATGTTAAGCTGCTGATGTTTTGTGGCACAGGTGTTGAACGACACCTGGGTGTCCTTCCCATCGTGGTCGGAGGATTCCACGTTTGTGAGCTCCAAGAAGACTCAGTACGAAGAGCACATTTACCGCTGCGAGGATGAACGATTTGAGGTACCGGTCTCTGACCTGGCTACTTCACTCTCCTACTCCCCCTCCTATTATGTGTGTTCGTATGTTTTAAAACTATTTCAACAAATGCTTGTTCCTGAACTTTGGCATCTTAGGTTTGCCGCAACAGCGCTTGGATGTTCCATTTGTTTGTCCGCTATTTAGTTACTAGGTTGCTGTTGCTTTGTGTTCCTGTTATCTGCACTATTTGGAGCAATTAAAGCCTCCTTTTATCTTTCACTGGCCGACCATCCTTACCCCCCCCATCCCCCACACTACACCACGTCTCATCGTTTGCCTCCCCCACTGCCTCTGCCGTCAGCTGGACTACGTGCTAGAGACAAACCTGGCGACGATCCGCGTGCTGGAGAGCGTTCACAAGAAGCTGTCGCGCATGTCGGAGGAGGACAAGGCGCGCTTCCACCTCGACAGCTGCCTGGGCGGCACCTCTGAGGTCGTGCACCGCAAGGCCGTACAGCGCATCTACGGTGACAAAGCCAATGAGATCATCGACGGCCTCAAGAAGAACCCCGCTGTCGCCGTGCCCGTTGTCCTCAAGAGGTACAATTTTTCAACCAGTGTAGCCAGTGCACTGAGAAAATGGCAAAATCAGTTATCTTGTTGATGAATTCTTAGTAGGAATGGAATGACTTGCCTGCCCCCCCCGGTGATTTGATGGATTGCCATATTTCAGTTCAGCAATTATTAACAAAAAATATCTTGTGCACTGTGGCACAAGTTTGAATCGTTATTCATAATAAAAAAGCCATAACTTTAAAAGTGGTGCTTAAATGATGCCACTGCTTGGATCACTGGCGATAATAAAATAATGTGAATTGCACTGTAAGTCGCATCATTGTAGCATTGTAATGTTGGCTATTGCAGCATTTAAAGGATACGCCAGGCCCACCTGCTGATTTGCTCTCGCTCCCCCCCCCCGTCTCATGCTGTTGCCAACAGGCTCAAGGCAAAGGATGAGGAGTGGCGCGAGGCGCAGCGCGGCTTCAACAAGATCTGGCGAGAGCAGAATGAGAAGTACTACCTCAAATCACTCGACCACCAGGGCATCAACTTCAAGCAGAACGACACCAAGGCCCTGCGCTCTAAGAGCCTCCTCAACGAGATTGAAACAATCTACGACGAGGTAAGGGAAGCGTGCCTGTGGGGTACCTCTTTTACATAGGCATAGTACTTGCTTAATATAATTTTGTAGTTTTAAATGCACAGCAGAGACCAAGGTTGTCCAAAATTGTGCCTAACCTCCTGTGCTGCTTTTCCCAACTCTGGCGCCGTGCACTGCTCAGCACCAGGAGCAGGCGGCGGAGGGAAACGTGTCACCGGCGTCGGGCCCGCACCTCGATTACGAGTACGAGGACAAGCAGATCCTGGAGGACGCCGCCTCGCTCATCATCCACCATGTCAAGCGGCAGACTGGTATCCAGACCGAGGACAAGCACAAGATCAAGCAGCTCATCTACCACCTCGTGCCAGACCTGTTCTTCGGCTCGCGCGGTGAGCTCAGCGACATGGAGGAGTCTGCCGCGGGAGACGAAGATGCCGCCCCGACCGTGGCCTCCTCCACGGACTCTGCTGAGGGCAAGGCCAATGGGCCAGCAGATGGCAGCAGTCCCGGGAAGGGCAATAAGTCTGAGGGCAGTGGAGGGGGCAGCGTGACGGGCAAGAGCAAGCTGCTGTTCGCCACGACGCACGCGCATAAGCTGAAGGGGCTGGAGCATGTGTACAACCTGATGTTCGTCAACAACAACTGGTACATCTTCCTGCGGCTGCACCAGCTGCTGTGTTCGCGGCTCCTGCGGATCTACATGCAGGCGGAGCGGCAGATGGAGGAGGAGCGCATGGGATCAGAGCCCGCAGCCAAGAAGGACAAGAAGGAAAGCCCTGCCTACCAACTGCGACTCAAGCAGCCCAGTGCGTGTCGCCCCGGCAGACTTAACACACGAGATTACTCAAGCATATACAAGTACTCTGAAAAAAATACTGCTGCAGTCAATAAATTTAGTTCTTGTGGCCCACTGGGCATGATCATAGTTTTTATAAGCGTGCCATAACCATGTATGAGAGAAAAAGTGGGTAGTTGGGATTGGTGTTCGGACAGCGTTATTACACATGGCGGCCAGCTCTTGGAGTGGCACGCCAAAGTGGCTCGCCAACATTTAATTACTTGCATTGGCACAACTTGTTCAAGTAGGCACATAGTGAGAAACAGATGGGGTTCCTTTGTCATGGATAATACATTAAGAAACAAGTTATGCTCTCACCAAGGCTATTTGACTTTTGAAGCGAAGAAATAGGGCAAAAACATAATAAATGTAACCATCTTTGAGTTGCCTATATTTGGTGACAGCGGTTAACAGTTGATTGAGGTTTTCTTTGTAGGCTCCCTGGTAACTTTATGGTAGTTGATTTACCATGGTCGATTAGTTGACTGGTCAGCTTTACCGATTTACTTTGTGGGTGAAAATTGAGTGGCGATTTGGCTGGCTGTATGTCCCGCGCGTGACGTCACTCCACATGCTGCTCCCCTCCACAATAACCATTAGCGGGTGACGTCACCCCACATGGGGCAACCCCCCCTCATTAATAATTATGAGCTGAACAATTTTTCGATTTCAGATTTACTGCAATATACACCTGTCCTTGGACGGGCAAACAAGCTAGTTGATGAAGAATGGATCTGACTGCCGCTTACCTTGCTTCCCTGTCGACTGCAGGTGAGCTGGAAGTAGATGACTATTACCCGGCCTTCCTGGACATGGTGAAGAATTTGCTGGATGGCAACATGGAGTCATCCCACTATGAGGACACTCTGCGCGAGATGTTCACCATCCACGCCTACATCGGCTTCACCATGGACAAGCTCATCCAGAACATTGTCCGCCAGGTCTGCTGCCACCTTCGCCACACACAACCACCTTGGTGGCACCCATTGCATTACTATTGCAAGTGCCATCATTCAAGTGGTTTAGTACAATGTCCTTATTGCAAATGCTGTTAATGTTGTCACTGTAACGGTTCGTTCACTTGCTCGCATGGTGCATTGGTTAAATCATGCGTGCAAGAACCCGTATTCCTATTTATGAAAATTGAACGTGTATTTTTGCATGTGAAGCCTGCAGGCACTTTATTATACTTGCACCACAATGAGGAAAAAAAAATGTTAATATCGTTTCGGCAAGTCATTTGAATCCTGGAGGTAAATCATTGCATTTCCTGTACCATAGCATATAGTTTGGAAGAATACACTTGTATTTCAGCACATACAATTCCACAAAAGCAAGGCATTATGTGAAGTTTAGCTGGGGCCATTGCAATGATCAGTGGTAAACATGCCCTCTTCCCCCAGTCTCTTCATTGCTTCATTTATAACCACACATTTGCCAACAGCTGCAGCACATCGTGACGGACGAGGTGTGCGTGCGGGTCATGGAGCTGTACCTGGGCGAGTCACCGGCCGCTACCGGCGGCAGCTTGGCCACTCAGAGCAGCCGCTCGTCTCACGAGGCCGCCTACCAGAAAAAAGTGGAACAGCACATGTCCGATGAGAACTGCTTCAAGGTATGGCACTGCCCACCTACCCCCAACTCCTCACCGATCGTACGAACCATCCAGTTGCTTGTCGGTTGCCACCGTAATAACAATAAGTAATTGTTTGGTCAGATGGTTAAGCGGACAAATACTGTCTCAAGTGCTGAGCGCAGCTACCTCTGAAATGCCCAGTGAATATGGGTTTTAGCCGCGTGTAATGAAACTGGCTTCTCAAGCGTAGTGAGTGGCTTAAACTCGGTCACAATTAGTAGAAATCGGAAGCCATTGATCTCCTTTTTGACCTCTTGGCTTTTTTTCCAGCATTGATAGTAAAACATTTAGTTTTTGTCATGACATTAATTGCAGGGCGTGTGATAATAAAAAGTACTGTCGAAAAGAAGTCTACCTGCTTAAATGCTTCTGGAAAGGTTTTATTATTGAAGACCCATAGGCTGGACTAAAGCACAATTTTACATTGATTTGGGACATTTTTTCCCCTCTGCAGGTCATGTTCATACAGAGCGAGGGTCGTGTGAAGCTCATGGTGGAACTGCTGGACACAGATGAGGACCACTCGGACGGCCCCGTTGAAGTAGAGGTACAGTCACCGCTCTTGTTGTCACGCCACCTTTCATCCTGTTGCTGTGGCTACCACCTCCGTGTAAATCACCTTCGTTGCCGTTGTGTTGCATCTTGTCGATTTGTGCCTAGTGTTAATCTACACCGCCAGATGCTTTTCTGAATCGCATCGTCAAGTATTTTAAACAAGTTTTCTTAAACAAAAAGTTGGAAACATTGGCCCAGAATGGCCTGTAAGCTGATGAAGTAAAACATTTAATCAATTTTTCTTATTCCGATACATTTAATCCACAATGGCACAATTATTTTTGTTGACAATTTGCATTGGTCAAATATCAACCATTTGACACTTTTTGTATCCGTTATTCCGATTTTATTAGGGCCATTTTGTATGGCAATGTGAAATATCAAAAGTTATATGTAATATAATGGAAATTCCAGTTCCATTTCACCTTCAACCATTGCATTGCACAGCATCATTCTAGTTAAATGGACACCCAGTGCCAGCTGTTCCTTTGCAGCACAAGGTGGTCGCAGGACCGGCCTGCCAGCAGGGAGTAATTTTGTCGTGTACAATTTACCAATTTATTTGTGAGCGATCAAATTTGGCAAATGTGTACGATTAGGTTTACAGTAGGCTTTCCTTTTCTAGCAGATTTTAATAAATTGATTTTCATTATGCTGCTACAAGGGGATCATTGTTCAATGGCACGCGGATTATTGCTGCGGTAGCATTAATGTGTTTTTATTTGTGGTGGGCGTGGTCAGCGTTGGTCGGACTACGTGGACCGCTACGTGAGCCCAGACTTCTCATCGCCTGAGCTAAGGGAACACCTGGCTCGCAAGCCTGTCTTCCTGCCCAGGTAAGCCGTCTAGAGTGCCATAAAATCCACATTTCTTTGTTCCATTTGCTGGTCTGGTCAACCAAGCATTGTTTGCCATAAGCTAATTTAACTCGTCCTATGGATCAGATTAATTTGTTGTACTCGTTTAAAGCAAAAGGTTTATTTTTTAATATAAATTATGTAGAACTTAAGAGGAATGGGAAGATAAATGTATTGAGTCCAGAATTTTGTTTTACTAATTTGATTCATCATAAGATGCTGCTGAATTGTATGAAAGTAAGGCAAGGGCTGTCTCAAGAAAACAAACATTCAATTAAAACACCAATCTTGCATTACAGTATCGCATTTTTTTTATCAACAGTATAACCTTGCACGAAATCTTTTTTTTTTCCCCTTTGCCAAAACATGCATACACGACGGTACTACTCGGTGGCTTGGGTAACAAGTTCTGTACGAATTGGCAGTGTTGATTTCAATTGTCATTCTTGCCCTGCAGGAACCTGCGGCGAGTGCGCAAGTGGCAGCGGGAGCTCGACTGCCAGGAGAAGGAGAGCCGCGAGGCGGCGAGCGGCTCAAGCGGCGCCGGCAGCACCACTGGTACCACCACCCCCAAACCTGGGGAGCCGGAGGCCTTCAACAAGATCGAGTGCAACTTCAAGCTCAACTCGTACAAGATGGTCTACGTGTTCAATTCGGAGGACTACCTTTACCGACGCACTGCCCTGCAGCGTGCCCAGCAGGTAACAACCGCCCCTCCGACATACTTCCGCTTTTCCTCCGTGACTACTTGCCGCGGGGTTCAGATTAACAGAAGTGTGATGCACAGATTGCCAGTGGTGCACAAGCACACTCCCTAATGAAACTGGTCAACTAAAACTAACTACAGTAAAACCTTGGATTGCGAGTAACTTGGTCTGCGAGTGTTTTGCAAGACGAGCACATTTTTTTAAATAAATATTAATTTGATAAACGAGCGAGGGTCTTGCAACACGAGTAGTACGTATACGCTTTGTCTGCCGAGCGTCACGTGATCACAACTGATATACGAGTGCTTTGATATACGAGTGCTTTGGATTACAAACACGTTTCCGGAACGAATTATTCTCGCAATCCAAGGTTTTACTGTAATTTTTATTTTACCATGTAAGGCCCACTAATCTGTATAACTCTTGTAGAAGCAACCTGGCCCACATATGGTAACTCAACGAAGTGACTTATGTGGAATAAATAGGAGCCAAATAATCTAAATGCATGGTTCTAAATGTGGAGGGAAAAACCGGAGGACCCTGAGAAAAATCCTTGCAATCAAAGGGAGAGACATGCAAACTCCTATTATATACAGGCATCAAGGTCTGGATCGAACCCACGACATCCTGTGTATATACCAGGTGAGGTACTTAACATCTCGCCACTGTGGTGTTTGAGCAAGCACACTACATATGAAGGTGTTAATGGTACATGTGGCGAGCGTTTTTTTTATTTGAATAGTTGGGTTCTTTTGGAGTTCATTGTTTTTAAGAATTATTTACCCAAGAAGACCTTCGAGGTACTATACTTGGCTATTTATTGAGTGCTTAACTTTATGTGAAAGGACACTAGGATGTATCTGGAAGAAAATGTATGTTTTTGAAGGGATAACTGTCAAAATATCTGCACAAGCTCATGGACCCTTTAAGTAGGAAAACTATTTGGACCCCCTTTAACGGAGGCGACTCATCAGGGTTGTGGGCTGCAAAACAAATTCTGCTGTTTTGCCAGGATAATTGTATACATTTTTATTTGTGGAAAATATTTTTCTAAGATTCATGGGTCTGTTTAACTTAACTCTAACCAACCAAGTAACATTTCACTTGTTTGCAACAAACTGATGGAATTTGAATAGGTAAATCTGTCCCAGAAATTCCGTAGGTTATTAAACAAGCTTATTAGATTTTCTTTTTGTGTGAAGCCTTCGCTACAATTATTATTATAAGCATATATTTGTTTTTAATGCCATTTAAATGTGATGCGTATCTTTCTCTCTTGTTGGTATTCATTATGGCTAACAATCGCCATTGTGGACTTGCGTGTGAGATGCCAATTCGCTTACCGCCACGCGCGCGGTTTGTTCCTGTCCGCAGTCGCACCAGCGCGTCTCGCGGCGCCTGCACCGGCGCTTCCATAGCTGGTGGGACGAGTGGAGCAAGGTGCACGTGACCCCTGAGATGGATGATGCCACCAACTCGTGGCTGCTTGGCCAGGGCCTGGAGGACATGAAGCCGTGCACCACCACGCGGCAGCTCGAGATCGTTCACCACATGCCGCTCAACAAATACCGTGTCAAGCCCATCAAGGATGCCGTCATCGACAAGCCGACAGAGTAGGCTCAATGGCATCTACTGCATGACCATGAAATGTCGGGTCACAGCACCGGCGCAAACCTTAGCAGCGACTCGTCCTGCATTAAAAAGTAGCTCTGGCTTTTTAAAACGTAGCCCAAACCTGGCTGAAGCCAGGTCTCTTCTTTGGAATGGACTTAATTCAATGCCCTTGCCAGGTGCTCCATGTCAGCTAGAGGCTACTTAAGGGAGGTCCTCACCCCTGTTGATAATTTTTTTAGGCTTAGTTTTATCTAGGGGAGGGCCTCACTCAGGCATTCATATCTGGCTGAGCCGATTTGCTTTACTTGCTAGACAACGAGCATTCAGTGGAACTGTCATTGTACACAGAAATGTTGGACAGGTTTGCCTATGAAAATGTAAATTATAGGTTTCTCTTTTCCTGCTTGGGTATTGCTCCATAGTCTTGGAAGTGTACAGCGCACGTCACACATGATTACCGCGTGCCAATCTGGACCTGTCCTTACGGAGGTTGTATGGTCAGATACATTTTAAATCCACGGGTGGTAGAACTGTAAGATCTGTTGGATGGGTCTGAGCAGTGGTCAAGGGTGCTTGCTGACAGCACTTGCCCCAACAGTCTGTTAAGGCTATAAAGGGGATCTTTGTCTTTACAGTGGAAAAGGTGTCGATCTCGAGTACAGACATTGTTCAAGCTGCCCAAGTCAGGCTATTGCTTTAGGGTTATAGAATATTAAGGGACTGCATTTGCAGTGGTGTACAATCACAAATCAAAAAACTCAACTTCCCACGTTCATCGTTAACACTGCCTTACAACATAAATATACGTAAGGAATATTTAATGGGTTCCTAGGATGATATGCTAAACTTTTGGGCAGCGGCCTTCAGTGTACTTTATACTCTTATGTTTTATAGTAAGGCAGCGTTAATGACCGATGTATTCAACTTTTTCGGTTTGTGCTTTGAGTATAGTTTGGCTTCATAGGTAACTTTAATAAAAAGCATGCTGACTGTGCTACATATTTTGGTTTTTTGTTTCATCATTTTTATACTGCTCGATTAGTGAGGTACTGTATTTTAAAGTAATATGTACAACAGATGTAGAAATCCCATTTTTGCTAAAAGTTACATCTGTATTACAAAACCATGTTTTAGGTGACTGTTAGACCTTAATTGTATTTTCATTTAAAAATACAAAATTCATTCGTGCTTTTGTATCCTACATAATTGGAGCCGAAATAACAATTTGACTTTTGGTTCGTGATGCACAAGTTGTCTCATGGTGGTTTCACCGAATGGTTCTGTGTTTCATGCAGAACATTGAAGGGATGGATTTGAATCTCATCTCAGGGTAGAATGCTGACCTGAGGTGGCATACAGATTTCCCCGTGAGGTCCGTACTCTGACCCCAGTGGTCGGCTAAGCTGAGCCTTTGTCCAAACCAAGTCTCTCTAAAAAATGAGAAATAGGTGACGGGCACAGTGGATTAGGTGGGGGGGGGGGGTGTTTGAGGACTCGCCCCCCCAACCTGCCCCACACAATCCCGAAGCAGGAGGTAATCAACTTAATATTAAGAATACAAATGTGCTGTTCTTAATGTGTCCTTTTTACTCTTTAAAACAAACCCTATAGTAATTAAATATAAATTACTGTAGATTACCTGCGTTAATCAGATGCTATGTCCCACCACCTCGGCCGAGGGGGGAAAATCCTGACATGTGAAGGATAAAGGTTCGTATAACAGTTTAGGTGTTTTTAAACATCTAAACATTTTTGTACTTTACTCAATACCCAGTGGATATTGTGGAAGTCGTTTTTATCTTTTACAGAAAGGTGTGCACTTAAAGCCAGGGATTTGCATCTGTATCCTTCACACGTCCCTAAAGAGCTCAAAGCTGTCAATTTTCCCCCCTCAAGCCTAAGCACTTAAAAAAAACGGTGGATCTTAAGAAAATGCGCCATGGCTATAATCGCACAGCCGCCAGCAACATCACTAATTGTGAATGATAATATTACAGTTGCCCTTAATTTTACTCTAACTCGATGAGCCAAAGTGTAATTGGTACCACCTGCATTTCTTGATGGCCATTTAAACGTTTATTTTGATAACCCACACATTTTTAAAAGGGTTTTCACTTCACTGTTATTGGCCATGATAATAAAATTTGTACGAAAATGTTTGACTGGTTGTACCAAGTGAGGTCTTGTCTTGGCACAGACTTAGGTTTGCTGTTATTTCATCACCATTTTTTAAATAACATTGTCATATCCTACGTGTTAGTGGTACAGTTTGGTATGGCTTGTCAAGTGTTACTAGAATTTATAATTATATATATTTTTAAATTTTTGGTTTAAAGAGTGAGAGATGCTCTTTTGGGGTGGCTCACACCCTTGCCAAAAGGGCCTTTATATTTAAATTTTTATTTTTGATTTACAAACGGCGCTGAAAAGCATTACCCTGCCTGGTGTAAACTCGCTCTTTGTAAACCTCTCCTGACTTCCTGCGTCGCTGGAAGTGTTTTTGTTTTTCATAAGACCGCAACCTACCAGCGAGGGCTACAAGAGAAGTGAAAGTGTGCTGTCTGGAGGCTGTGGCCTCTGCCGACATGTGCTAAGGGCCAGAGGCTGTATTTCGGCATGATGCATATAACTTAATTTCACTGCACATTTCCCAGATTGTAATGACGTCATTGTCCTGTTGTATTTTGTGATACGCAAGTGTAATAGTGATTTAAATAAAAGATACACTATGTTGTAATTGCCATTCTTTTGTCTGATTGATTTTTCTAAGTATATTTTAGTTTTTTTTGCGAAACGTTTCTTCTTCTTTGGTTCTTTCGGTAAAGTCACGTAGAATGAGAATAAAATAATAAATTGATAAAATAAAATAATAATATTCTCACGATGTTTCGGCCACAAGACCAGCGGCCTTCATCAGGTGAAGGGACGAGACTGTGGAGGACAGCGCTGGAGTGAAAAAGCCACGCTCAGATCGCGACCTTTAAGCTGTGTGAGAAGAAACAAAGCGCCTTGACAAAGGAATTGGCATATAATTTAGCATTGAAATGGCTGAGTGATTAGCTTGTGACTGGTCACAGAAATGGCTATGTTAAAGTGAAAGCATACACATCCGCAGAGGCACCCCTTGACAAAGGAATTAGCATAGAATTTAGCATTGAAATAGCTAAGTTAAAGCATACACATCCGCAGAGGCACCCCTTGACAAAGGAATTAGCATAGAATTTAGCATTGAAATAGCTGAGTGATTAGCTTGTAACTGGTCACAGAAATAGCTATGTTAAAGTCAGAGCATACACATTCACAGAGGCACCTAGTACAAATCAAACAGGAGAATTTAGCATTGAAATAACTAGGCGAATTTAGCATTGAAATAACTGAGTGATTAGCTTGTAACTGGTCACAGAAATAGCTATGTTAAAGTCAGAGCATACACATTCACAGAGGCACCTAGTACAAATCAAACAGGAGAATTTAGCATTGAAATAACTAGGCGAATTTAGCATTGAAATAACTGAGTGATTAGCTTGTGACTGGTCACAGAAATGGCTATGTTGAAGTCAAGGCCTACACATCTGAGCTATTCACAGTAACTGGGTATACACTACAATATATAACGAATACTATATAGTGAACCAATAAAAAACTAAAATATAAATTACCTCAATGTTATCAATAAACTATATATTCTCCAATCAGCTATGCTACCAACAATAAGTCGTTATATATCACAATGCTATATGACGAAAAAATGGGTGGATTCCTACCCTCAACTTTAGCAACACGGATAGCTAGGGCCCCGTTCAGACGAACGAGTTCATCCATGGTCGGAACAGAGGAGGGGGAGAGAGACAGCTGCGAGGCGCTGTTATACTCCATGTTGTAAACCATACCATTAACCGTGGTGTGAGAGGTATTAAGAGTCAATGCCAGCGAAAGAGCTGCGGTCTGAAGATCATCGTAAAATACAATTAATTAAGAACGGAAATGGTTTAAAACATATTTCCAATGGTTACTAAGCCGAATCCATCTTCTCGGTTGAACTTGTCTCTGCTTGTATATGTGAATGGCCTCATGAACGAATCTCTCATGGTAGCCGGTTGGTTTGCAAAGAACCTCCGTCTTGGAGAAGTCAATGTCATGTGAGCCCACTGAATTATAACAGTGATCTGCCACGGCAGAGGAGTTCGCTCTACCGTGTTTCAAGTCTGCTTTATGTTCGCGGATGCGGTCTGAGATATGTCGTTTGGTTTCTCCAATGTAGCTACTACCACAGAGGCACTTTAGTTTGTAAACGCCCGGGTACTGTATGTCTGGAACAGCATTTTTTACAGATGGAACTAGATCACGGATTTTATGTACTGTGTTGAATCGGACCTGGATCTTGTGTTTATTCAGGATTTTGGAGATCTTTTTAGTGACCCCTGCAATGTAGGGTAAAGTGATGGTTTTGAGTGGCTCCACAAGAGGATCCTTCTTCATGACTGGAGTGATGGCTTTGCGGATTGTGTAGTCGGAGTAACCATTAGCCCTGAGAGCCTGGTGTACGTGCTTGAGTTCACTGGTAGTGTGTTCCTGGTCGGAAATGCATTGGGCTCTATGGTATAGAGTCTTGATGAGGGAGTTCTTCTGGGATGGATGGTGGTGGGAATCCGGTTTCAAGTAAGCATCTGTATGGGTAGCTTTCCTGTAGACAGAGTGGCTCATTGAACCATCATGTCTCCTTTTAATTAAGACATCCAAAAAGGGTAGTTTGCCATCTTTTCGACCTCCATGGTAAATCTGATGGCTGGGTGTATGGAAATGATGTGGTCGCGGAATTGGTCTAGAGCAGGCTAGCCATGTGGCCAGATGACAAAGGTGTCATCCACGTACCTCTTCCATAAGGTCGGGCGTAGAGTGGCAGTCTGGATGGCGTCAGTTTCAAAATTTGCCATGAATACGTTGGCTACAACCGGAGATAGGGGGGAGCCCCTTGGGGTGCCCTCAGTTTGTAGAAAGTTCCATTCCAGGTGAAGTATGTGTTGGTTAAGCAATGTCTCACCAGGGGGGGTACATCAGTGTGCAGTCCTTGATGAACCAGGTCTTCAATGATAGCGATGGTGTCAGGTACCGGGACTTTGGTGAACAAGGACACCGCATCAAAACTGACAAACAGGTCGTCTGGGGACAGGGAAATGCCTTTGATTGTCGATACCAGGTGAGTAGAATTTAGTACCGCAGATGTGTTTTTTCCAGTGAAAGGTCGCAGTATATGAGCAAGAAAACGTGCCAGTTTATAGGTGGGGGACGGACGGACACAATAATCCCCTGTGGGCTGGTGTAACCAGGAGGTTCCTACCAGTAATACTCATACCTATCCGTATTCGTAAATATAACGCCTGCGCCTATCCGTAGTAAAAATAGAACTCCATACTTATCGGTTATAGTAAATCTAACGTATCTATCCGTAGTAGTAAATATAACCCAATATACCAATCAGTGAGAGCAAATCGAACCTTTATACCTATCAGTATTAGTAAATATAACCCTATATACCAATCAGTGAGAGCAAATCAAACCTTTATACCTATCCGTGCTAGTAAAATAATCCCTTCGTCTTCATATTCTTTGGGCCTTTAGGTAAAGTCACGTCGATAGGTTCAAAGAAAATAACAAAAAAAACTACGACGTTTCGATGACAACACAAGCGATCGTCATCAGGAGGAAAAATAAAACCGTTGAAAAAAAAGTGGTGGGGAAAGCCGCTCAGGCAGACAGTTTTAAAGGTCGATTTAAAAAAAATAATAAAATTCTCACGACGTTTCGGCCACAACACAAGTGGCCTTCATCAGGTGAAGGGACGAGACTGTCTGGAGAGAGGATTTTATTGTCGTGAGAATTTTATTGTGTTATTTTATTTCATTAATTTATTATTTTATTCTCATTCTACGTGACTTTACCGAAAGAACCAAAGAAGATGTTTTCAAGGTTTAAAGTGGGTGTAGCCCAAGGGTCATAAACGAAGTGGGCGGGGCTTGTGATGTTAACGTCATAAATTAGCATGTTGATGACAGATCATAGCGGCCTCCACGAGGGCACGGAGGTGGCCATGGGGCCGTCCATAAATGACGTCATGCGATTTTGGACGATTTTTGACCCCTCCCCCCCCCCCTCGTTACACGGCGTCACAACAAGTCAGACCCCCCCCACCCCTCAAATATGACGTCACAAAGCTCTGCCCCCCTCCTCCCCAAAACCATATTTCCATTTTGAAAATAAAACATGCTTCAAATCGCTTTAAACTATTGGCATTGTAGTGCGTATTTTAATGTGGCGCTGCACTCTTATGTTATAGGAGTGTTGTTATAACAATTAGTGTTGTTATAACAATTCTATATGTATTTAAAGTTGTGCATTGTGATGTGACGTCACATTTCTCAACCCCCCCCCCCCCTCGTCACACATCGTCACAAATGTCTGACCCCCCCCCCCCGCCCAGGTGCGTCACGTCATTTATGGACGGCCCCTATGTTAATGTGAGAGATGAGCATGTTAATAAGAGATCGCAGAGCAGCAACGTCAAGCTTGGCGAGCGAGGTGGGCTGTGTTAGTGTGGGAAGTTTAACCTGTTGATGTAAAACCAGAGAGCCGAACTTAACAACTAACGTCGGAAGGTGGTATGATGGGAACATCACAGCCAGTTATGACTTTAACTGCTTGCTAACGTCCTTCCAATGATTGATCAGTTTATACCCATCTTCTCGACTGAAGCTGTGTCTGTATATGTGGATGGCTTAATGAACGGATCTTTTGTTGATAGCCAGTAGGCTTGCAAAGTACCTTAGTCTTAGAGAAATCAATTTCGTGAGCCCACAGCGTTAAAACAATGACCAGCCACGGCCGAGGTATTGGTCCTACTGTGTTTCAGATCTGCCTTATGTTCACGAACGCGGGCCGAGACATGTCGCTTAGTTTCCCCAATGTAACTGCTGCCGCAGACGCAGCTTAGTTTGTAGACACCGGGGTATTGCATGTCAGGGATCACATCATTCACAGATGGGATCAGATCACGAATTTTATGTATTTTGATTTAAAGCTTTCGTGACTGCAGTAATTCATATTCTTAGCTCTTTCGGTAAAGTCACGTTGAAGGGAAACAATAAAATAATAAAATATAAAAAAAATAAAAAAAATTCTCACGACTTTTCGAACATAACACAAACGGTCATCATCAGGTGTGAAAACCAACAGCAAGAAACATTTGAAAGAAGTGGCGGTTTGCATTTATTTATTTTTAAACGGTGTTTGTGTTTATTTATTTATTTTAAAAAAAACGTTAGCACCACGGGCAGCGATTTGACAGTTTGTTTAGAAGGACGAGTCCATCTATGTTCTGAGAAGAGGAGGGGGAAGACGGAAAATGAATGTATGCTGTCTGAAAGCCACCGTAAGCGTGAACAATCAATTAAGACCTGAAATGGTTTATCAAATCCTTCCAATGATTGCTAAGCCAGAATCCATCTTCTCGGTTGAAATTGTCTCTGTGCTTGTATATGTGGATAGCCTCATAAATAAATAAATATATGCAAACACCGTTTAAAAATAAATGCAAACCGCCACTTCTTTCAAATGTTTCTTGCCGTTGGTTTTCACACCTGATGATGACCATTTGTGTTATGGTCGAAACGTTGTGAGAATTTTTTATTGTTTTATATATATTTTATTATTTTATTGTTTCCCTTCAACGTGACTTTACCGAAATAGCTAAGAATATGAATTTTATGTACTGTGTTAAATCGAACCTGGATCTTGTGTTTGCTCATGATTTTTTAGATCTTTTGGTGACCCCTGCTATGTATGGCAAGGTGATGGTTTTGATTTGGTCCTCAGATGGTTCTTTCCTAACGGTTGGGGGGTGATGCCTTTACGGATTGTGTAGTCTGAATATCCATTCATCTTGAGGGCTTGGTGTATGTGCTCCAGTTCACTGGCTAGGTAGTAATGGTCGGAAATACATCGAGCTCTATAGTGTAGAGTTTTGATGAGGGAATTCTTCTGGGAGGATGGTGGTGGGAATCAGGTATTAGATATGCATCTGTATGGGTGGATTTCCTGTAGTGTAGACAGAGTGTCTCAATGAGCCATCTGGTCTCCTTTCGATTAACACATCCAAGAATGGTAACTTGCCATCCTTTTCTACCTCCATGGTGAATTTAATGGCTGGGCGTATGGAATTGATGTGATTGAAGAATTGGTTCAGAGCTGGTCGGCCATGTGGCCAGATGACGAACGTGTCATCTACGTACCTCTTCCACAAGGACGGACGTAGAGTGGATGCCCTGGATGGCATCTGTCTCAAAATTTTCCATGAAAACATTGGCTACAACTGGAGATAAGGGAGAACCCATTGGGGTACCTTCATCTTGTTTTGTAGAAAGTTCCATTCCAGGTGAAGTGTTGATGGGGCAGTGTCTCACCAGGGCCGATACATCAGCATTCAGTCCTTGTTGGACCAAATCTTCAATGATTGCAATGGTGTCAGGCACAGGAACTTTGGTAAACAAAGAGACCACATCTAAACTAACGAGCAAATCACCTTGAGATAGTGAGATGTCCTTAATTAGCGATACCAAAGTTAGCGATACCAAAGTGAGTACAGCAGAGGCGATCTTACCAGTGAATGGTTTTCAGGTCTCAGACAGAAATCGGGCTAGTTTGTAGGTGGGTGACTCAATGGTGGAGACAATAGGACGAAGGGGTGTACCCTCTTTATGGATTTTTTGTAAGCCATACAATCTGGGTGGTCTACGAGCAGAGGATTTTAAGGAAAACCGCTCGGTTGGTTTGATTAAAGATGTCGAATCGGTGATGATATTGTTGGTTTTCGTAACGAGGCTGTTGGTGGGATCTCTTTTAATGTTTGTATAGCTACCATCGTTAAGTAGGTCCTGAATTGTGTTACTGTATGTGCTTTTGTCCATGATGACTGTGGCATGGCCCCTATAGTCTGAGAGGATGACGATATCATCTCTCTGTTTTTTTTATTAATTGGGAAAGCTTCGTCCTTATGCGGAACAGCAAATACAATCTAATTTCCCAATCCGCGATATGAAATATAACTCGGCATGCCTAAGCGCGCTGGGAAATGTAACGACATCCGGCCGCCGTCATGTCGGACGTGGAAGACGACTTTATGTGTGACGATGAGGAAGATTACGACCTGGTGAGTGGCACGGGAGCTGGGACGAAAACGACAAGACGCGTCCGACTAACTAGTTAACCGAACCAACTAACTATCTGAAGGGTTTGCACTTTTTTTTTTTAAAAAGCGATCGAATTAGAACGATTAAATCTCATCGCGCGCTCGGGTTGGGGAGGTTCAACAGGGGCCTGGCCTAGTGCAAGTCTAGGCCACAGGCATGAAAGGTTCTCAGATTAACGCGTTAATAATAGTACAGTTATATTTTTATTTAAAGCTTTCGTGACTGCAGTGATTCATTTTCTTGGTTCTTTCGGTAAAGTCACGTTGAAGGGAAACAATAAAATATATATAAAACAGTAATAGGAGACTTTCGCGACCAACATTCATCATAAAGAGTTTTTTTTGCGGGGGGGGGGGGGGGGGGTGGGGTTATATCGCGTCAATATAAATGTGGTGTACGGTGCTTTTTGAGGAATATTTTGATGTTTTTTCTTGTGTTTTCTGTTTGCACAGTCACATAGTCACTTTAAGATGTTTTCTTGTTCATGTTTTTTGTTTGTTGCGGTTGCACCCGATTCAAGAGCCGAATGGTTCTATTGGGTAAAGTCACGTAGGTATAAAATTAAAACAACAAAAATCACGACAGCGCTGTCCGCAGGACAGGTTGGTCCCTTCACCTGATGAAGGCCGCTTGTGTTGTGGCCGAAACGTCGTGATTTTTGTAGTTTAAATTTTTTTACCTACGTGACTTTACCCAATAGAACCAAAGAGTATGGATCCTTGCAGTCACGAAAGCTTAAAATCTAGAGCCGAATGGTTCACAGGGCTGTACCAAAATAAATGGAACTGAACACCCGACACGAGCCAGTTCACAATTGGAACCTCCTTTGCCAGTAGCAAAATATGATCATTGTGGTTTTTTTTTACCCTTTTATCTGGCAACAAAACTGCGCCTTTTGGCGTCATCTGGTCCAACGCCACTGTGAGACTAGGGCACTAAGGAAAGCTGTCTCGGGTGTGGAACAATCAATTTCAAGGACAGTGCCAATACATTATCAGAGTTGTGTTTTTTTGTTTGTGGTCAATGCAAACATGATTCCTTGTAAAACAAAAAAATGTGTCAGTTTGTTGCCAAACAAAAGGGTAAAAAACACAATTATCAATTAACAAGCCAGTTAGGTTTGTTATTACTGGCGAAATGTTCGTACTCAAGATTGTAAATGTTGTGGGATTTGCTCTCCAAACACACAACCGGCGTTGCTGTACTGGTAACGAATTGGCACGTTCTGTTTACGTGACAAACCCACTTACTAATTGGCTGTGTAGGGTGGTGGCGGGTTTAACGACACATATTTACGCGATATAACCCCCCCCCCTCCCCTTAAAAAAAAAACTTATGGATGGAGGTTGTCACTTGGTTTGATGGGAGGGGGGAGCGTTTAAAATGTTGAGCTCAGTTGGCCCAATTAAATATCATTCGGGCAGTTGTTTGATCTCAATTAAAGCCGTGTTTGTGGAATTGTTTAGTTGGGTTTAGACGTTTCGAGTTTTTGGCGGTGGCAATGCTGGTTGTGCTGTTTGGCTCCCAATTCGCGAGCGATAATCAATTACTTTTTTTAATGCATTTATAAATAACAATAATAATAATACGTGTAATACCGTCATTTAATTGGGTGACAGAGAGAGAGAGCTCGACTCGCAGTGTTGTTAGTAATCTCGAAAGCTCGGCAGGTATTGAGCCTGGATAGTGCTTGGATAGTCGACTCCCATGTAATGAAGGCTGCTTGTGGCTTTACCTGATGGGACAGCATACGGCAATGCAGCAAACTCCTGTTGTACTGTATTCTTATGCTTCGGCCGTCCATAAATGACGTCACGCACCTGTGGGGGGGGGGGGGGGGTCAGACATTTGTGACTTTTTGTGACGCCGTGTGACGAGGGGGGAGGGTCAAAATCGTCCAAAATCGCGTGACGTCATTTATGGACGGCCCCTTAGCCGTACTTGAAGAGCATGGCCAAGTATGGTCAGATAACCCCCACGGCAACACACGGTGTGCGGAGGAGGCCCTCATCCAGCAGTGGATTGACATAACAGGCTGTGCCTGTGTATGATAGTGACAATGCCGATATCAAAACCTCACGAGGGTCTTGGCTTCGAGTTGTTTCCACTGTTGCATTAAATAAGTATTTTGTGTGTATGAATGTTTAACTTTTTATCTCGCACCGTACGTAGTCAACCACACTAATCGGAGGTGCAGGGGAAGAACAACGAACTAAACACAAAAAGTAGTTATAAAGACATGAGTTTTCAATGTAGATTTAAAAGTGGATAGCTCCAGTGGCTTCCTAATGTATGTGAGAGACTGAGAGGAAACCAAAGTTCCTTCCGAAACACACATTGCAACTGACCATACATCCAAACGCTGAACCCTAATGAAGAGGCTTGATACTTGGTGAGGCTTTTCTTGATGAATATGACATTCCAGTATTCGTAAACATGGGGACACTTTCGTAATGCTATATTGCGCCAAGTGTCACAGCTCTCCAGATCCCCAAGGATCATAATTTTATGTACAGATGCAAGTCATGGTAATATAATTTATATGCAATTTAACAGGTAAAGCTAAATTGAGTGTCAGGACTTGCAATGGCATGTTTGGCTAATCCCACACCATGCTTGGTCAGAGACTGATGCGGTGTTGCAAATTCCTTGAAGTTGAAGGTTGTCAGAACTAACCTCAAGAGATCACTAAATGCCACTATATAGACCTAAAGTTTTAAAAAAATTGCCAATCCACAATTTAACAAGTGTTAAACATAACAAGCTGATACAGAAATCCTAATCCATATCTGGAATAATGTCACTGCACAATTTACCAAGTATTAGACAGAGTAAACTTATACAGGATACTTAAACCGTATCCGGAATTTATCGTACATTTGCATAACGTCATAATCCCAGAAAGTCTCTAGATTTGTCGCTAAAACAAGATTATTTCACTAGTGATGCCCAAAAGGTTGTTGGCTCTGGTGACAAAATCGCTAAGTTGGCCACACTGTTATGATGTGTATCCCACCAGGAGTATTCGGAGGACAGCAACTCGGAACCAAACGTTGACCTAGAGAACCAGTACTACAACTCCAAGGCTCTCAAGGAGGATGATCCTCATGCGGCACTCGCCAGCTTCCAGAAGGTACTCTGCAATTTTATTTGTACGTCTAAAGTGTGACCACAGATAATGATCATTCTGCAGTCACAGGAAAATATCCGGTTCCTGGCAGTCTTGTCATTTCAGTCGGAATGTATTTTATGGTTCCAGCCTTGCTCCAATCTAGACTTCAGTTTATTGAGATCCCTTAAAAAAATCTAGAATTATTGAGGTGGCTTTGGGGAGCACTGATTTGGCACCAATGATATTCCAGTTGAATTTAGGGTTTTTTTCCGCGATTAAACCAGTTTCTCAAGTGTTGTACATTGATAGCATCAACCCAGTCATTGCAAGAATGAATTAACATTGCATTTGGTTTTAACTTCATTTTGTGTATTTCCAACTATGAGCAATTAAAAATGTTCAATTTGCCATACAGTGAACACCGCTATAGCAGTGCATGTGATAAGATGGCATTTTAAGGGATCTCAATTATAGCACAAAAGTTCCATGATAGACTAGATTCCTCTTCATCTCATAACAACGTGCTGTCGATACCACAATTGGAATATACTTGAGAAAAAGGCAAAAAAAAACTTGGGCAGTTGGTGCATGTAGTACCACGTGTACAGTCGTGGCTATGCCAGATTTCCATTTGTATAATATTCACCCTGGATCTCTTCTGCATTTCGGCAAAAATTTAGATACCCTCGTGGTGTGCCAGTCATGATGTAGTAGGGCATGTGGTATGCTCTCCTCAACATCACTTCTTAATGCTCGCCTTAAGTGTCCACTAAGAGCACGTGGTCTAGCAGTGTAAACACGTCTTTCATGGGAAATAAGTAACTTTTATTATATGTGTCTTTGTGCTTGTTTAGGTGTTGGAGCTGGAGGGAGAGAAGGGAGAGTGGGGATTCAAGGCTCTCAAACAAATGATCAAGATAAACTTCAAGCTGGTGAGTCTTGACAATCTATAAAATATACATTTTTTAGGTGGCTGGGTGGCTTGGAGATTACGGGGCTAGAGTACAGAATTACCTTCATAACAGAGTTACAGAATTATGCTAATACAAATAATTAATATCAACATAAACATTTACAAATAATTAATATCAACATAAACATTTACCTCAGCCACAGACTGGCTGAGGTGCACAGATTTAATCATTGATCATCACAGAATTATGATGTCATGCTGGACATGTTGCATAGGTGATTTTTACGGTGACCGTTTTGCATGGGGGTTGTCTTCCTGACAGGTGATTCGCTGGTGCAGTAGGAATTATGATATAATCTGTCGCAACCGCTATTACGTTGTGTGAGATAACAACTTATGATCCGTTTTTCCTTCTGCTATGTAGGATATACTACATTTTTTTAGGCTGCTGGACAAATGACTTATCTTAAGAGCATTTTCTGTACTCAAGCCCTAGCATGCTGAGCTGGGCTCAGCCCAGTCACCAATAACTAAACACAAAAAGCACCACACTAAAGTAGGTTTTGCACTTAAATTGGTCGTCACTCGACGAACATTGCTGCTGGTGGCAGGGCCGGTGGGAAGGTGCTGCCCTCTACTGTGTGGATCAGAGGTCACTTGAAGGCATCTCAGAGGTAGCTCTGAGATTTGCTTCTGTGGGCCATTCGTTAACACGAAGGGTTGCACTGCTCTGTGATAGATTGGAATGGTTATTTTTGTCTTGTAACATGATGCTGATCACACCATAGGGGATAACATTTGGTTGAAAGATGAAGCCTTTTTTTTTTAAGTATGTTTCATTTAAAAATCAACGCGTTCTCGTCGGCACGGCTACCCCCCCACCATCAGGGAAACTACGCTGAGATGATGAACAGATACAAGCAGCTGCTGACCTACATCAAGAGCGCCGTCACGCGTAACTACTCTGAGAAGTCTATTAACTCCATCTTGGACTACATCTCAACTTCCAAGCAGGTGAGAGATTCCAGGTTGTAGTGCATCACAATTGCAAATTTTCTCCACGTACAACCCTGACTGTTAATGAGCTTGATTGGTTGGTTGATCAACTTCTCGTGATTTGGCAATTTATTAGCGTGCATAGGCTCTCGGTTCGAGCACAGCGGCTGCGATGGGTAATACTGCGGGTGTATTATGTTATTTACCTTAAGATGCACACAGTCTGCTTCAAAGTGGTTGTTGAAAATCTCGTGACATTTTACGAATAGGAAGGAACCATTTTTTCTGGTTTCATTGTCAAATGTATTCAATTTCTAATTATTCAAATGACCAAATTGAAAACCACATAGCAACCTCGAGCCCCCTATTGTGACACTTGCTGATGATGCTTGTCTTTGAAACACATCACCTTCGTGATAACATTGTGATATAAGAATGGTGTGAATTCCAAATGTACTAATGATTTGATTTGCTTGATGAAGAGAAACTCATCGCCTCTGCAGATGGAGCTGCTCCAGGATTTTTATGAGACGACACTGGAGGCACTAAAGGATGCCAAGAATGACCGCCTCTGGTTCAAGACTAATACAAAGGTGACTGCAGTCACGAGGCTCCTCTCATGAATGGAACCAGCAAGCTGTCACTTCTGTTACGTCCGCGTAATTGATTCATCCTGTAACAAAATCACCAACAATGTGCCCAATCTTGGCATATCTATGAAGCTAAGCAGATGTGAGCTTGGATAGAACTTAGATTGGTGACTACCATGGACAAACAGGCTGTCACAGGCCTGCGGTGCTACCTCGTGGGTAGCGGAGTGCAGTGCAGAAAAATCCGTTGCTGTACTTTACTTCTGTGCTTCCACGCCTGTGCTGCCAACCTTTAGCAACCCCCACTGACCAGCGTGACGTTTGGTAAAATGAACCGCATGGTGTAAAGTAGGCCATCATCCAGCAATGGATTGTAACAATGGCTGTACATGTACAGCTATTAAATAGTGTACAGCTCGCTGCAGCCCTGGTACGTTGCTGATTGTTCAGCTGTGTCGTCATTTATCAGTGAAATTAAAGCCACGGCCGTCTCCCCTCTTGTCTCTCGCAGCTGGGAAAGCTGTACTTTGACCGAGAGGAGTACGGGAAGCTGCAAAAGATCCTGCGGCAGCTGCACCAGTCCTGCCAGGTACAACAACACAGCACAGCAAAGCGCACTTTTCCCCTGTGTTAATATTTACAATCCAAAACACAAATAAGATGTTATCTTACTGATGTGAACCTATACAGAATAATGATTCATCAGTGAATTTTTTTAAAGTCCGTGATACACGCATTGAATCGTACATGCAAGAATCAGTTATTTTCAAATCGCGCAAATGTATTCTTTATGCTGATGGTCAGAACCGATGAGACAAACACAGATGATAGAAATGAGACAATACAGATGGGACATAGAGGGTGGACATAGCATAGAAGGTAGTGCAGATGAGACATTATAAACTTGACAGTGTAGACGAAACACAATAGCGCACAATTGAGACGGACAACAAAGAAGATTGACTGTAAACATAGTATCAACTAGACAGTATTATCTGGAGAGCAACAATTGATTCTGGAATTGAATAATGACTCAGTAGCCTGACAAGTTATCGGGGAGATAATTTGAGACTTTCTTAGTACCAAGGATGTGTCTGGCTCTCATTTAGGATAAAAAAAAAGCCTTTAAAGTTTCGATCTGGTGCATCATTCGAGAGCCTTAAGAATTGTTGGGTCAACATCGCTCAAAATGTCAATACAGCATCAATGCAGGGGCCAGGAAGAGAACACTTTGAGGTAGGTTGGATTGCCCTGTGTGCCAAACACACACATGCAGAGCTCTGCGTTGGCCAGTAGGAGATCACAGGAGGTGCGTACGCATGGCATGTCACTTCATTGCGTTGGCCGAACATGCTTTTCTATTTAACGCTGTATATTTTTATCACAGCTTTTGTGCAGTGCTTCGATTAATTTGACCATTTTTTTTAATCAGGGTAAATCCCTAATAGCAACACAACTTGTTACCTGAAAATATTTAATATTGGATATTTTTAACGAGAGCTATTGAGACCTTCCACTAGAGACAGATGGGCAGAACTGACGCATTAATGCTGTCAACCTCAGTTGAAAAGTGAAAAAAAAAAAGGATTTGGCCGAACACGGTTGTGCAGGACAGTCTTGATGAGGCTAAGCTGAGCTGATGGTGAACGGCGGTCGATGTTTGTGTGCTTGTGTTCAGACTGACGAGGGTGAGGATGACCTCAAGAAGGGTACGCAGTTGCTGGAGATCTACGCGCTAGAGATCCAGATGTACACGGCGCAGAAGAACAACAAGAAGCTGAAGGCGTTGTACGAGCAGTCGCTGCACATCAAGTCAGCCATCCCACACCCGCTCATCATGGGCGTCATTCGCGGTGAGGGACCGCCCCCCCCTGGGCCACTCGCGGCCATGGTGGCACAGTTCAGAGGTGGTCTCTGCAGGCCACATTAACGCACGGCTCCGAAGTGGGCTGTATTTCTCACGTTGCCGAGGTGACCTTTATGTCACAATAACGGAGTTTCGCGGTGGGTTCTGTGGACCACATTAGCACATATTCTTGGTTCTTTCGGTAAAGTCATGTAGAAGGGAAACAAAATAATAAAAATATAAAACAATAAAATTCTCACGACCTTTCGACTGCAACACAAGCAATCATCATCAGGTGCAAAAACCTGATGATGATTGCTTGTGTTGCAGTCGAAACGTCGTGAGAATTTTATTGTTTTATATTTGTATTTTATTGTTTCCCTTCTATGTGACTTTACTGAAAGAACCAAGAATATGAATCCCTGCAGACACGAAAGCTTTAAATCACATTAGCACAGTTCAGAATATCATTAAGAGCCACGTTAACATAGTTCATAAGTAGGGTTGATGTGTCACATTAAGACAATATTATCTCTTAAATAATACATCTCAGGTAAGCTCTTTAGTTATATTGTTGTCGTGGTTTTGCGCGGCAATCGTTATGTGCTGCCCCCAGGCGTTATTGGTCTGATTGGTAGTGCATTTACAAATCCATCCTGCCACTCAGGCATAGAATGATTCTCTCCTCCCTACAAGTTAATTCAAGGAGTCAATGCTAGCTTGTCTGATTTGTTGTCTTGTATGTATTGTCTGTCTCAATTTATTCCATTAACCTGAATGTAACATTTTCATATAATTTGCACGAGTTGTAAATAATCGATTCTCACACGCACGACGCAATGTATACGTCACGAGCGTAATAATTTATTTGAATCGAAGAATCGTTACATTTACTCTGAACTACCATCGTGGTGAAACAGTCACTTGTGGTATTGTAATGAAGGTGATGTTAATTATATCGCTTGTGGTGGTGGTGGTGTCTGCGCTGTGCCCGATGTTGTGTGGAGTGCAGAGTGCGGAGGGAAGATGCACCTACGTGAGGGCGAGTTTGAGAAAGCACATACGGACTTCTTTGAAGCCTTCAAGGTGCCACTTTACCCCCCCCCCCCCCATGCCACTTGGCCACCTGTCATTAAAAATTCATCTGTAGGAAAATGCACCGCACTTTGGTTTATTTTTTTTATACAGAGGCAATAGATTTGATGACAGGTCCTTGAGAGTGTGGTGTCTCACTAGAAAAAAAACAACAGCCTGTGACTGACTTCATGGCATCAAGGATGCTTTTTTTGCTTGATAGTTATTAGAGTAATTAATGTTTATCAAAGTCAACAGTTGCCTAACTGACCATGTTTTAGTGGGTTTTTTTTTTACATTACATGGCACTACACTCTTAATTATAATTGACGCAAAATATGAATGAAGGTTAAATTCTTCAAAAGTAACTCGGCATTCATGTTTGCAAATTCCACAGTCATGGTATTTCAGTGTGGGACACAGAATCTGGCCATGAAAAGAAGAACACGCATCATGAGGACTTTTACACTGTGTCAAATACAATGAAATGTGCCTACATTGCCCTTGTAATGCCATTGCCATGGAATCACCCATGTTTATTTTTCCACGAGTGCTTTCAGTTCCTCAACCTGCAACACTTGTTCCTTTTTCACAACCCCCCAGAACTACGACGAGTCTGGCAGCCCCCGTCGAACCACCTGCCTGAAGTACCTGGTGCTCGCCAACATGCTCATGAAGTCTGGCATAAACCCCTTCGACTCGCAAGAGGTAAGCCCTCTCGTGCTTGCGGCAGTTGCACGTGCACCTCCGCGTTTACATGTGAACTACAGAGACCACGGGCCGCGAGTGTTCACACGTGTTAATCTCGTCTCGCAGGCAAAGCCGTACAAGAATGACCCCGAGATTCTGGCCATGACCAACCTTGTGAGGTGAGTGGAAAGAGGTGGGGACCGGTCCTATGGCCTTGCCAAATTGTGCATCTCGTTCACAAACTCGAGTGCATTTTACCTATAGATGCCAGTTGGGGAAAACTAAAAATCGATTAAGTTAAGCAATGATGAGAAATTACCCTCATTTGTTATTGGACAGAATACTAATTTAATTATATATAGAACCATCACCTGATAATGAAGCCTCGTCTCTAACATAAACAAATTATAGAGTCCTTATCCCATCTAATACAGAACCGTTGTTTCACCCTACAGGACCTGCATACGATACAGAACCTTTGTCTCATTACAAAACCCTCGCCTCATCTGATTGCAAGCACATTTCTCATCCCGTACAGAAAGTTGTGATGGTTAAGTTAACGCTTGGCCCATTCTGCTGCTTAATTATCGTCAGTTGTAACCCTGACGCGACGTGATAAAACGCCGAGAGTGAAGCAGGCGTGACACATTATCCCTGCGGAGTTGTGGCGGTGGGTGGCGCAACACTGAGAGCAATGTTGTGTGGGATGCGCCATCTCTTCCTCAGTGCGTACCAAAACAACGACATCAACGAGTTTGAGAAGATCCTCAAAACCAACCGTAGCAACATCATGGACGACCCCTTCATACGCGAGCACATTGAGGGTACGGGATGAACCTGGGGCGGCGTAAAGTGCTGGACTTGGAAGTGCCATGCATGCATCCTGTAAACATTGTTTCTTGACCAGACTCGACCTTTGTATTCTACTGAATAGATTTCAACCAGATATAACAAGTCACTGGATTGATGACACCCATGCAATAGACTTGATTTACGTGCGTCAGTTGACTACAACAATGTACAAGACTAGATTAACAATACAGTAAAACCTTGGATTGCGAGCATAATTCGTTCCGGAAACATGTTTGTAATCCAAAGCACTCGAATATCAAAGCGAATTTCCCCATAAGAAATAATGGAAACTCAGATGATTCGTTCCACAACCCAAACATATTCATGTAAAAATGATTAATACAAAATACCTTTTTATATTTTTATAATTTAAATTTAATATAAAGTAATCAAATTTATTAATTAAATTTAATCGTGGCTGGTGTGACGGAGACGACAGTGGAGAGGAGGAGAGGAGGGCTATTGTGTAGGACGACTTGCACTGTCACTAACGGAATCACAGCTATCTGTTGGCTCACTGGAATATTTTTCCTTTTGTGCGACTTTAACAAGGAATCTATTCAATGACACTTGCTTTTGCCTCCTTTTGAGGATTTCGCGGAAATGTGACATTGCATTGTCGTTCAACAGATTAATCGCTCGCACTGCTACAACCTTATTCGGGTGATGCTTTTCTAAAGAACAGTCAGTACACTTGGACACAAAAAAAAAAAAATGCTTTACGCACACACACGTGGTCACAACACTATAGTACTGTAGTAAACAGTATACGCTCGCACGGATGTTGACTATACGAGTGAGGCACGCCGACTGAGACCGAGCATGGAAGACGATTACCCACAATCCCGCAGCGAGAGAGAGAGAAGAACCATCGGCTCAGTTGTGATCACGTGACGCTCGGCAGACAAAGCGTATACGTACTACTCGTATTGCAAGACCTTGCTCGTTTATCAAGTTAAATTGTATTTAAAAAATTTGCTCGTCTTGCAAAATACTCGCAGACCAAGTTACTCGCAATCCAAGGTTTTACTGTACTCTGGACTGGATGAGACTGTACATACACTGGATGAGGCTACTATAAAGCACTGAATTTGGACCAAAGCAATTCACTAGGTTGGACTCTCACAATGTTCAACATCTTTGGCCATTGTTAACTGAACCTGGCTGGCCCTATCCTAGCTCCTTTCAGCTTACAACATAAACAAAAACCCACCTCAATTGGAACTTTCCCATAGTTTGTAATTTAAAGCGGCACTATTTTAGGGGGGGGGGAAATCACGTAATGACAGGGCATCGGTTCAGTGGCCTGCAAAATGTTCCGCAAGCATGTGCGGTGCTGGTCGCCCCACCACTCTACCTTGTGCCTCGCCAGCCTAAGCGGATGCTACAGTTTCTACCGCTGAAGTGCACATAACTGGGACGTATCTATGGCAAGAATAATATCTCAGTGCCAGACGAGGGAAGAACTACATGTAAATCCATTGTAATTGAGCGGCGCATTATTACGCATGTGACAAAAACCAGGAGTTGGTGGCAGCCCTCGTGGCCAACTGCTAAGCGTTACCCTCTCTGTACATTCTCAGTGGGGCTCACGTGTGGATGTGCTTTCGTTTTCGTCACACAGAGCTGCTGAGGAACATCCGCACGCAGGTGCTCATTAAGCTCATCATGCCGTACACGCGCATCCATATCCCCTTCATATCCAAGGTAAGCAAGCGACTGATCATAAAGCAGGGGTAGGGAACCTATGGTTCGTGACTTTATTTCATGTGGTTCGCATGCAAGCGATATTTGAAAAACCAACCTAGCAACACTGTTTACATTTAGAAACACTTGAGCACTAATTGGATTCATACTACTCGTGGATAATGTTGAAGTGTGCATGATTGTGTTGCCAGTCAAATGTATTTGAAAATCCTGTTTGGTCTTCAGTAATGCAGTAAGGAAATTATTCCCCACTCGTGTCTTAAAGCCTAGTCTAAATGCTTACTTTATGTAGGTTATCGGTTAAATAAAGGTCACCTGCAGACATTTTTTAAAGAAAAAATATTTTTTGACATATCAAGTAATATCTGAATCAGTTTTGGGCCACCCCCTTCACCAACCTGCTCTGATCAGAGTAGTAACGTATGCTCAAACAAACCCCAATAACCAACACGGTGTGGAAGGCCTTCATTGACCAGTGGTTTGAAAAAGGGCTGTAAATGATAAATTATCATTATTTACTGTACTTAAAAAAATCACATCTTCTGTAGCATTAATAGTGGGAGGATGTAATTCAACAACGGAACCCATGAAAGCTGATGGCTTGGTTAAGAACACATCATGAGTGATAGATTCCGATGTTGTCTCTCCACTTGGACTTGCAGGAACTGAATATTGACGTGAGTGACGTGGAGAGCCTCCTGGTGCAGTGCATCCTTGACAAGTGAGTGTTGCTTTCTCACCCATGTAGCTCTATCCCTGACTGCCGTCATCCAAATATCTCCAAAGGCTAGCTCCTAGAGCTAGTCAAAACCTCCTGCTGCTGGGAGCCATCAGGACCTCGTGTGAATTGGAGGCACGCAACTTGTACAGCATCTTGACATGTAGCGACATTAAGACACTTAATTCTAATTCTACACGCCGAGCGCGTGTGTGCGAATGCGCGCGAGATGTTGATGGTTTATGTGTGTTTGCGTATCTACACCCATATGTGCCCGACTGCGTTGCGCCTCTTCCGCCCTCAGCACCATCAATGGCCGGATTGATCAGGTGAACCAGCTGCTGGAGCTTGACCACCAGAAGCGCGGCGGCGCTCGCTACGCTGCGCTGGACAAGTGGACCAACCAGCTCAGCTCGCTGCACCAGGCTATTGCCAGCAAGTTGGCATGACTGCTTGCCCACCCGCTTGCCCATATGTCCACTGGGCCTATTTCACCTGCAAGTTGGTCCTGAGATTCATGGCCCCTGCCTGGAGCGACGAGTTGCATCGCTTTCCTCGCCCAGCCTCGTCGCAATGCCTTGTTTTCATGTCCCGTGCCTGACGCATGAACTTGGAAAGACATAAAAAGAGAATGGGTGCCACCGTTGGGGCTCCTGTCACTCTCCTTGCCCACAGTTTTGTCTTTCACATCCACCAATTGGCTCTGGGACAAATTGATGCGCGCTTGTGGAGTTGCTGATGATGTGAGATGCCGTGATGGGCTGGCTGGATGTCTTTTGATTGGTAGATGTGGAAAGCCGAGCCGTGGGTACACCTTGGTGTCAATATTGATACAGAGAAAAGGCTCACATGCTGGGTGACACTGAGTACTTGCCAACTTCTGAGAGACAGGGTATGGCCATGCGTTGCAAATTACTGAAGACACAACATCCCTTTAAACTCCAGTGTCTCTAACAATGCTTCTACCCTGGTTGCATGAATAATTTGGCACGTCAAAGTAAAGGTGGCAAATATAATTATTTTAATGATTTTCAGCAGTATTGAGGGATTTGTGTCCAAGCCACATAATTGCTTTAATTCGTTTCCACGCAGATCATCGCATTATTGTGCGGGAATTCATGGCGATACACCTATGGTATGAAAGGTATAACGTGTAGGTATCCACATATGTAACACAACATTTAGCAACGTACGGCAGTAATTTATAATGACCATTGACTTGTAAACTGTGAGTAGAGTGGTGGCATTGTATCAAACGCCGTGTTGGAATTACCAAATGTATATGGGGGCTCATGTCAGGATTCTAGAGCATTTGTTTGGGCATGCATACCCATCTTACCGCTGTTGTAGATAAAAGTGTTTTGTAAAGTTTGCGGTCGCCTTGTTTATGTTTTCACAAGTTGGATGGTGGGGTCGGCGTGTTAGTGGTTTGGTTCTTGACAACACATTTCGTCACGTTTGATAAGGGTTCCCACCTGTCCCGGTGTACCCAGGATATCTTTTTTTGAGATGGCTATCCATTCTTGGCTTTTGTCAGTTGGCTAATAATACTCAAAGCAATGCATATGTAGTTCTTTCCTCTGAGTATTGTAATATATATTGTTCAAATGGCACATCCCAATTTGTTTTTCTATACCTCAAGAGGTGGTAACCCAATATCAGCGTGCAAGATCTGGTGAGCACGTGACGGCCGCCTTAACACCGTGTCCTGATTGGTGGAAAACTACAGAGGAGGTCCATGTGAGAGTAAAGGCCTGGTAAGGGATTGGCTGCAGGCTGCTGTGTTTGCAGCGGAGTCTACGGTCGATGTTGTACTTCCCTTGGATATTTGTTACTTAATGCCAGGCGGGAGCCCACTGAGGTGCAGATATTTTACTGTGGGGGGAGTCCTAGCAAAGATTATTTAATTGAGGCGGAAACCATAGCCCTGACCTGAATGCAGACTTTGTTACCCAATAAATCACATTTGTTAACGAGCAGGATTCTGTTGGCTCACATTTTTGTATTATCGATTATTAAGTTCAAGGATACACGCATATAATATTTCATCTCCTGGCCACCTAACCACCCACGGTAGCGAGATGTTAACGACCTCGCCGTGATGCAGGAGGTTGTGGATTTCATCTCATCCCTTGACGCCTGTTGTATATTTGGAGTGTATTTCTCCCCGTGTCCTCGGGTTTTTCCCCTCCACATTTAGGATCAACTTTCGCTTAAAGAGCATTTGGCTTCCAGAAATGTCCACGTGATGAGCTATCATTTGTGGACAGGCCACTTTTGAAAAGAGAGCTATATAGCCTTACATGGTAAAATAAAACAATAGTTTGTAAATTATACCATCATAATCACTTCCGAGTTCAACTCGTGAAAGGAGTAAACACGACGTCAAAATATTGTCAACCTGGCGTGCATTTTGCTCAGGGACGCTTTCCATTATAACGGTGGAGTCGAAACTTGGATGACGTCACGGGATGGTGATGACGCTTCCCCTTAGTAAGATGGCCGCTCGTCACGATGTCTTAAGACGACCACAGCGGATCTCCCTGTGCATCATGGCGGTCGCCACGGTCGCTGGTTGAGCGCGGCACCCGCGAAGGCTTGCGGAGGCGGCTTTTAATCGGCAGCAGCATCGCCGAGCCGAGCCCCAGCGACAAAGAGCCATGTCGCTGCGACTCGCCGACAAGATCAAGGTATGGGGGAGGCTGCATTTGATGCCGGGGAACGCGTTGAGGTGCGGGCCCGCAGGCTTTTTACGGCGTTGCCTGAATTCGCTGCGGAGTTTTAGCTGCTCGCGATCGGCGGACCTGGTACGGTAATGGGGGGGGGAAGAGTCGTGAGCGGGTTAAAGACGTCAAGTTGTCGCTAACCCAGGTAAGGCGTGGAGACAGGTAGGGTATTGTGGCGTTGTACGAAATGTTAGTGCGTACGTCGGATGGCTGTTTCGTAGAGCCAGAGGATAAGGATGTGCGGGAAGCGAAGCGGTGTTGTGTTGGGGGTGAAAGGGCACAGGTAGCAATGGAGGTCTTGTCCTTCGGGGTGGCGTGTGTAGCGATGGAGCGTGTTGTGGTCGTGTGTGTGAAGGTGTGGTGTGTATCAGCATGGTGTAGTAACTCAATGGGTGTGTGTGTAGCGATGGAGCGTGTTGTGGTCGTGTGTGTGAAGGTGTGGTGTTGTGTATTAGAATGGTGTAGTAACTCAATTGGGTATATGTGTGTACTGGGATAGTCAATGTGTTGGGGTGGTGTGTGTAGCGATGGAGCGTGTTGTGGTCGTGTGTGTGAAGGGGGGTGGTGTGTATCAGCATGGTGTAGTAACTCAATGGGGGGGTGTGTGTAGCGATGGAGCGTGTTGTGGTCGTGTGTGTGAAGGTGTGGTGTGTATCAGCATGGTGTAGTAACTAAATGGGGTGTGTGTGTGTACTGGGATAGTCAATGTGTTGGGGTGGCGTGTGTAGCGATGGAGCGTGTTGTGGTCGTGTGTGTGAAGGGTTGGTGTGTATTAGCATGGTGTATTCTGGGGTAGTGACTGCAATGGGGGTGTGTGTACCGGGATTGTCTATGTGTAGGGGTGGTGTGTGTTGGAGAGGGATGAAAGTTGTCTTTAGGGGTGTTCAGGTGTTGTGTGTTGAGTGAGTGAGTGTTGTGGGTGTGTGTAGGGGCGGCGTGTTTGTGGGGAGCGGTGGTAAGCGCGCTGCGCTGTGAATCCTTGGATCCGAGTTCGATTCACGCTCACGGGCCCACAACCAGTAGGTAGACTTAGCCTCAAATGACGACCTGGTGCGGCGTGTAAACATCGCCACTGGGGGAGACAAAGGCGGCCGGGCTTGGTGCTGGACTCCCACCACCTCGTGTGCCGTGCCGGCCTTCATAGATGCTCGCTAACAGCAATTTCCCCCAACAGTCTGTTGAAACTATACGGGGGATCTTTGTCTGAGTGGTGTATGGAGATGTGTGTCTGGGTCAGTCTGTAAGCCGAATATAATTCTGTATTCAGTACATATTAATGTCAAAACTATATTAACTCGGTCATCTAATTTTGACCCCCGAATAGTAATCATAACAGTAATAGCACCTTCCACAATACATTATTGCAATGTAATTTAGAACCTAAAACAGTAAAAAAATGTGTGAAACAACCATTTGAATTCACATATAAACCAAAACGTTATCTGTAAAACTGTGATTTTTAAATGCACAAAGCATAGCAATTAAGAAACTGTCAGAAGAAAGAACATCCTCATGATTTGACTTTAAAACATTGTTTTGCTCTGACTTTTAGATTGAACAGCGAGTTCCAAAATTCAGATCGAGAAACACAGCCGCTTGTGTCCCCGTGATGTCCCTAGAGGGAAAAGTGGCAATCCAATGTTTGGCGAGATCACTAGAATATATAGAACAATCGGTTCTGAAAGATACGTTTGTGCCAAGTCTTTTATCGTCGCCTTAATTGGGGCACCACGGTGGCTAGGAGATGTTAACTACCTCGCCTGGTATTCATGGGGTCGTGGGTTCGATCCCGACCCTGACGCCTGCTGCTGTACATTTGGAGTTTGCGTGTCTCTCTCCCCGTGGTCGCGTGGATTTTTCTCCGGGTCCTCTGGTTTTTACCCCCACATTTATAATCGTCCTGCGTTTGGAGTATTTGTCTTGTACATTTCCACGTGATAAGCCACTTCGTTAAGCTATCATTGGTGGCAAGGCGGCTTCTGAAAAAGCGCTATGTAGCTCAGTGGACCTTACGTGGTAAAATACATAAAAAAAATAGTTATAATTCAGAAGCAAAACTTCTCTTTAAAAACGGCTCTTGCTCCCCGTGGACTCATAGTGATTTTTAACTATAGAAACCCTCTCTCAATCCTGTTCTGAGTGAACGCCCCCTCATGTTCTGTCAGTCATGGGAGTTATTTGACCATACTTCACCATCCTGGTCAGTGGAGGTTGGGGAAAGGGGGAGGTCCAGGAATGTTGTAGGTGTCACTTGCCACTGATGATGGGAAGTGTCGGCGGGCCCTGTTTTCACTGACACGTATTGATGTTTATCATTGTCAATCATGCACAATTTACTTAAACATATGATGCTCGCAACATTGACTGTTTACTAGTTCAGATGCAGTCATCGCTTGATTATACAGGGGGATGTGGGTGTGCGAGGGGTGGCCCGAATTTTTTTTTACATTTGTATTGCAAAACATATTTAACTTATTAAGCTATACAAATGTATGTATTGCCTGCCAGTGTAGATTGGGCCCGAAGCAGAATTTGACCGTTTTTATTGTCAAAGCAATCGGTTTACTTCATGATGTGGCACTTGGGGGCACCGAGTTAGTGAGATCGACGAGTGAAGAGCAGCTAATTATTAAACCAGTGTTTACGTGAAAGGCAGGTGCAGAGGAGGGCGTTCAATCCGCGACCCAGATAATCTGCCCACGGATAACCCAGAGTTAATTACTTACAGCTCTCCATTGTGTTTTCGGGTTGTACCACGTGTTATAATAATAGGGGTTTTCCCCTTTTTTCTGGCGACAAAACTGAAACCTTTTTGCAAGGATTCATGTCTGCATTAACCACAATACCTGCAGTCAAAATGCAAACAAAAACATACTATGGTAATATATGCATTGTCCTTGAAACTGATTGGTCCACACCAAGGGACGGTGTCATCAATTGGGTCGAGGCTCAAAAGAAAGCCGTCCCTTGGTGTGAACCAATCGGTTTCAAGGACAATGCATATATATTATCATAGTATGTTTTTTGTTTGCATTTTAACTGCAGGTATTGTGGTTAATGCAGACAAATCCTTGTAAAAAGGTTTCAGTTTTGTTGCCAGAAAAAAAGGGGAAAAAACCCTATTAATATATTTTGGTACTGGCAAAAGATGATGTACCACGTGTTGTTTGGCATTAATGTCTGACGTTTTCGAACCCAGCCCTACAATAAATCATTGTTCATCCTTGCGGGAAAAAAACGAGGTTTCAACCAAAAACACTCATTCGAGAGCTGGTGCAGCACAAGCGTGAAAATCAAACGAGGTAGCTGTACTCATCATGGTTTTTGTCCTTGCACGAGATCGTGATGGTGCCTCTCAAAACAGCCTTGCCTCTGTGCCCCCAGGATAGCCGCCTCTCGGCCGATGTGGAGCCTTTCGTGCCAGCGGGGCTAGTGGTGTCGCCACCACGGCTGGGAGATGCGCACGGTGGCGCGGAGGCCGTCAGTCTCGCTGCCGGGGTGGAAAGGCCGCAGCGCAGAATGCTGCCCAGCTACCAGCCCGACTACTACCGCTACGTGCAGCACCACCCTTCTTCACCTGCCGATGGGTACGGTAGGAGAATGGAGCTTGGAGGGGTTTTTTTGGTTGGGTTGTACAACCAGACGGGTCAGATGGGGTTGCAAGTTCGAAGGCTGGGAGGGGCGTCAATTCGGCCGTTGGTCATTCCAAGGGGGGACTGACAACTGGCCCGGTGGCTCAGGAGTCAGAGTTTTGAGCTTGCACTGCTGAGATACTGGGTTAAAATCTGGGTTTCAGCCGTCCATGATTTAATTAAACTTAGCAGCAGTCTCAGCCTGATCTTCAATGGCTTCACAACATTATGCACGTTTGGTTTTCACTTGAGTTAAATTGCAGCCCTGAAAATTAAAATAGTTTGATTGACAACTGATAAACAATCTTCATAGAGCTTTGAAAGTTGTGCCCCGAGTATAAATAAAGACCCCTATTATAATGACCTATATTGTAGTTTTCTGAAATCTTCATTGGGCATTTATCATGGGACGACACTGATGACACATTAAAAAAAAATGGGTAAAAAGGCAAAACTAAGATTACCGCTTTGTGGAAAGTGACCAGCAGTTGAAATACTTTCCCCTTGCCATAAAAATGTGGAATTTCACCACTTACTGTTATGAGCACCGCTCTTTGCCCCCTTTGAGCGGTTAACCACTTGGACATTTGAGTAGAGTTGTGTGCTTCTTTGGGATTCTGCTGTGTCATTGTGCACTTAAAATATGCTGTGTCATACTTCAATGTGTATGAATCATCATTGTTATTGTTTGCGTATAGCACCCTTCACATTGCATGGGCATGTACAGCCCTGTGTCAATCTGCTGCTTGATAAGGGCCTCTGTGCCTTGTGGGTCATGGGGTAATTTGGCCATACTTCACCACACTGGTTAATGTGGCTTCGGGAAGGACCGTGGTGAACATAGATGCCTGGGTATAGAAGTACAGAAGAACAATGCATTTTGGTGCCCTGCCATCTGCCACCTACCACATTCCCACAGAAGCCTATAACAACTTTTATGTGTGCATTGTTGTCACCCATCCTGCTTAGCTTCTAGGATATGATTAGATTGGCTGTATTATGGATGCTTTAGTCATATGCATTCACATTTAACCTTTCACATATTTGTTTTGCAGCATCTTGACATACACCCAACGTAGAAGATGACCTCACTGAATAAGTTTATTTCTTGAATATTACTATTAATTTTGTTATCGTGATGTCAAATTTCCAAATGTCCAAAATATAAATGTGAATAAGCAGCCCTGCAGTCGCTTACTTGCTGACTCACGCCACTCCTGGCAGAGCTGCCTCCACTCGAGGGAGCTCGAGATGGTATTTGGTCTACTCTTCCATGCTGACCAGATGTGTTAGGAGAGGTGGCGTACCCAGACTTTACCCCACCATACGTGACCTGCCATTTATACTGCTGCGTGGATAGAGGTGGGGGAATTTAAGAAACTTGCCCTCTTGTTTGAACTGCTATGCCAGGAGATCTATTCGAATGAAAACTGCCAACCTCTGAATCGGGCGTCCAGTGCGCTAATCACTACACTAAGCGAGCTCCTCCCGAAAGACCATTGAGAGATAAATATTTAAATTAGGTACTGAACCAGACGTGCTATTTCAAAGACACATAAACACATACATTTCAATTAATGAATCGAAGCATCGTGAAATAACATTTCTCTCTATGCACGAACAATTATTTACACCTGCACCGCCCCCTCGCTGTACCCTCAGGTTGTGCGTGACGTACGATGCCGGCTATGACTGGCACCCGCCGCAGCAACCGTACTCGGACTACGGCCGATATGGCTACACCACATACGCCGTGCGCTACGATCACAAGGACCCCAGCAAGGGCGTCTACGCGGCTGCGCCGACCGCTGGGCCAGAGACGAACGCCCTGGGCTGCGGGAGCAGTGCCGTCCGAGCACCAGCGGCATTGGCCTGTCAGGCGCCGAGCATCCTGACACCCGACAAGACCGCCTTGAGGACGCCGAAGGCCGAGAGGTCACGGGGAAGAAAATCTGGCAGTCAGGGGTCGAAGGCAGAGGGCAAGGAGAGGTCTGCGGAGGGACAAGGCATTCCTGATCAGAATGGGACGATGCCAGCCTCTCTGCCCGAGGTTTGCCATAGCACACCCCAGTGAGCTTCTGTTTGTGGATCTCTTACTGCTCACCTGCAGCTTTCTTTGTCCTCTGTTGGATGAATTGCTCCTTGTTTTGCCACAATTGTTTCTGTCTCTCTGCGATTTCTGCATATCTCTCTTATTATCTAACCATTTGGAACTATAATCCAACTGTTGTTTCTTCTGAAATTAAGGACTGGTAGTGATTACGATCACATTGTCGTAGGTCAGATGAGTTGCTCGTTAAATAAACGGCAAGCGTAGCCCAGCCTCTTGCTATGACTTCGCATTCCCAGTCGATAGCTTACACGTAATCATCCCCTTGTGTCAACGACACATGTCTGTTAAATTGTACATGTCAGTATGTTTAACTTCTTTCACACCTCCGATTAACTTATTTTAATCGGAGGTGCAGGGGAAGGCCAACAAACCAAACACAAACAATGTACATCCCTTTGTCATTACCATACCGTGTGGCTCATAGAGGTTGTATTATGATACTTTACCCTGCTGGTCAGTAATGATTCATGAAGGCAGAGAGACCTTAGTAGATACAAAATCCCTTTGAATAACGAGGCTAACAAAACTTTACGTCCGCTCATGCACTGGCCCCAATGTGATCTCGTGCCCCTGTCTGCTCGTTTCTGTCCCTAGGGCTCCAGATCGACTACCGAACCCCAGGAGCCACACAAGATGTCTGGAATCAACCCCGACGTTGCACAAAATCCCAGCTCCACCCCCACAGACTCTCATGGCCAATCGGTCACCGTCCTCACCCCCCCACAAGCACCGCCCAATCGGAGATCACCCCGCGACGCAACCACCACCAACGCAGCCACCGCCAATGCCACCACTTCTCCAGAGGCCCCTGGCAGTCGGGCACCACCGACTTTGTGGAATCGCTCGGAGGGGCAGGGGGAGGTGGCGGCGCGTGGCAGTGGTGGTCCTGTAGCGGCCCGTGGTGGGAAAAGCGGCCGTGGCGGCGGCGGCGGAGGCGGTACAGGAGTTACGTGGATGCAGCAAGGGCGGACGTCGCTGGGGAGCGAGCGGGAGTGTTGGCGTGCCCCGGCTCGCGTGCTGTCCAAGGTACGACGATGATGGTGAATACGTGATGGTGAATGCGATGGTCAATACTACGGTGAATACGTGATGGTGAATGCGATGGTCAATACTACGGTGAATACGTGATGGTGAATGCGATGGTCAATACTACGGTGAATACGTGATGGTGAATGCGATGGTCAATACTACGGTGAATACGTGATGGTGAATGCGATGGTCAATACTACCGTGAATACGTGATGGTGAATGCGATGGTCAATACTACGGTGAATACGTGATGGTGAATGCGATGGTCAATACTACGGTGAATACGTGATGGTGAATGCGATGGTCAATACTACCGTGAATACGTGATGGTGAATGCGATGGTCAATACTACGGTGAATACGTGATGGTGAATGCGATGGTCAATACTACGGTGAATACGTGATGGTGAATGCGATGGTCAATACTACGGTGAATACGTGATGGTGAATGCGATGGTCAATACTACGGTGAATACGTGATGGTGAATGCGATGGTCAATACGGTGAATACGTGATGGTGAATGCGATGGTCAATACTACGGTGAATACGTGATGGTGAATGCGATGGTCAATACTACCGTGAATACGTGATGGTGAATGCGATGGTCAATACTACGGTGAATACGTGATGGTGAATGCGATGGTCAATACTACGGTGAATACGTGATGGTGAATGCGATGGTGAATGTGATGGTGAATGCGATGGTCAATACGATGGTAAATACGAAGCATGGAACTGTGCCATCTTGGCCACTTTGTGCCATTTAGCAAGTTTTGTTTAATAATGACGGTAAGGGATTTCAAACTGTACGTAATATGAAAATGTCTCGCAAACCCTGTATAATTGGGTGAACTACGTTATTATGTTCATTATGGAGGCCCATTAAACAGTGTCTGTCGCCACAAGGCATGCAACTTTTCATGGATTAGCATCAATCTTTAAACATAGGATACTAGCATCGAATCACATGTGTGAGAGTCAATTATTTCCAGTTTGCAATGTGTTGTATATAATAACAGTAATGACAATGCTCTCTATTTACCAAGGAAAGCTTCAGTGAGTCTCAATACTTTTATCAGGAGGGTCCTGCATTCGTGTGTTTGGCAATTTATTTTCACAAGTATTTGTCATTTAATTGTTTAACGTAAACCCTGCAGCCTTAGGGACACTTCGTTCACCAGTGGCAAATTGTTTCTTGAATCGACTCGTGAATTAAACTCTCAAGAATGCATCATCCCATGAGGATTGGCAGTTTGCTACAAGCCTAATGACAAATCCAGCCAAACGCTATTGAGCCATGCGGCCTAGCTCTACACGGTTTATGGGCCTGACGTGTGCGTGTCTCTCCTGGCGCGTGAAGGCCGGTGAATCCCCGGACTCCGGTATCGGCTCCACTCCCAATGGAACGCCCTCTTCCACCTCCTCGCCCTCGTCGCACCCGTCAGAACGGCGGCCCCGGAACGCCGACGAGAGGAGGAGCAGAGGCGCGCTCCCCGGAAGGGGAGACCCACGGAGGAGCGACGCCCGAGCTGAAGCTGGAGCTCACAGTTCCACCCGAGGTCCTCCGGCTCTTAGGGTGGAGCCAGAGCCCAGGGACGGAGTTCCACGTGAGAGAGACGTGCAAGACGGGGCTGATAGAGGAAGCAAAAGTTCCCGTGGAGGGGCCGGCAGAAGTCCATGTGACGGAGCTGACAGGGGGTTCCATGGCAGAGCTTATAGAGGTTCTAATGGCGGAGCTGGCAGAGGGCCTCACAGCGGAGTTAATAAAGGATCATCAGATGGCGCAAGCAAAGTGCTCCCTGATGGAGCTAGTAAGGGATCCGGTGACAGAGCTGCTAAATGGCCCCAAAGTGATGATAAAGCACTCACTGATGAGGTGAGTAAAGGGCTGCCTGTTGCAGGCTTAAGAGAGTCTCATGGTGGAGCTGCTGGGTGGCCTGGTGCCAGGACACCAACTCGAGACATTGCTGTCGCACGCTCCTCCGAGACCAGCAATGAAGGCAGTGCCCTCGCGGCGCCCGACCGCATCTCGTGGCCTGAACTCGGAGCTGCGCGAGGAGACCGGTCGTGGTCCCTGGGCAAGGACGGTGGCGCCGCAGTGAATGGACCTCGCCCTCAGCACGGAGCTCTGCCTGGGGACCGGACGCTGCCCACCCCTCCCACCCCGAGTGAGACAGCGGGGCGGGGTGGGGGGGGGGGGGGCTTGATTTAAAAAAATAAAATGCTCGGTGAGATATTTGGGTTTAGCACGTAGGTCATCGCAGCGACTCGCAATACAAGTGTGATCTAGATGGTTAGGTTGCAGGTTGAGCAAGTCTTCTCTAAAGCTTTCACCACGCACATACTATTGCGGGTATCTTCGGGAATTTGCGAATGTCATCTCCTGAAGTTGCCCCCAGTAGTGCGTGGCCAATGAATGAGAGAAGAATTCTGAACATGCGGCATAACCCGGAAAACCGCACTCGGATACTTTGGTGTACATCGCAAGCGATAACAATGCTCCCCTTCAATTTAGGCTCAGTTCCTGGCTGTACACACGAACGTCATCGACGTTTGCCATGCGTGAACAAGCCTTGTTCCAACACATAGAGAAAGGCCTGAAGTGCACTTGTTAAATTACACTAAAATGTTGCTCAGTCTCTTGCACCTGATCTCATACGCTAAGCAGGATAATTATTGGGGAGTACTTTGTTTGGAGACTGCTAAAAAAAATTCAGGTGTTATCGCCTTGGTGTTGCCAAGTGGTAGGGAGATCACTGCACAGCATTGTATTTATTTATTCTATCACTGCGGCACTTTTGAGTGTTTTCTCCATTTATCTGTGTATAATGGAATCGGCCAAATATCCAAAGGAAGATTCCCTTAGAAAAATATCCCTGAGACTCGCCGGGCAAATTAAGAGCGTTCATTTCATGTTACTTGCCCATGCAGTCAACATTTGTCAAGATTTGAATCCGACCCAAAAAAGCGTGCGTAGTATAGAACGCTGGATTGATGGTAGCTGGTTGCTCCCACTGGCCTCTGTGTACGCTGCACACACTCCCCCCTCGCTCTTCTTCTCTCATCTCTCTGCATCACGCCCCCCCCCTCCGCCTCCTCCAGCCGTGATGACGTGGGCGAAGGTGGCATCGCGGCCACCCCCGCTTCCAGCGCCCCGTGGGCCCCCTGTTTCACAGGCGGCATGGACGTCGACATCCACCAGCGGTCGTGGGCAGCAGGTGAGCGGCAGTTTGGGACCCGGATCACTGAGTAGAGGTGGTACATGTACATTTGGTGTGGCTTATTAGTAGGCTTGTAATGGTTTGATCTACTTCCTGTGTACGGTTGGATGAATTGTAAACCTATTGGTTTATGTCCAGATTAGTTAACCAGGATGTGCGGTGAATTGTACGTATGTATGTTGTACTTCTTTCGCACCAAACGTAGCCAACCGTGCAAATCGGAGGTGCGGGGGAAGGGCAACAAACAAATTTTATTTAGAGGCATAGCGCCGTTGTTTTTAAAAAACATCGTACTCACCGCAGAGAACCGTAGCGACACGACCGCACTCTATGATAGTTGGCGCCAAACTGTGCCACACACCGATAAAGTTTTTATTTTTTCTCACTGTGTTGTTTTGACGTGCATGTACGTCATCGGAACGGGTAAAGGGTTAATTTGCGTGCTCTTTTAAAAGGCGGCTAATTCTTCTCCGCCGGCGTGTGGCTCCTGCCAGGCCGAGAGCTCGGATGAAGATGATGGTGGTGGCAGCAGCAAAAAGAAGACGCAGAGGAAGAAGAAAAAAAGCAAGAAGAAGGCACCCAAGACCACCGTGGCCGAGACCCCGCATGTCGAGCCGCTCAGATTTCAGGTGACGGCACAGTCGGGAGAGCAGTCAAGCCACGGGCTCACAACGGCCTCGACGGCACGGAGAGCACTCGGAGGTTTAGCGTTTGTGATCGGGCAGACAGCAGCGTGTACGAGTGTTAACATTCCCTTTGTAACAACAACAACAATAATATTGATGTATATTTAACTTTTTTCGCACAATACTTAGCCAACCGTGCTAATCAGAGGTGCGGGGGAAGGGCAACAAACTAAACACAAAAAGCAGTTCTAAAGAAATGAGTTTTCATTCTAGATTTAAAAGTGCATAGCTCCAGTGGCTTCCTAATATCGGATGGAAGAGCGTTCCAGACGGCCGTAGAAGCACATCTGATGGTTCTTTACAGACCCGTTATTTTCTATGTGCAGAGACAGATAAGTGAAGGAGACATTGTCTGCTTAGCTATTTATATAGTAAGTTATCGTGTTGGTCAAACCCCACTGGTGCTCCGCTGGCGGCCTCAGTTGTGCCATTGTTGGGCTCATCGTTGGTGCTGGGTCCTGGTTGATTGGTACCGGGCTGTACCTTGGGGTTGTTTTGTCTTCTCAAACTTCCCAATGTAGGAGACTCCTTAATAAGTCTTGAGAACCCATGGGGCTTTCCTGGATAAATGAGCATCATTATAACATTTTCCCACAGGTCACCCTTGCATTGGGGACGTGGTATGTTCCTATCATGTCCCCCGATTAGCACGGTTGGCTACGTACGATGTGAAAGAAGTCCCGCATACACATGCCAAAAAATTGTCAGCTAATTAATTTTAAGGTGTTGTCATTCGCTGCTAATAAGAATTTAGATTCATAAGGCACCCTTAAACAATGGATCTTAAAGCGCCACGAATGTAAAGACGGAAATAATTGAGAAGTAACTGTGCAGAGAGAAATGAAATAGAGATCTAGAGAGATAGAGAGAGTAGGCCTTGTTAAACAGGTGTTGGTCTTCAGCCGGGACTTAAGTCTCCATTGGCCGCGAGCTCCTCACCTCGAGGGGGCAGGGAATCCCAGAGCCTGGGCTCCGTGCACACAAAAAGCCTGGCGGTCACCGAAGGTTCAAATCCTTGGAGCGCACGTTCATCCTGAGTAGGGCACGATCGGTGGATCTTGGAGATCCCGGTGTTGGAGTGGAGTGGTTTGTGTGGCTGAATCAAACTCCTGGATGTGCGGTGGAGCAAAGGGGCATTGAAAACCTTCAATGTGGGTTTGAACTGGAAGCCGATACAGAGCGCAGGTGAGATGTGGTCTCGAAGAGGAGTGCGTGTGAGCATACTGACGGCCACATATTTGGCGGACTGCAGTCTTACCAAGTAGGTTACTCGAGACTCCGAATAGCAGGGCATTACAAGAGGCATTTCGCACCTACGATTAGCACGGCAGTTCAATATAGATTGAACAACACAGTACAGTCAAGACGTGAACTAAATGAGCGCATGACGCTTCGACTGAGGCTTTAAAAACCAACAAACAATGCTTTCACTCCCCACGCCCTCCTGTCCCCTGTCCCTAACAACTGCGCTCACCCACACCATCACCCCTTCTTGGGATCAGGACGATGAGGAGTTCCCTGGGCTCTCGGCCTCGTTGGGACCTCGTCGCCTCCCGATGGCCCGACCAGGGTTCTCGGGAGCGGGTACCGCTCCGCAGCCTCAAACCTCTGTCCCTAAGGTAAGGGGTCAGGTGGTGGCAGAAATGGCATTGCTTTGCCAGTCGGATATTTTTGTTGTTGTTGTTGAAATGTTATTCCAATTGTGCTGTCGGCTTCGTGTTATGAGATGAAGGAATGTCCATCCGGGGGGGGCCCTCACGGTGCAGCGCTTCGCAGAGCAGTGCCGCACAGGGTACTGTTCAGAAACGGCCCGTGGAAGCTGATTCCACGGAGCTGCTTCTGAGGTCCCTTCAAGGGACCTCTTATCCACACTTGGAGCACTGCACTTTTCCAAGTGCCCTGCTATAGAGATGTTCATCACATGGTAGTCAAACCAAAATGTGAATACTTAATCCTCCCAGCTGAAATTTTTGGCAAATTAATTGCAAACCCAAATTTAATTAAGTTTTCTCTCTTTGTGTGGATCGGGTAATTTGTGGCCAGACTGAGACCAATTAAGTCCCCACAGCTTATCATACACGAATTGAACCTGGATTCGAAACCAGGTTCACAGTGGTGCTGACTCGCTTCGCTTTCAGCAGTATAGGCCACCTGAGCCATCGAGCCTCCTTGTGCTTCACTTGTAAAGTTTTCTGTTGGGCCTGGAGCGTAAGCAGGGTTGAGTAGCCTTGAGCGATGTGGGGGGGCCAGGAGATTCGAGTACAGTAATGGATTGTTGAATTTATCTGTGTGAATTTGAGTTTGCGCGAGTATTTTTTTTGGATACTCCTGTTTCATCCCACACGTTAAATACTCGCCAATGGAATAGTCAAAAGTTGCAGTGCAAACCCTACTTAAAAGGAGCCTTGAGAATGAGGCTTTCCTGGCTATTTGAAAGGACATCATCAACTATTGATCGCTGTGGGCAGCCCACGTGGACAACCGGTGGCTGGGCAGCTTGATGGATACCGCTAGTTGCTCACGGCCCGTCAGTAGCCACCAAAGGAGGCGAAGGGTACGGGGGACGCCGCTTTCTGCCCTGCAGAAGGGCTCGGGCAAGAAGAGCAAGGCCCCAGTCACGCTGGATCTGGGGGACGTCCTGGCTACCTTCGAGCGGCAGCAGCACGAGCAGCAGGAGATCGCCGAGGCGAACGCCGCCGCCGCCGCCGCTCCCGCCACCGCTAGCTCCGTGCTGCCGACCTCGCATGGTTCCACGCACCTCGCCACGTCCAGGCCCGCCAAGCCCATCATCTCTGGTGAGTTCGACTCGCTGTCGTCAGAAACCGCGGTGTCCGTTAGTCCTCTGCCCAAAGCCAGGTCCTTGGCTCAAACTCCCCCCTCCATTGTGTTCGACCTTGAGCATTCTTCTTCATTTCACTGCAGAGCATCCTGATGTTAATCTCCTACCTAACCCTTCTTTCAAATCAAAGTACGCAAATGAGAAGGGAAAATTGGAACCCAAAGTAATCTGTCCTATAATCGGCTTGCGACCCTGAATTGTGACAATTTATCTATTCACCGGGGGCATGAATTGTTACACTCATAGTCTTCATGTCACACTGAATATTTTCTAGGTAGTCAGGCACATAATTAGTATCCACAGCCAAAGCAAGAGGTGTACTGGATGTGGTGTGCCAAGTGCAGAGCTATTTTCCTGGCCGCTGGTAGGCTGGCATAAGCACGTGACTAGTATCCACAGTCATAGCGAGAGGTATTCTGGATGCGGTGTGCTGGGTGCGGAAATATTTAGCAGTGCACCGGCTGAAGTTAAGCCTTGCTCGTAACGTTCCGCTTCTGTCCCGCTACTCGCCTTCTCCGCGGTGGGGGGGTGCACAGTTGGTACGGCCTCGGCCCTGCTGGGCTCTTCCAAGAAGAGCGAGCGGGGGGGTCCGGTGCCGCACAACCCCCTGGACTCGAGCGCACCGGCCGTGAAGCGCGGCAAGGAGCGCGAGACACCGCGCGCCAAGAAACCGACAACGCTGAAGAAGGTGAGGGGTCAGGGGTCGGAGGCCGCCGCCGCCGCATGGCTCCCGACATATATAATTGAAAGTGTATTATTTATTTATATTGAGTGATTTGCTTACCATTTTCACCGTCGTTTTTTTTTTTTGCTGCTATTTTAACTTGCTAACCCGCCCATACTGGACATGTGTGAAAAAGAGCGTCATAGCTTCTCGGTTTGTATCCTCAAACTTCGTTATCCCAATCGTGATTAAATTGGGTTGTCAAGTCTCGCGATTTTATGGTCGCAGCCAAGCTATCAATGTATTATGTAGAGAGGACCCGTAGGCTCCCCATAGAGACACGCAGACTTACGTAGACACCCAAAGACTTGCACGTTGTTATCACGGAAGCGTCGACGTGCATTCTTCAGGTGAGGGTCTGACCTCGTCATGGGGGCTCCTTTAGGGCCACCCCCTTCGCCAGCCGCAGTTTGGCCCCTGATCCTGGTGGTGGTGACGGCGGCGGTGTGGGGGAAATCGCGGGCGACGCTGCCCCCTTGCTGCCGTGCCGTACCGTCGCCTCTGTGCCGTACCCTCCGTGCGCCCCAAGGTGATCCTGAAGGAGCGCGAGGAGAGGAAGAGGCGGCGTTTGTGCGAGGAGCGAGGCCTTGTGTACGTGCCCGGCGGTGACTTGCCGGCTAGCGATGCCGACGCGCGCAAGGATGAGGGTGGCGAGGGTAAGGACGAGGGCAAGGACGAGGGCAAGGACGAGGGCAAGGACGAGGGCAAGGGCGAGGGCAAGGACGAGGGCAAGGACGAGGGCAAGGACGAGGGCAAGGACGAGGGCAAGGACGAGGGCGAGGGCAAGGACGAGGACGAGGACAAGGACGAGTGCAAGGACGATGGCAAGGCGGAAGAAGCCACGGAGCCAGTGGACGCCGACAACGACGACGAGACGGAAGCCGAAACGGAATCGGAGCTGGAGACGGAGCAGGAGACAGAGGCGGAGTCGGATGCAGAGCGACCGATGGGGGGCTCCCCCCCGGACGTGGAGCCTCCGGACACCCCCCAAGACATCTCCGCCGATCCCAACGGGAATCAAGGTACCGATGGTCGATGAGCGACGTAACACGGGGCATCCGTTTGTTGTTTGAAATCGATTCTTAACGATCGTGGATGATGCGTGCAATTGCGCATGCAGGAACCCCTTGTGGCTGATGCCAGTTCTGCGTAAATGTCTTGCCAGTGTTTCATTCGGTTTCATAGAGTGAACAACTGTAACAAGTGCCCAGAACATATGAGGAACGATACAAAATAGACCCAAAAAAAAGCTATTCTGGAATCGTGACCCCCCCCCCCCGAGTTGTGATTATTCATAGCATTGCCTAGAGGTCAAGGTGCTGATGATGGCATTGCAGATTGCGGGGTAATGTGGTGCCAACATCGTGAACCGTTCCTGGGCCTCCCCTCGGAGGCCAGCGCTGGGAAGGCAAAGGATGCAATGCGTGGGTCCGGCCACACTCCCACCACCACCTTGTGCGCCGTGCCAACCATTTTGGTGGTCACTAACAGCCCCTTGCCGTAACAGCTAGAAAAGGCTATTCGGGGGGATCTTTGTCTTCATGCACGTGTTGTATACACTTGTAAAGGGAGCCCTCCCATTAATGGTATGAATTTCCAGGTTTCCTTTTCAATAAATGAAAGATGAACTTCCCGCAACTGATTGGCCTGCCTAGATGTTTCCACTAACCGCTTTCTTTCCCCCTTCTCTCTTGCGAGGCCCCGTGTTGTTCTAACGCCCGTGTCTGTACGTTGCTGGTGCTGCTGCGCTCCGGTGTTTTAGCCACGGACGTGGATGAGGATGGGCGCGAGTCCCCGTCTCCCGTCGTGAGAGCAGAGCTCCCGCCGCCAGGCCCCAAGATTCACAGCCGCCGCTTCCGCGAGTAAGCGTGTTATAAAGGGGGTGGGGGAGTGGGCACGGGGTGGGGGGGGGCACGGGGTGGGAGGGGGCATGGGGTGGGGGGGGGGCACGGGGTGGGGTGGAGGCACAGGGTGGGGGGGGCAGGGGGTGGCGGGAGGTGGGGGCATGCGGGGTGGGGGGCAGATGATTCTATCCTTCTCCCACATAGGATAACCACACACTAGTGCTCGTATATTGACACCGGAAGGAGGGATGGGTTGAGTCACAACCCCCAAACCGTTCATCAGGTTCACAATGGTACCTTCCCTGCTCTAATTAATTAAGGCTCCCCTTTCCCGCACTCGCGCAATGGGCTGCGCTGTGCTTGCCCCTCGGCAACCTGTTGATGCTTGCATTCGCCCGTCCAGTACCCGATTAGTGCGGCTAAGGCTCTCGCGGTGACGGACAAATATCGCTTGAGTGCCGTTTCTAAGTGGTGGCACTCTCGTGTCCCCCGGCCACCCCATGCCATACGCTTGTGATGTCGCGGGGTCAGACGTATGTCCCACGCCCCTTTTACCTACAGCGGTGGACAAACAAAACTAAAAAATACAACCCCCGATGACCGTCGAACCGGCTCTTCCTCCACCAGCTACTGCAACCAGGTGCTGAGCCGTGAGATCGACCGGTGCGCCAGCACGATGCTGCTGGAGCTCGTGCGCTTCCAGGAGCGCCTGTTCGAGCGCGACCCCGACCGCGCGCGCCGCAAGCGCCGCCTGGTCATGGGCCTCCGGGAGGTCACCAAGAACCTGCGCCTGCACAAGCTGCGTGCGCTCATCATCTCGCCCAACTGCGAGAAGATCCAGGCCAAAGGTCGGCAAGGGGAAGATGCACGCGGGACAAGGCGGTCGCGGAGGTTCCGAACCAAAACTGAACTTTATTGTACTAAATTTTGATTTGAAAGCTTTCGTGACTGCGGTCGTTCACATTCTTAGCTCTTTCGGTAAAGTCACGTTGAAGGGAAACAATCAAATAATGAAATATATTGTTTTATATATATATTTTATTGTTTCCCTTTAACGTGACTTTACCGAAAGAGCTAAGAATATTTATTTGACTAGGTAAGGCCCACTGAGCTGCGTGACTCTTTTTGCAGAAGCGACTTTTCCGTCACAAATGATAGCTCAACAAAGTGGCTTATCACGTGAAAACGCATAGCAGTCAAATACTCGACACACACGTTTCTAAATGTGGAAGGAAAAACCAGAGGACCCGGAGAAAAATCCATACAACCACAGGGATAACAGGAGTCTTGGTCAGGATCGAACCCCACAACCTCCTGTATACCCGGCGAGCTAGTTAACATCTCGCCACCGTGGCACGGTGTGGGTTAGGGGTCAGGGGTCAGTAGGCAGGCAAGCCACATGTTTGAATTATAGTGGTAAGTAATTGGGATGTGCCCATGACCAAGTCACTCGGACGCACCCCTTCCCTGTCAGATCTGGAAGCCAAGTAGGGTTGAGCCCACATGGATTGGCAAAGCGCCTGTGTGTGTACGTTTGGGTATGCAGCAATCTTATCGATCCTTGAATTAAAATTGATTGGTATGCTCACAGATAAATGCCTGGAATTGTGCTCGTTGTCGCTGATAAAATATTATTTTGTCGATGCTGTTTAAATTTGATGCCAATTAAATATTTAGGGAAATATAAGGAATGATGCAAAACACTGTACCCAGGTCACTCTTGCAAATCAGACTATCTTTATTTGTTGAGAGCTTACCTTGTTAAACAATAGAGACTAAACAATTTACAACACTCGAAATACGTCAATGCACATCCCCGTGTTCGACAATTTCTCGCGATACCCCATGCCTTGCTTTTATGTACAGATGCAGCTGCATTTAGCACACTTTTCTGCACGTCCACGGTGTATTGTGTGTGCGTGTGTGTGTAGGTGTAGGTATACTGCTGTCGTTGCGTTTTGATTTTGTCAATCTGGTGACTTTGGTCACCCTTACTTCGAGGACTCATCCTTGGTCTCTCGAATTTCTCATTCGGTTACGCGAAACAAACCACTTGAACGTGTGTGCTGGCGCGCGGTGATGACGGCAGGCGGGCTGGACGAGGCCCTGCAGACGGTGATTGCGCTCGCCAGCGAGCAGAGCGTCCCCTTTGTGTTCGCGCTCAACCGCAAGGCACTGGGCCACTGCCTCAACAAGAAGGTCCCCGTGAGCGTGGTGGGGGTGTTCCACTACGGCGGCGCCGAGGTGACCTCGGGCGCTCTCACGCGCCCGGCACAACCGCGTCGCCCAAAATGCACCCCTCACTCTTGGCAAATAAAGTGTGCGTGTATGTACGTTGAACTTCTCTCGACACCGTACGTAGCCAGCCATGCTAATCGGAGGTGTGGGGGAAGACAAAAAAAAACAAACAAACTGAACACAAAGCTAATTTAAAAAATTCTAAAGAAATTTAGTTTTCAATCTATATTTAAAAGTGCATAGCTCCAGTGGCTTCCTAATATTAGAAGGAAAAGCGTTTCAGACGTCCGCGGAAGCGCACCTGAAAGCACACGACGCAGTGACCGTGTTTGTTCCAGGGAATCAGCCCCAAAATAGGATTGATCCCAGATAGTGATGATAACGTATACTCCGCGACAATGTCTCTTGATCTTCTTTGGTTCTTTCGGTAAAGTCACGTAGAATGAGAATAAAATAATAAATTGATAAAATAAAATAACACAATAATATTCTCACGACGTTTCGGCCACAACACAAGCGCTGTCCTACCAGACAGTCTCGCCCCTTCACCTGATGAAGGCCGCTTGTGTTGTGGCCGAAACGTCGTGAGAATATTATTGTGTTATTTTATTTTATCAATTTATTATTTTCTCATTCTACGTGACTTTACCGAAAGAACCAAAGAAGATGAATCATTGCAGTCACGAAAGCTTTAAATCGAGATGTCTCTTGAGCTCGAATGATGCCTTCAGCTTATGACCAAATTCACTCTGCATTGGGTGCGAATCGGTGTGATAATGGTGATCATAATATTCTCGTTGTGGACTCTGGTAGTGATATTAAGAGGGTGGTGGCTTTGTTAAAGGTGACTGTGATGACTGTATGGGCGTTTAAATATTGTTTTATGGTGGCGGTGTAAATAATGGTAATCGTGTTGACTGTTCTAGTAAGTGATCATGGTGACAGTGGTAGTGTTTGTGGTGTTGATCGCGATGATGGTGGTGCTATTATTGATAGTGGACGTGAATGCGGCAGTGATCGCGATGACGGAGATGATTGGTACGCGACGTTGACGGCATCGGTGACGAGAGGGGGAGTGCTGTTGGCGGTGGTGACTGCTATGACTCGGGTAGCAATACCGGTGGTGGGTGCATAGGCCGATGACGGTGTCGATCGAGCTTGTGTTTACGCCACCCTTCACTTCCCCACCCCCACCCCCACCCACCGCGTTGCTGCCCGGGCACACAGACGCACTTTCAGCGGCTGGTGGCGTTGACGGAGGAGGCTCGCTCTGCCTATCGCAACATGGTCAGCTCACTGCAGCGGCAGGAGGCGGCTGCCACCAGCGAGCCGACGGGGCACACCGAGGACCCCCTCGAGGCGTCCGCGTCGCCTCCCTCGGTGCCTGCGCATGATCCCACCGCCCTGCTGCACCTGCTGAGGCCGCAGCAGGGCCCCAGGGAGGACGATCCAGCCGAGGCGTCCGGGCGGTCGCCCGGAAGGAACGCACGTGGCGCTGCGGATACGGAACGACGACGGCTGCCCGCCGCTAGTGGTGGTGGTGGTTGTGGTGGTGGTGGTGACGATCGTGATGACGGCGACGATCGCGGTGGCGTTGGTGGAAAACGGCCAGATACGAATCTTTGCCAGCATGGCGTCACCGCAGTGTGGAGTGGGGCAGGCCGTGGTGGAGTTGGATAGGGTTAAAGTAGGGACATGTATAGGGCCAGTGTTGTGTAGGGTTAAGGTCGGGTAGCATGGGTTTAATAAGGTAGAATAGGGTAGGGTGAGGTTGGAGCAAGAGAAGTTAGGGTAGGGTTAGAGTAAGGCCTGGTAGGGGCAGTTTTAGGGTAAGCTATGTGAACCTGCAAAGGTAGTCTAAGATGCTAGAGCAATGTAAAGTAATATTACAGAAAGTCTTACCGAGTGTCAGGAGATTCCTACATTGGGATGCTTTGGCCAGTTCAATTTTTTTGTTCTTTTTATTTCCTTATGATCAGAAATCTGGGGGGGGGGATTTTAAGAAAGGAAAAAAAAACATCCATGCATATGAAAAATAACCCTAAGATGTCACCACTTTTACAGTCCCCTGTTGCTAAAACTGCCCTGGAGGTTTGGGAATTTCACAGATGTCATTCAATATAGCCTATTTGATTATTATGGCAAGGTGTTGTGTGGTAAGGTAATGGCACTCCGTGTTAGTGCAATGCAGGGTGGTAGAGTCAGGGTTAAACTGGCTATCGTAGGGTGGAGTTCATCAACCCTTTCCCATTCCGAGACGCCTGCAAGTTTGCAGGGTGAATGAGTCCACGTCTGAATTTCGGAAATGCGCAAGTGGCTTGGTGTTTTGAAAGACATTGTGCTCACCGCAGAGAACTGTGGCCACACAACCGCAATCTGTGATCGCTGGCGCCAAACTCTGCCACTCGCCCTCCCGCACGGCCTTGTGGGCGGATCGGTACACATCGAGTTATTTTATTTTAGTTTTCCCTTCCAGTTTTATTTTGACGATGTACACGTACGTCATCGGAAAGGGAAAGGGTTTATGCGCAGGTCAGAGCGAAGAGGCGTCGAGCCGAACGTTTCCCGCGTAGGATTGTGTACAGTCCCATAGGGCGAGTAACGGTAGTCCGGAGAGCAGGTAACGTGATCGATGGGATGATCGAGCGGTGTTTGTCGTGGTGCCTTCTTCCCGCGGCAGTTTCCGGCACAGGGCAGCGCCTTCCCCGAGACTTCTCCAATCGCCCTCCAGGTCCACTGACGATGACGACGAGTGAATGTTTCAGACTTTACTGGGCCGCTGCCCTTGCAGCGCCTTACAAAGTAAAACCCCTCGCGCACACAGGCACTGCAGGGCTCAGCATAGAATACGCCGATAGCCTGTAGGCACGTTATGCCTACGGTAAGAGCTACGTGTAAAACATTTAGCTATATTACTGCAATCGTGCTCAGAAGGTGAGGGTTCGTCGCAGGCGAACGCAGTTTTCCGCAAATGTACATTGATGTTGTTTTTTTTTGTTTGTCAAAACGATGTAACGACAAGCCGTTACAGGAGGGCATTTAACGATCAATTGTACCCACGTGCAATGGTGTCACGATGGCCCTGGCAGCTGTCGCACTGAAGTTAAAACGGCCACGCTTGCATTGCGAGCACACAATGACAGACCCTTGCGCAGACGTGCGTAGGAGAGTGGCGAGTAAAGGAATTGACCCCCCACGGTGGCGAATTGTTAACTACCTCGCCTGGTGTGCAGGAGGTCGCGGGTTCGATTGTGAGCCTTATGCCTGCTGTATATTTTGAGTTTGCATGTTCTCTCCGTGGTCACGTGGATTTTTCTCCGGGTCCTCCAGATTTTCCCTCCACATTTGCAAAACATGCGTTTTGGGTATTTGGCTGCTATAAATTTCCAAATAAGCCACTTCGCTGAGCTATCATTGGTAACCAGGTCGCTCCTGAAAAAGCGCTATATAGCTCAGTGGGCCTTATCCGGTAAAATTCCAAGTTTAGTTTTGGTGAGCCAACACAGAGGGCCGCATGTTCCCACATGGCTCATAAAGCTTCCCTTCCAGGTGCAGCCACGACTGTTGCTGTATCAGCGCTGTACATGGTTCTGGAATTTATGGTCATGGGAACATGAGGGTTGAGAGAGCCCAGGTGTACACCAAAGAGCAGCAAGCCATATGCTGTGTTCTCTCAAAAGTCGGATTGCTATGATTCACTCTCCTCCCCCTGCGATTTTTTTTGTGCAAGTGTTACGATTCGTTATTATGATTTGGTTCGAGAATCAATAATTTTTTTAGTTTCCTTGTCTCGTTTTCTCCCATGTGTTCTCTCGTTTGTTCACTTAACCTAAAGGTAAAATTTGCGTATAATTTGCATTCATAGTATATATTTGCGTGCACGTAAGAAACTCTTTAACTCGATTAATGTAATTGTTATTTGCCTGTTCAATTGTCGATATGGGGCTCCATGGTTATTTTTTTCCCCCACCTGCACCCCACAACTTAAAAAATCATTCCCATATGCCGATGCCCGTGGCAGATGCGTATGGTTATACATGTGCTTCTGCTGGCTCACCAATGTGGATCCCAAGCAGCGGTCAGGAGAATTAGGCTCGCCTTTGGTGAGGCAGCGCCAATGAACCAATACCACCACCTCGGTGACGCAACACGTTTTTTTACGGACGTACGTTGAACTTCTTCCGCACCGTACGGAGCCAACAGTGGAGTTGTGCGATGGCGCCGAAGTGATTTGGCGCGCTCTGCACTATGAACCGGCGGACCTGAGTTCAATTCCTGGCCCTGGCCAACACTCGCCGAGAATGATGTCTGAACGAGTCACGGCCCTCCCCCTTTTCACCAACCCACGCTGACGGAACGTGCGGCGAGTTATGGTCCAAGAACCGCAGTGAGAAAGTTGGGAAGCCTTCATCCAGCAGTGGAATTGATAAGAAGGTCTGGCAGCGCACAAACTATTTTTTGGACGGATTTATTTTACCGTTTACAATTGCGCTTTTATTTTACAAAATCTATGGGGGGGAAAAAAAAAGACGGATGGTGATACATGAAATCGTTTAACGATGATTATGTCATAGGGGTACCGGTAATTATGGTAATACTGAATCGCTATTAAATTTGACGAATGCACTTATTCTGTCCTGTAATTTGCAAGAGGTAGGGGAGGGAACCTTATTTTGCGGGTTTTTCTTTTTTTTACCGCAGCCATCGGCGTTGTTGCGCTGTGCGGGTTCAGCATCGCAAAAGCACAGAGGGCATTACCGTGCGGACTGTACAATCGACAGCGTCATGGCAATAATGTCGCGACGCCACATCATGGATCTTACAAGCGAACACAGAGGCGTCAATACAAGTAATGAAAATGTGAAATAAAAACAAAACTCAAATCTTTAATGCAATCCGTGCGGTCCGTTTTCTCCTCGCCCTTCGTCGTTGGCTTAGGGGCCGGCCATAAATGACGTCACGCACCTAGGGTGGGGGGGGGGTCAGATATTTGTGACGATGTGTGACGATGGGGGGGGGGGGGGTGTTTGAGAAATGTGACGTCACATCAAAATGCGCAACTTTACATAATTAGACTTTTTTTAAATAAATGTTTTCTCCTACAACAGAGTGCAGCACCACATTAAATACGCACTACAATGACAATAGTTTCAAGCGATTTGAAGCATGTTTTATATTTTTTTTTTTGGGGGGGGAGAGGGGCAGAGCTTTGTGACGTCATATTTCAGGGGGGGGGGGATCTGATTTTTTGTGACGGGGCGGGGGGGGTCAAATAACGTCCAAAATCGCGTGACGTCATTTATGGACGGCGGCCCCCTTAATCGTTCTTCCATGCCCACCGGGGCAGGCGGTGGCTCCGCGCACGACGACTGCGATCCACCACTGGAGACGTTTTGAAGCTCCCTCCGCCGCGTGGGGCGTCGAGGTGGCCCCGGAGAAATTTCGATGGGATTGAGGCCCCAGGTGTCGTGTAAACACTCACGACTTCCGAGTGCGTTGGCACGTACGACACCAGGTTTTGACATTCGAAAACTTGGGGTAACGTTAACATTTGACGTTATTTCATAACCAACAACACAAATAAAGGCAGGTTAAATTTTCGATTTAAAGCTTTCGTGACTGCAGGGATTCATCTTCTTGGTTCTTTCGGTAAAGTCACCACGTAGAAGGGAAATAATAAAAAATGAAACAATAAACTAAAATTCTCACGACGTTTCGGCCACAACACAAGCAGCCGTCCTCAGGTGAAGAAACAGCTGTCGGAAAGACAGCGCTCCATTGGGGCCTGAGGACGGCTGCTTGTGTTGTGGCCGAAACGTCGTGAGAATTGTATTTTATTATGTTTTATTTTTTAAATTTCCGTTCTACGTGACTTTACCGAAAAAACCCCAAGAAGATGAAGGCTGGTTTTAGATTGTAGATGGTATTTTAAAATACAATAGCATTACATTCCTAAAATACCTGTGAGATACATTTTTAAAGATTACCTATCCTAACCTGAAATACTAGTTTTCACATCAGATTAAAGTTGCACTTTTAGTGCTTTTGGTATTTGCCACAGGCCACATTTTAAATACACGTGATAAGAGGTGGGAGGCTGGGAGCGGTGGCGCAGTGATCACCGAAGTGTACCGTAAACCAGATCACCCGAGTTCGATTGAGAGCCGTGGTTATCGAGCATCGGTGGCGAGTGATATCCAAACCCAAACGGTCAACCCACATTGACCATTGTGGTGAAGTATCGTAAACTGGACATCTGTGGAAAAAGAGCTTTATAGCTCATCGGATTCCTCCAGTGTAAATAAAGATTCTGAAACGACAACCGTGACTGAGGCAGCGTGGGGAGTCCTTCGTATTGTTAAACTGTACTAATACACTATTGTATTATTAAACTACGATTATTATTTTTCATTATATTGTTAAACTGTACTAATACAATTTAAAGCTTTCGTGACTGCAAGGATTCATATTCTTGGGTTCTTTCGGTAAAGTCACTTCGAATGAGAATAAAATAATAAAATAAAACAATAAACTGTTTCAATGCTAAATTCTCCTGTTTGATATGTAAACCCCTTTGTCAAGGTGCCTCACTTCTCTCAACCAGCTTAAAAGACGCTACGAATCTTAGCAGCGTTCATTGTAGCTGTCGTCCCGACAGGTTTGTTCCTTTCACCTGAAGAAGGCCACTTGTGTTGTGGCCGAAACGTCGTGAGAATTTTATTGTTTTATTTTATTATTTTATTCTCATTCTACGTGACTACCGAAAGAACCAAAGAAGATGTACTAATACACTATTGTATTATTAAACTACGATTATTATTTTATATTGTTAAACTACTAATACACATTCTATTGCATTGTTAAACGTTGTGGAGAGCGGTTAGTGCTATCGCGCTATGTTTAAAACCCAGTGACCTGAGTTCCATTCGCCGAAATTACGATTTTACATTTCCACGCCTGGTGCACGCCTCCCGGAAGAGGACAACGACTCCTCTACTTACGAACGAGTTCGGTTCCAGAGGTCTATTCCTAAGTCGATTT